TAAACATTGAAAAAATAATTAAATCTTAAATAATTAAATGATATAATACAAGATATAAATAAAATAAAATAATTATAAGAATAAACAACATTAAATAACATCGTATAATGAATGGAATAAATAAATCAATTGTAATATCGATGAAGATAATAATGAAAATAATTAAAAATAGTAGACATTCTATTTAATATTTAATTAAGTTATAGAATATCGTAAATACTTATTAATTGTGTCATTATTAAAACTGTCTATGTTCTATCGAATAATTTCGGCAAGCAATCTCCCTAAAATAGGGGATATTCTTACTCTGTTTAAATCCACAATAATTAGTATATTAATACACACGCCCATCGTGCGGGCAATCAATCCAATCGTAATACACCGTACCTCTTTATATAACAATATCGCCATTTTAACATCCATAACAACTTGCCACCCAAAGCTTATTTCGTTATTCTAATAACATCATTTATCAGTCATTGGATTAACCCATATGTTGTACTATACAAGTATATGTTGCTAATTAAACTTTCACGATAATTCTTATCCATTCTTTTCATTTGGTAACCTAGGCATGTAAGATTTCAAGTTAACCTTCAGATTTACCATATATATAGTAACAAGAGTTTTACTGCTATTTCAATTTACACATTATGTTCTAAGTATTTCTCGTATCACTCAAACTACACACGCATCAATAATTATCACCAATAAAAAATTTTAAAACCTTTACTTTATAGGTAAGCAAAAGCTAAGTAGATCGATAAACAATTGCAAATTATATATTGGGCGCTTAACGTTTAGATACCTTCTTAGTGTTACACCTATTAGATCTGATATTATATATATATATATATATATATCTTTATAATTATATGCAATTATAATTTATAAATCCTTTCTATTTCCTGTATTATTTAGAGTCTCGAATTTCCATTAATGATCCGATGAAACCATATCTATTGAATCATGAATAAGCATTTATGAATATCTATCGAACCTGGAAATAAAAAAAAATACATTCTACACTTCCTCATCCATATTTGTCTTTCTACCACAATTTAATATATTTGCTGCCATTACACAGATTCGTAGTTTTTCTACGCTAAAATCTTAAATTGCACACCAACTAACCAATCTGTTGCAAATATTAGACCTACTACCTCATATGTACACTATCAAGCAATAATTTGAAGGAATAATTAAAAATAAAATTCCTAAATTCCAGTTTAATCTCATAGCTCACAGGCTGGCAAATTCACTAATCAACTTACCTTACTAAGAGAAAGGTTGGAAATTGCTTACCCAGTTGCGAAAATGTCGGAAAAGTGCAAGAAAGAAAAGAAATGCCACTGTCCCTGTCGAAGAATGATATCGCAACTCCTTGCGATTTGCTGCACCAGTAGGTGAACGACGATGGAGAAGGAGAGAGCGGAGCTACACCGTCGACGGGGATGAAGCTGGAGTCGATCGATCGCCGGAGAGTTGAGCTAAAGAGGCGACGCGATTTCCCGATCAAACTCGCGTCTGCTGTGAGTGTACGCCAGACGAAGGAGGAGAGAGGAGGAGGCGGAGGCTCTGCTGCAGTGAGAAGGCGACAACTAGAGGTTGGCGATGGGTCTCGAATGTGGATCGGAAAAAGGGGAGGGGGAGGGGTCGGGCATGCGCTGGCTCAGGGAGTAGAAGGAAAAGAGAACAGAAAAAAAAAAAGAAAAAAGAAAAGAAATTTTAAAAAAATTCTTGGTGTTCTAGGACCATTCCGGTTCTATTCGAACCGGTTTGGTCTATTTCCATGATTCGGCTCAATTTGCTTTGGTTTTCGAGTTTTTTACGCTGTTTTCGAAAATCCAATTGAGTAAGGGTCCGTTCGAGCAATAATTAAAGGTTTAGCAATAATAAAATACTAGCCGGTATAATCTCATTGGTTGAAAATAAAAAATTTAGTTTTTAAATGAAAATTCTACGAAATTAAATTTTCGGGTCGTTTCAAATTCTATGCAAGAATTTCTTTTTGTTATATTGGTATTTGGTCATTTATCGAAACAAAATAATTGAAACTTAGTTCTTATGAATCAAATATTGCGTGTTAATAAAAGGATAAATAAATCAAAATAATATGTATTGCAAAATAAAAATAATTTTTTATTTGTTTTAGTTTGCGTGCCTGTCTCTATGCTCGAACTAAATATAACATTCAGATAAAATCCTTTCGATAACACCGTCTTATATAATTTCAATTAGCACCGAATGCTAAAAGTTAATCATATAAAAGTTCATTTTTACTTTAAATGAAAAGTTGAATAAAATTAAGCATATTATGCAAAATTAAATGCCTAGGCCCAACCTTAAAATAATAATAATAATAATAATAAATTACATGCATGATTCACGTTTTAAGAATCGAAATTAATTATTGGTTCACTGTTCATAACACCTATTTGGGTCTAATTTCATGATTGATGTAGTGGTTAAGAGTTGATTAAACTTAAAGTCTTGGTCAAGGAAGATAGGCACGTGCGCAATATTTAGACAAATTTAGCGTGTGAAATCCATTTTCGATCTTGCAAAAAAAAAAAAAAAAAAAAAAAAAAAAAAATCACATATCATATTATTATATTAAAAAATAACAATGGACAAATGTTGAATGTAATCCCTATAATATAAACTTTGAATTTATTATCAATTTGCTCCATTTTGAGCAATAACAATAAAGTATTTAAGTTTTTTTATTTTCTTGCGTAATAAAAAAATAAAAAAAATAAGAAATTTAAATTTAAATAAAAAATTAGAAAAATTTAAAAATTAAATTAAATAAATAGAATATTGTTGCAGTATGGTTCAATTACTTCAAATGTTTAGGGAGTGTTCGACAAAATTAGCTCTTTTGATAATTGTTAGCTGTTTTAATAGCTTTTAGCTATTTTAGTTGCTTTTCATGTAACGCTAAAAGTTAAACGTTCGATGAGTTAACTTTTTATAAAACGTTATCTTAAGTTTTAAAAGCTAATTCAAACGCTATGTTATCGAACACTATAAAAAGTAATGTTTAGCGTTTTGACCGCCGAACACGGCCTTATAAAGTTTCTACTTAAATACAAGGCAAAGAGAGGGGGAATTGGTAGACCCAAGCCACTATTTCCAATGTTTTCTTAAAATTTATTTTACAAAATAGTGTATTTTTTTTTATTAAACTCCCTTTAATTAAAAAAAAAGAAAAAAAAAAAAAAAACTCAATGGACTTACTAATTTCTTCAGAGTAATGTGAATATAAGATGCCAAAGGGGAAGAGAAAAAGATAGCTAACGTATATATTATGGAAGGTAGTAGTCCTTAATTGATGAGAAGTAGCCAAATGGTTGCCATATAGAGTAATAGATTGAGATGTATGCTTTTGTTTTATTGGAAATTTAGCTTTCAAAAATGTAAAAGGACTAGGTGTGTGGGGTTCCGAACAGAACTGAACCGCAAATGCCGAAAATAAAAAATAAAGCGTCTTTGAAATTGATCTAAATCGAAATAAATTTAGAATCGAACCAAACTGATCGATTTAGTTTGGTTTTACATAGAAAATAAATATTTTAGAATACTGATCCAAAAGACGGAAAACCGAAATTATGGAAGATTACAAACTAAAACCGAAACTAAAAACCGAATAACCAACCAAAAATCGAAAATAATTTGATTTGATTCGATTGTTGATTTTTTACAAAGTTTGCTCACCCTAAAAAGGACCAAAGTTCCAATTGCATAGACATCATATTCATTTTATATGCATATGCAATTATTAATCGGAAAATATTTTTGGCACAACTTGTGTCAGACTCGATATGAGTAAAAAAACTGTAATGCTCTTAAAAGAACATTTTAGCAATTTAGATATTATTAATATGGTACATTTATAAATATGCACAAATTGTCAGACACAACTTGTGATATTTTGTAAAGCTCAGACCCAAGAATCAAAAATTAAATCATTCACCAGCTAAGATTGATCCCAAGACTCTTGTTTCCAGCAAAGCAATGCAAAATTTAGACCAATGACTTGTGACTTTTGTTTGTTTTTGGTACAAAGTAGCGTATAACAATTGTTGTTTTTGCTTCGAAGAATCTTCTTTTCCTATAACGACTAACGTGTTTGCCTTTGACGGGGCATTGACCGCCACCAACTTACACTTTTGGAAATTTTGTTCCTAGTTTGGATTTCTTGATGCTCTGCTTTTCTTGGATAAGAAATGGAAAATCAAAAATACCTTTGTCTCGATAATATTTCATATTTGCAATTCCAAACAAACCTTTCACTACCATCATTCTAAATAAACAGTTTCAGTTGGACTGCAACTTTCTTAGCATTCTGGGTTGGGCTGGGCTGGACTGGACTGGACTTGCATAGACACAGGCATAAACCTTAATTTAATTTCACTAGGGGTGAGCAAACTGTGGAAAAAACCAAAAATCGATCTCGACCAAATTATTATCGGTTTTTAATTTCAGCTTCGGTTTAAAATCTTCCATAAATTTGATTTTCTGTCTTCGGGTCGATTATTTTAAAATATTTTTTTTAGTAAAGCCTAACTGTTTGACCGAATCGAACCAACCAATTTGATTCAATTTCAAATAAAATGTATTTTCGATTTTCGGTTCTTGCGATTCGGTTCGAAACCGAACCGCTCATTTTGCACATCCATAATCTTCACTAGCCATGTCTCTGTCATTGACAATCTTGGGCTGTATGTATTTTGATGCTCGAAGTTTGATAATTTCAAAAATAATTTAATATGAATTATTTAATTTTTATAAATACTAATATAAGAGCACATTAGGAAAAATTCAATGATATTAACTAAAATTTTTAATCTATGTGCAAGTCAAACCATGCTAGAAATTATGGGACGGTAATAATAGGTGGAATCAGAACAACACTAACAAACATACACATATATGGAGAAAGATATTCAAAATGAGTCTTGTACACAATAGTATTATTGGAAAGTTTACAAGCATATACAGAACATAAAATGCTAAAATTTCATGTTCAAAACCTTACCTAATGGCTGATAATTTACAGGTGTTCTATCATACGAAGATGAAGAAGGACCAAACTCTCTTGACAAAGATTCCTGTCTAAGTGCAGCTAAAGCAGCTTTTCTCCTCTGCTTCTGTTCTCTCCACTTCCTCAACTGATCTTCCAGTGCTAATTTCGCTCTCTCAGCTGCTTCAGCTCTCGTAACTGCCTGTTCGGTTCGTGTCCTGAATTCTGCAACTTTTGCTGTTGCAGATTCCAATTCTTTTTTCAAAATCTCATTTTCATTTTTATTTCCGGCTTTCCCAATCAAATTCTCATATTCTTCTTGCGAAATTGTCACTTTTCTATAATTTTCTTGATCACATTCAATACCCTTTCTTGCTTCTGCTGCAAGTTTTGCTCTTTCTTTATGAAGCTCAGCTTTCAATAATGCTATTTCTACTTGCACTCCATTTTCTCTTTCTGCAAGTTCTTTCATTTCAGTTTTCACCTTTTCTAACTCATTTTTACTCATTTCAATTTCACAGTTTGACCGAAACACCTCATCATTTGCATTCTTTAATTCTAATTTTAACTGATCCATTTCTTTTTCCATTTCCTCAACATAATTAGTTCCTTTATCAGAATTCTTTTCTTTCTCTTCTATATCTGATAATTTTAGTTCATTCTCTTGTTTTCTCAGGTTTTGATCTTCTGTTTCTGTTGTTTTCTCCTCCTTTGCTGCTTCAAGAGCAACCTGTTTAGACATTAAAATAGCTTCGTTAAGCTCCATAACGCGTTTTAGTAGCTCTTCAGATCTCTCCTTTTCAATATTAGCAGAAGCTTGCATGGCTGCAGTTTGTGTTAAGGCCTTAAGCTTATCATCTGTAGCAGCAGCAAGTAGAGTTTCCATAGTAAGCAATTCTCCTTGCACACACTTTAATTCGCCTAAAACATGCAAAAGCTGCTCTCTGGATTTCCCATTTTCTAAAATTTGATCAGTCATTTCCTTTGCTTTAGCTTCGAGCTCATCGATCCGAATGTTAGCTTCTTTGCAGTCTTCTAAGTAGAGATCTTTTTCAATCTCGGTATTTTTCAGCTGAGTTGAAAGTTCCTCAGTTGTTTTCTGATAGTGTTCTAGTTTGTGTAATAGTTGCAAATAGGCAGCATCTTTTGCTTCTAGTTGCACCTTGTAATTTGCCAAATCCTTTCGTAGACCTTCAATGTCTTTCTCCTTATCAACCTCCTGAAAATGTAAAAAAAAAAAAGGAACATAAACAAATGTTCAAATTTGTTTAAGGTTTTCATATTTTATAGAGCCTGTTATCAGAACAATATAAAAACTATTTTGTATATATCCTCAAAAAAAAATCTCACATCCCCGCTGTTGCTGTTGCTGCTGCTGCTACTGCTACTGGTAGGCCGGTGTTTCCTGTGTTCACTCTTTTCACCGAACAAGGTAATTGCAACTTGTACAGGTTCAATAGGTTTGGTATCAATCTCACCCATGTTTCTTGTAACCAAGAAAGGAGATAATTAATTTCTAAGAGAGCACCTAATTGCTTTGGAAAATGGATTTTCTCAGGAAAATAGATAGGAACCATCAGAGAAAACTGTGAAATTAATTATAGGATCGACGTTGAAAAACAAGAAAACACATTGGTATTGTCTTGGTTGGTTGGATATTGCAAAGAAAGGAATTCTTCATTCTTGTCACAATTAAAGAAAACAATATTTTCCGATGAATCTTGAGGCAGAATGCCTTGAAGTGATCAATTTTTCTTTTCTAATTCTTCTTGTTTGCTGTCTTCTTGAAAACAATGTTTTGAGGAGGATGATAACAAGGCCGTTATGTTGTGAGATTTTTTCGCGGGCTTTTCCGTTGTCAAAGAGTTGGAAGTACTTGGCAAGAAAATGAATTTTGGCCCATGGGCTTAACTTAAGCAATGGATTTTTCTGTTCCATACGTTTTCAATTTCACGTTTTAGTTTTTTTTTATACAAGATATATTAATTGCACTTAGGCAACTCCTGACCTTACAAATAAAATTATTGTATAGTTATCCTTTAGTTTTTTTAAAAAAATTAATTTGCAATTTAATGTATTTTTTTGAATCAAAATGTTATATATATTGCTCTAATAAAATTTAATTTTTTGCAATTAAACCATACTCTTTACCATTTCTTAAGTGAATTTTACATTTTTAAACCTAATTCTTTTTTGCAAAATAGAGAGTTAAGTTTAAATGGAAATAACTTTGAAATAGAAATATGGTATGTCTGGAAATTTAAGAAAAGTCCATCAGAAACCAAGCTGTCATTAGGCATCCCCTTACAATTATGCAAGATAGTATGCATGTGGTGTGCTGTCTTTGTCTATCTTCTCTTACAAATTAATTAATCTAATCATCATTCTCTTAATTATGATTGAAGCATTAAACCATTTCTTTTCAGTACTTTTGTTATTAACCATCTAAAAATTTTTAAATAAATGTAGTAGAACGGTGTCGTTTGTCTATGCGAGATCTAACACAAATGTCGTTTTCACAGTATCATTTTCTGTTGTTTTTTAAAGAGCGTATTATAGATTTGATCTGCTTTGGTGGCCGTTAGTTCTCTCCTACAGTAAGTATCATCCTGTATTAGAAGGAGAGGCATTGGTTGCTTTGCTTCTCTGCTCATTGTCTTCTCAAAAAGAAATGGAGAAAGCACTGACAAAGGTTGGAAGTTTCTGGATTTCCAAGAAAGCAAAGGAAGAATTCTCCAACATTTCTCATGACCTTTCTGTATGTTTCAATTCTTGTTTTCTTGATCATTGTTACCAACTTAACTCTTTAATGGTTTTTCAGATCTTACAGGTTCTTGTAATGGCTTTTTTTTTAATACCTCTCATTTTACCTAATACTTGAATTAAAGCATGCATGCTCATTAATGTAATTGCTGTTTGCAAATCTTTAATTAATACCCTTAACTATATGCAAATTGTTCCAGAATTTATCTGATTCTGTTGAAGAAAAGGCAAAATGGGTATTCAACAAGTTGAAAGGTATGCATATCTTTCTTCTTCCTTGACAGAACTTTTTCGATTTAGCGATAAATTATAGAAAATTAGGAATATTAAATGTATGTGTTGATCAGGATTATTTTTTACGTTTAAACTATCCTATCAAACTGAATTTAAACGTTTGCCCTGTTTTTTTATAGGTAAGCCACAAAAATCCTTGGCAGATATTCTAAGAGAGTATAATCTTCCTTCCGGCCTATTTCCTCATAATGTAAAATGCTACGAGTTTGAAGAATCAAGAGGGAAGCTGATAATATACCTACCCTCTACTTGTGAGGTATGTTTCAAGGATTCGTCCATTTTAAGGTATGCCACTCGTGTGAAAGCCACATTGTCAAGGGGAAAGCTCACTGGAATTGAAGGAATGAAGACCAAAGTTCTTGTATGGGTTAAAGTTACTAGTGTAACTGTTGAGAGTTATAAGTCTGATAAAATATGGTTCACTGCTGGTGTCAAGAAGTCAAGGCCTAAAGATGCCTATGAAGTGCCTCGTGAAGCCATTAAAGTTGAAGAATTTTGATTTTGATAATGAGAAAACCATAATTTGATGTGATTTTATTGTCATCTTATAATTGATTCATATAAATTCATTGTCGACAGACAAATTCGTTATATTATTTTGGTTATAAATGTTAGATAAACATTTTATTCTTACATATATTGTCAATTAATGTCATAACTACGGATAGCGGTGAAAAATGCCTTATCCGTGCACAAATTCATTCAAATTTGAGGCACTCAATCCCATTTAAAATTGCACTTGCATTAATCGTAATCGAACCCACAAGTTATTTTAATTTCATAATGTAGACAATATAAGAATATACAAATTGGATCCAATGATACATGTATACTAATAATTGCATGATACAATTTATGGGTTGTGGCTCAATTGACAACGCAGGCTAAGTATGTAAGAAGAGTTATCGGGTTTGCTCCCCCACTAAACACACATGCAGGGGTAGGCGAGAAGCCTTAATTGTGACTAAACCCCAAGCCGGATTAGACGGTTCGGATACAGTGATTTACACAAAAAAAAAAAAAAAAAAAAAAAAAAACTACAAACACCATCGCAGGGTAGAGCGAGAAGCCTTATTGGTGACTAAACCCATAGCCGGATTAGTATGGTTCGAGATACCAGCTGCTTTAACATCAAGATACAAAATAAAAATAAAAATATTAAATTGCATGCCATCAAGCCAGACAAATAGGAAAAAAAAAAAAAAAGGCAAGTAAGGGGCCGTTAAAAAAGGAATAAGCAAATCCAGGAATAAAGTTTTGACTAAAGCAGCAATATTTCCATGTGTTTTTGGGTTAACATTCTAAAACCGTTTCAGGGATGGGCAATGAAATCTCTTTAAAAAAAAAAAAAAAAAAAAAAAAAATTGCATGATACAAGCCAGACAAATAAGGAAAAAAAAAAAAAGGCAAGTAAGGGCGTTAAAAAGAGAATAACAAATCCAGGAATAAAGTTTGACTAAAGCAGCATATTTCATGTGTTTTTGGGTAACATTCTAAACCGTTTCAGGATGGGCAAGAAATCTCTTTGCATGTTTATCATCTCCAGTCTTCCCCACTTCCCCAATTATCATCTTATCAAACCATCCTTATATTTCTTTGCCTTAACACTTGGATTCATCGAGAATCGTTGGAAAGGATGACGACGAACGGCTGTCAATGGTTGGTGTTTATGTGCATGTTGATTATAATGGTCGGGTGGTCAAGTTCCAATTATGGATATGTAGAGTCATCAAAGGTTCCAGCAATATTTGTGTTCGGAGATTCATTGGTCGATGTTGGCAACAATAACTATCTCAGCTCCATAGCCAAAGCCAATTACTTTCCTTATGGAGTTGATTCCGGTATAGGTCCCACCGGCAGATTTTCAAATGGCAAAACCTTTGTCGATATACTTGGTATGCAATTTATTATAGCTCTTAATTAGTATTTATATAACAATGTTCATCTTCAATTTTATACATAATAACATAACAATATATATATGGTATGTATATACGCATGCAGGGGAGAAGTTAGGTGTGCCTTACCCTTCAGCTTTTGCAGACCCTAACACAGCCGGAGTCAGAATACTTGGGGGAGTTAATTATGCGTCGGCAGCCGCTGGCATCCTTGATGAAACTGGTCAACACTATGTAATTAACTTACCATTTTTTTTAGAACTGGGACGTGTTAATCCCCTTCAGATAATTTTTTTAGAACCAGCAAATGCAGTTCCCACCCCTTAATAATTTAATTAAATATGGCATGCAGGGACAAAGGTATAGCCTTAGCCAGCAAGTGCTAAATTTTGAGAGCAATCTAAATGAGCTAAGAAGAATAAATGGAACCAATCTGACAGATTTCCTTGGCAAATCCCTCGCAATTTTGGTCTTTGGAAGCAATGACTACATCAACAATTATCTCATGCCTTCAATCTACTCTTCTAGCTCCAATTATAATCCTCCACAATTCGCCAACCTTCTACTCAACGACTATGCCAGACAACTAGTGGTAACACATTGTATTTACTGTGAATGCTTAATTAGGTTTTTAACTTTGTAATAATTAGTAATTGATAATGATGATGCAGACACTTAATAGTCTAGGATTAAGGAAATTCCTGATAGCAGGAATTGGACCCATTGGTTGCATTCCTAATCAAAGAGCCAGCGGTCAAGCCCCTCCAGATAGATGTGTTGATTACGTAAATCAGATAATCGGTGAGCCCAAGTCACACAACTTTATTTTCATGGATTCTAACATCATTTGCATCTACCCTTTTAACTCAATCTTGTAATAAATAGGTACCTTTAATGAAGGCTTGAGATCAATTGTTGATCAAATGAACAGGCGCCCTGGTGTTATCTCTGCATATGGCAATACTTATGGTGCAGTAGGTGACATTCTCAATAATCCTGGCACTTATGGTAAGAATTCAAGAAATTAATTTTCTCTCATCTCTATCCTTAATCATTTTTTTTTTTTTGGTTAAATGAAGAGTTAAGCTCTAAAAATTACATGCATAATCTGAAGTGTACTATACCATATAAATTATAGTTAAGCCACCGATCCATATCTAACGAGGGATCCATAAGCACATGAGTTCTAAGAGAAAAATTCCTAACTAATTTAGAGTGGGAATATGCACTTATATTTGCCTCCCTAGATACATGAATAATGTCATAAGCCGAGTCCTCTTATATTAGATTTTTAATAGCTAAGATAAGTTGATACGAGTCTCCACTTAAGTCCATTTTGCCTTGAATAAAGTTGAACCACTGCAACATTATCACACTCTAGTTTGATATGAGTGATACCCAGTTGTTTAGCTATCTTGAGGCCTTCATTGACAGCCCAAAGTTCTACTGCTGGCATAAGGCACGTTCCCACCTTAGCTATAAACCCTCAATCCAGCAGCTAGAAGCATCTGTAATAAGGCCACAACCACAAGCCATTTGGTCTACCAGTGATCCATCATTATTGAGTTTTAAAAAAGGAATCGCCGGCGTTTTCCAAGAAATCCAGCTCATAGACTTGTTGCACGATTTAATTTAATGAATTAATAAACTAATAAAAAAATTTAATTTATTAATTGCAGGATTTAGTGTGGTTGATAGGGGTTGCTGTGGGATTGGGAGGAATCAAGGGCAAATAACATGCCTTCCATTTACCATGCCATGTTCCAACAGAAATGTGTATGTATTTTGGGATGCTTTCCACCCAACACAGGCTGTGAATACCATTCTAGCCCAGCGGGCCTTTAGTGGGCCCCCGAGGGATTGTTATCCCATCAATGTCCAACAGATGACTCTCTTCTACTGATGATATGCTTTTTCTGTATTTCCTTTTCCTCTGTTTTCATTTTGAATACTCCGACAATAAACTTACCAATTCCAATATACAAGTTCATATTTTTTATTTTTCGTTCTTTCAGTTAGTAGTTAAACTTTTTGAGATTTGATATAACTAGACGTAAAAACTCTGTTTTGGGTGGATTTATCATTTTAAATTGTCACATAAAACAAATAATTAAATTTCATATGAAACAAACAAAACTGTAATTTATCGATCAATCATTAAATTCTGTAAGATTTGTTGCAGATTTTGAAAAATAAAAATACCTTCTTATTAAAAAAAATACATTAGTGATTATACGTTATTATGTAGAGTACTAATTTAAATAGTAAGATACGTTTAAACATAACAGGCGGTTATCAAAAGAAAAATCAATTAAAATTTATTTTGTTTGCCAAAATTAATTTTAATAGTTAAACTGTTTTAACTAGTTGTTGTTGATAATCTTAATAGTTGTATGTTATTTAATTAGTATTTCATCAAAAAAACGTTAAAAAATCTCAAATTCTAAAAACTAAAATAAACACATATAACCTAAGAAGTGAGAGTCAAATTAAGTTGTTACAAAGTGTAAACTTTGTATAACAATGTGGTTTCGAATAAGTAAATAAATAAATAAATAATATATATATATTTGATAATCTTAATAAGTGTTGATAATGTTATTATTTAGTATTTTCATATCAAAAAAATACGTTTAAAAATCTCAAATTTCCTTAAAAAACTAAATAAACACATATAACCTAAGAAGTGAGAGTAAATTAAGTGTTTACAAGTGTAAAACTTTGTATAACAATGCTGGTTTCGAATAAGTAAAAATTATATATAATATATATTAATATAATAATATATATTGACCGATGAATAGCCATTCTGCAATAATAAAAATATCAACGAATAATAATAATTTATATATTTTTTTAACCTTTTTTTTTGTTCTTATCAAACCTCGCATCAATAGGTTATACTGAGAAGGAAAAATAATAAAAATTACTTTTTTTGCCACTATTTATTAGAGAGTGATGTAAATATAAAATAAAAGAGAATAACACTATTTTTTCATTTTATAAATAATATATATATATATATATATATTGACATGAATATCATTTGATAAAAAAATATCAACGATAATAATATTTATTTATTTTTACATTTTTTTTTTCTTATCAAACTGCATCAAGGTTATACTGAGAAGGAAAAAAATAATAAAAAATTACTTTTTTCCCTATTTAGAAGGAGAAAATAAAATAAAAAGAGAATAACACTTATTTTTCTTTTTCAAAATTTTCTTTTTAAATTAAAGAAAATCTATAATAACGAACTATTGAAGATAAATTATTATTTTCCTTCTATATTCAAATAAAAAAAATCTTTTTTCCCACTTATTTTACTTTTTATTTTTAATTTTCTGTCATTATCTTCCCTCTTTAATCCAAAAATGGCATGAAACTTCCATACTCGAATGCTCTTTGGGGTTTTGAAGAGTCATGAAAATCAACGCATCCAATTGTATGAAAACGAAATGTAATCTGACGGTCTAATGATTGGCACGTCACAAATCCAAATAAGACCACTGTATCTACAGAGAGCTGTAGGTAAGTGAAAGCTAGGCCCAGGACCAGGCCCAGGGCCATTCAATACGATCGCGTTTAATAAACGCAGCATTCATAATTATTTTATCAAAAATTAAATCGGATGGATAAGTCCAGATCCGGGTCCACAATAATATTCTGAAGCGGAAAAGGAAAGAAACCCTAAGAAAGTAGAAAACCTGAACACACTCAAATTCTAATTTCTCACTCACGTCCTTTTTATATATCATCAACGGCGGTGGTTTCTCAATATTGGCGAATTCTCTGAAACTATGTCGGACGAGGAGCATCACTTCGAGTCAAAAGCTGACGCTGGAGCTTCCAAAACTTACCCGCAGCAAGCCGGAACTATTAGAAAAAACGGATATATAGTCATTAAGAATCGCCCATGCAAGGTCTGTTTTTAGGTTCTTGTTTTTGGTAGTTGATATTTGTTAATAGGATTCTAATTTTTATTTTTCTGTGCTTTGATTTTATCCTCGAAGTTTTGAGGCTTGATTGTTTTATTATTCATTTTTTATGTTTCTAATCCTTTATTGTCTGAAACTGAATTTTAGATCTAGGTTTTTATTTATTTGTTTGTTTTATTAATCGGCGATCCTATCTGATTTTGTTTTGTGGTTTGCTCATTCTTGGTATAAATGAATTTGAACTATAAAATTTAATTTTTAGGAAGAGAGCTAACATTTTTTTTATATCAAACTTGAAAAACATGGAATTTCAGATGAATTTCAAGAGAGTCCTTGATTGAAATCTGTTTGGTGACAGGTTGTTGAAGTTTCCACCTCCAAGACTGGAAAGCACGGTCACGCGAAGTGCCACTTCGTTGGAATAGACATCTTCAATGGCAAAAAGCTTGAAGATATTGTCCCTTCCTCCCATAACTGTGATGTAAGGAATTGTTTAGTTTTGATTCGTCTATTTTTAATGCATTGTTAGTTGTAATTGAACTTTATTCAATGAATAAATGATTGCAGGTTCCCCATGTCACTCGAACTGACTATCAGCTAATTGATATCTCTGAGGATGGATTTGTAAGTCCCTTTTGGTTCACAAGTGACCACCACTAAATCTGTCAAACTCTTGCTAAATTATTTTCAAATATTAGGTGAGTTTGCTGACTGAAAATGGGAACACTAAGGATGATCTGAGGCTTCCAACTGATGAGAATCTTCTGTCTCAGGTATAATAATTTATGTTCGTATATATATATATGATTGAATTTGTGCTAGTTTCTGATTGTTTGCATTGGATTAAATTTTGATTAGCAATCGATCAAGTTTTGGTTAAGGCTTAGGTTGAACATGAACATTCTTAAATTTATCTTGGGTTTCTCTCTGTGTTTGTGTTTTATTCTATCATCCAAGTTGGATGGACATATAAATGTCAAATGTTAATATTTTGATTTCCCATTTATCGGTGACTGCAGATTAAGGATGGGTTTGCTGAAGGAAAAGATCTTGTTGTGACTGTCATGTCTTCAATGGGAGAAGAGCAGATCTGTGCTCTTAAGGATATTGGCCCAAAGTAATTTCTTATTATCGGCTTTAGGTGGTGGTTGCTATTTAAATCGACTGATTTTTGTAAAAACCATCTTTTCTTTGCTTTATATTATAGAAACTTAGAGTAGACTAGCTCAATGCTTTGCGGATGGTATTTTATATCTGTCAAAACTGGAAACAGAATTTGCTTTACTTCTAGCTGTACTACTTTGTTTTATGGTACTCCTAATATTTATGAGCTATCTGGTTTTACCCCTATCATTTGTGCCATTCTGTTTCAATTTGGCTCCTTGGTTACGGGAGAAATTCGTCAATCATTATCTTCAATTTCAATCAAAGTATGTTTGTTTTTTTTTTTTTTTTTTTGAAATTAACAAGTTGACAATCCATAGATACATTCTGTTATGGATATTTCAATTTTTGAGATAAGTTTTGCGTTTATAGTTTGGAAATTTCAATGCATATGATAAGAGAAGGGTGGTTACAGTGTTTTAAGATATTGTATTTCAATTTTTAGTTTCAAAATTTAAATTATAGAGAAAGAAATTCATATTTTCTGATTCAATTGAATAGATATCTAGATACTGTTGTTACTGCGTAGATATTGCAACAACCGTGTTAGATTCTAAGTCCATGCCTTCAACGACTTTTTTCAACCGTAAATCAGTTATGAAATAATTGGATCAACCATAAATCAGTTTTTGTCAGCAATAAATCAGTTCAGAAATTATTACCCTTTTTTTTATGCTCTTGTAAATTCTACCTAAATTTTTTCTATGATTAATAGTAATGATACTATTGGAATATATTAAAGAATTAAAAAATCAATTTCTCTATAAATTGAAATAAATAAAAAAAGAAAATAAGATTATGTCAGACGGGATATCTATATATATATATATATATATAAAATCTGGATCGAACCATAAATCTAGTTTTTTGCTCACACCCAATTAGGATCAGTCAGTTCGAAATTAATTGAACCGTTCTTTTTTTTTTATGCTCTTGTAAATCTACCTAAATTTTTATTTCTATGATTTAATAGTAATGATACTGATTGGATATATTATAAAGAATTAAAAATATCAATTTTATCTATAAATGCAATAAATAAAAAAGAAAATAGATTATGTCAGACGGGATATCTATATATAATATATATACAATTCCGAAGTAGTATCCCTTAAATACATTGCTTTAACTTACATAGTAAACTACTAAACCATAACAACATGTAAAATTAATTAAAATCAAAACTCTAAAGCATTTCCTACACCAATCCACACTGGTCATCGATTATTCTGTGGGAAATTTCACTAAAGGGATATCTATATATATATATATATATATATATAAATACATTTTTTACTTACTTAATACTAACCATAACAACTGTAATTAATTAAAATCAAACTCTAAAGCATCTTCCTCCAATCCACTGGTCATCGTTCTGTGGAAATTATATTCCTTTCTGCCAATCGGCCAATTATTAAGGATCATCGTCTTAAACTGTGAGAGAGTTTAAGGACCAATAGCAATTGACTGTCCGTCCCCAACTTTTTCTCTCTCCCCTACTCTGAAACGTTACCTCTAGAAGAACCAAAAGAAGAGATGAGCTCTTCGCCGCACCGTTCTCGAGGTGGTACTAGCAGTGGTGGAGAGGAGAGACCTAGATTCTTCGACCATAATGCCAAAAAGATTTGCTGGGCCAAAGCTGACATTGTACCCGGTCGACACCCTGAGAGGTGGCGCAAAGACGCTGCTGGTAACATCGTTTGCAAGCGCCTCTGTAATTGCCATGGTTGCCTCTGCTTCCAGTACGATCATATTGTTCCCTTCTCGAAAGGTGCCTGTCCTCTTTCTTCCCTATAAAATTTTTCACTTGCACTGGTTAGGCTATTTGATTATTGCGTCTCTCTTTGAAAAATTCTGGCTGTTGGATATTCTTTGTTAAATGGGTTCCTGAGTTTTGCCTTTCCAATTAGTAGTAATGGATGAAGCTGAGATTTTGTTGCACTGTAAATTATAATAGTAAAGAATTGAAATTTGAAATTTCCAACTTCATTACATTACAAAATTTGAATTTTGTGTTGTAGGTGGTGAATCTACTGCTGATAATTGTCAAATACTTCAAACGAGGGTCAACAGTTTTAAGTCGGATAAAGAGGAGGTGGACAAAGCCCAATTGCGAGGTTACTCTTGTGATCTCAAGTTCACTGGTGTGTGTGCTTGCTTTTAATGATCTTTTCTTTCCTTTCTTTTTCTTCAGTTTTCATGCTTATGTTTTTCTCTGTTACATTTATGTCTTCGTGTTTTCCCTTCGTGCAAACTGCCTTGTAAAGATAAATATAAAGAGTAATGTCGTGACTAATCAATGATGTTCCGAATCAATTTTAATTTTTGGTCTTTCTTCTTGTTGGGGAGTAATATTTCTGCTGTATGCATGTTTATGCATGTTTATGTCTCTTAGAATTGCTCCTCTCAACCAGAAGAACACATAAATGGATAAAACAGCGTTCTTTGTTTTCTTTGTGATCCTGTAGCCAAATCTATCTAATTTTGTATCTGACTCTTGCATGTTGATTTGCGTATTAAGTTAACTTCAGATCTTTTTCTATTGTCCCATTAAAGAAATTGGGATTTTCACATTTCAATACCTGTATACCTTTTGCCTGAGGTTTATGAAATTTTTTTTACTCATTCAAAACCCTCAGATAGTTATAGCATCTAAGTTAGTTTTAGTCTTTTATTAAATATGCTATCATACACAGTCATGGAGGCACTCACAATTAACTATTCATTTGTTTCTAGATACTTTTAGGAGAAATGCCTTTAAACAGTCTCAGTTCTATCAAAATCTCAATTATCTCATTTTGGATGCTTTTTGAATGTTCAATAAATTATTTGTAATTTTGGATCACAAGTTCAGCTTTCTTAGGTTTATGATTCGTAAAAACAGGCTCGGAGTGGCTTTTTGTTACTTTTGTCAGGTTGGTGGGCTTTCCAACTTTAAATTTGTCTCTCAGTTTATCAGTCCTATGTGCAGACATTCTCATTTCATTGTTTCAATCAAAACCCTGCTCCTTTCTAGAACATCTTCAATGAAGCAACAGTGTTTGATTTTGAGAAATTTTCAGTTTGTGATTAGTCCAAGTATTCTAATTTCTACTTATCTGTCTTCTAAGCAAGTATGATTCTCTAGTTCAAAACAGAAGAAGTTTTCTATCTGGTGCATCAATCCATTGCATCAAAAAAAAAAAAAAAAAAAAAGAAGAAGTTTTATTCTATTGGTTGCATTCAAATTCCATGCCATCAAAAAAAAAAAAAAAAAAAAAAGATTTAGGTTGTACTAGACATTTTCTGTAGATTTGCCTAAGCTAGTTGAGTAAAGGGAAAAAAAAAAAAAAAAAAAAAAAAAGATTTAGTTGTACTAGACATTTTCTGTAGATTTAGCCCTAAGCTAGTTGAGTAGAGGAAAAGAATCTATATGGCCAACCTCAACTAATTTAAGATTAAGGCTTAATTAGTCTGAGTATTTGTTCTTTCTTTCTCTTGTTCTACCTATTGATTAGGCTACGAACTTATCTAATTCTCACTGTTGTCCCAAGAAGTTTTACATAAAATGTTTCATGATGCTATGAAGTACTATCCTTCCTTTCTTTTCCATTTCTTTTTTCCTGAAAAGGAAGTGATATATTCTCAAAAATAGTTGGCAATTCAGCACAGTAACCTCATTTAACATAGTGCAATAGAAAAATTATGTAACAAATAAAATAGCTGAGTAGTAACATAGCGCAATAGAAAAATTTACATTATTTGGTACTGCGACAAAAATAACAATAAAGAGTAAGCTCAAGTTGCTGTAGTAGGAATTATGCTTTGTGTTTTGCTCCTCCCAATCATCTCCTAGGATGTCTTAAATGAAGGCTTTTTCCAAGGCTCTCTATCATTTAGATCAACCTCTTGTTTCTCCGGCCCATAAAGGATTAAATGGTTGTCTTTCTGTACGTTTGCCTTTGCGAGACTTCCCAACTGATTATCAGAAAATCATGTGTTTTTTCAACTTACAGATAAGGAGCTCGACATAATCGAAATGGCTGTTTATGGGGATGTAATCCGGCCTGGAAACCAATGTCGTTGCAGAACTGTTGCCGAAATGCTTGGCCAACAAAAGTCAAAAGATCGTGCAGCTGCTTGCAAATTGCCATATGGTGATGAATCTTTGTAATGTAGCAACAAAGATCGTAATATTTGGTCAGAAAATTGCTGAAAGAACTTCAATTTTGTATTCCATGGATTTTTTTTTTTTTTTTCTCTTTATCAATTGTGCATCTTACAAAGATGATATGAAACCTAATATGAGGTTGAGTCAGTAGAAACTAGGCACGCATTTTTATTGAAATTGAATCACCTGTAACATTGTAGCCCATGGTTAGAATATTTGAAAATCAGTTGAAGTACACCACTTGGCTTGTCTTAATTTTTTTTTTTCATTTCCTAATCCAGCACTTGTTGGATTAAATCAAACGTTGGTCCTTGAGATTCTAATATGAATTGTTAATGTAACTGCTGATATATTAAATTGTAAGACACGTTAATCCGGTCTTTTATCACTGATTATATAGAATAGGGACCAAGTCCTGATGCCACTATCGTGGTTTTAAGCTGTTTTTCTTGAAAATGACCAACATTTAGCAGGCTTTAGGTCAGCCATCAACACCATAGATGATAGCAACAAGAAAGAACCCAAGCATTCTTGAGAAAGGAAGACAACTAAGAAAAATTTTCTACGTGTTGGTTGGTTCAGGATTTTTCAATTGAAGCTGATATTTCATTTGCCCTTTTGTTTTTTCTCTTTCTCTAGGAAATAAATTGGTAGAAGAGCGTAATAGGAGGCCATTTGCTTAATGGAAATTGACCCACAAGCTAGCTCAATTGCATTTCCACCAAGAAAAAAGAAAAGAAAATTTTGATTAAGGGACAGATTGTGACCAGTCCAACCAACCCACCCTGCTTAAAAGTCTAAGAACTCCCAATACAATAAAGAAAATTTGGTAAGGTACAGAGGGAACACATTGCATGGGTTATTGACTTGATGGGTCTGCATTGATTGACCATTTGTAGGCAGAAATCCTTATTTTAAGCCTTGAAAGTCCACTCTTTCAATTAGTTTATTTTCTGAAATCCTTTATTTAATTGAATTAAATCTAATTTTTTTTAACTGGTTTAAGACAAAATTATCCTAGATTTGCTCTTTCTTTCCTTCTTCGTCTTCAATATGTTTGACCCTTCTTTTTCAAAATCATAGTAATGATATATAATAATAACACCCAGCCTGGCTAACTTTGCAATTTGCAAGCCTAAATTTTTATCTTTAAGCAACTATGTTGACCATTTTGGAGTATGTTTCTTGTTTGTATCCAAAAAGACACATTAAAGAGCTTCAATGGTTGAGAGGTTGGCTAATCATTTTGTGATTAGATTAGGTTAACAAAAACACTAAATATGGATTGAAGAATCTCTATGCATGTAAAGTGTCTAGAAAATTAGGTTTAACTTGTTAATTTGTTGATAATCTTATCATAATCTCATACCATGTGATAGTAGTTTTCATCAATAATCCTCTTCAGACTTCATTACTACATTACATATTTAACTTTTGAGATATTTCTATTTTTTGATGTATTGAACTTTCTTTTTCTAAGGAAGAAAAGACTTGTCAGATTTTGAAATATAACCTTTTATTATTCAAAAATTGAAATATTAATCAAGAATGCCCTTAAAAGATTATAATGGCTGTCAACACTTTCTTTCCATTCAAGTATGACTTCTTAGTTTTCTTTGTTCACATAGAAAGTGATTTGCTCATAGAAAAAAAAAAAAATTTTTTATGCTCAAAATGATGAGTTAAAGACGTAATGTGATGAGTGAAGTAGTTAGAAAATAATATGGACGTTGACACCACTAGACCTACCTTTGACTTACCCCACCATCCTCTCTTTTTCCACAGTTATTGATTCCTGCATTCCATTTCTTAATTTCTATTGCTGGATTTGGTTCGCTTTTACAAAAGCTTCGTCGACACTGTAGAAATTTGCATATCTGTAGGTGGGGCTTTTAACGCATTACCAAACATAACCACATGCATTTAACTTGCTTCCCTCTTTAATTAATGTAAAATAAATATACTTGTTTTGGCTTTTTTTTTTTTTTTTTTTTTTTTTTTTTTTTTTTTTGCATTTTAAAAACTGTGCTTCCCCTCTTTAATTCAATTGTAAAATAAATAATACTGTTTTGGCTTTTTTTTTTTTTTTTTTTTTTTTTTTTTTTTTTTACATTGGAAGATTGGTGTCGGCTTTAAGACTGATTTTTTTTTTTTTTTTTTTTTTTTTTTTTTTTTTTTAACATTGGAGTGGTGTTCGGCTTTTAAGACTGACTGGCGGACATGCCTGGATAGAAAAAAAAAAAAGAGGAACTTTATGGACTATGTAATATTGCGAGAACTGTGCAACAGAAGGCAACTTTCTCCTATGGTTATTGACCTCAGTCACAAGATAAAAACTTGAAAGACAAAGAATTGTGGATTAGTACTTTATTGAGCTAAAATAGTAAATAGATGGTTCTTCTTGCTAAAAGAAAGAAAGGGAAATAATTTTGTTTTGCTAGAAGGGAATGCTTTTTAGTAGGAGCAGAGGCCAAAGGGATTCTGATTAGGTAATGGGAGGCAGCAATCATGGCTTAATATGAGAGCAGGAGTGGTGCTGCCACATACCACATGCAAAATGCTTTAATCAAATTTTATAATTAATTATCTGCCAAAAGTTGAAAAACCTATTAATGTGTGATATGAAAGAAAAAGAACTATTTAAAAATAATATATCAAAATATGATATCTTTTAATGCTAAAAGTTTAATTTTTTTTTTCATTAAAAAAAAGGATAGGTGAACATTTAATGGCCTAAAATTAAGAAATTACTGATCATTTAGGTGTTGAATTGGTGAGTGTATTTATTTAAAATTTGAAATTATTCATCAAGATATTTAAAAACTTAAATTTCAAATTTAATTTGATTGGTGAGTGTATTTATTTCTTGTATTAAAATGATATAGATATATTGAAATTCACCGGAATAATATTTAATCTTTCGAGTGTACGCTTTCCATATACATAATATAAAAGATTAAGGACTTCAAGATAATATACCAATTCATCCAAAAAATAATTTGGTCCCCTAAACTTGAAGATAATATACCGATTCATCCAAAAAATTATTTATAAGAGGTAAGTTATAGAAAAAGTTTATTTTTATTTTTAAGCAAATTTTACCTTAAACAAATTTAATAATTTTCTTACGGAATGTGAAATTTCAAATATGACAAATATTATAGAACAAATATAGTAATTTTTAGAAATATTGTACATTTTTCCATAGTAACAACTAACAACTATAATTATTGATTTTTTTTAGCTTTTACATGTAAAATTTTAATTTGATTTATGGTTAGCACAATTTTTAAAATAATAATTTTTATATTATTCAATTATTTAATTATTCTAATTTTATAATTCAATAAAATTGCTTTATAAATTAAATAATATATAATTTAGTTAAAGTGTTTGATGGATTGAGATAGATGATATGAATAAAGTGAAGGTTAAATTTATATATCCCACCTTTATATTTTTAACCATATGTCATACATGTTACGTTTGAAAAGGGTAAAAAAAGAACGACGATAAAAAGTAAAACAACCCAAAATCAATAACCATATGTGATAAAAAAAAAGGTAAGAATATCACTGTTAATTACTACACAAACACCCAATTTCAATGCAATGTGCACAAAAAAGTCCTTTTTAATGATTAGTTAATAGTATTAAAACATAAAAAGCTTCACTCTTTATTAAATCTCCACCATCAAAAGCAAGCCTTTTGATTAAATTTTTCAAAAAATAATTAATAGTAATAAAGATATTTAGGGAGGTGGTCAAAATCAGTAATCATAAAGGTAAAAAGATTAGATATTTGAAGATGAATAATTAAAGCATAGAGATGCCTTGGCAGTGGCACTGTCCCATTACCATAAGTGTGGACCCATGCCCAACTCATTGTGTGGACCCACAAAATGCCATTTAAGTAAAAAAAAAAGAATATAAAATTATGTCAGAATTGGGAACTGAAAAAGGCACTAACAGAAGCGAAGAAGGGAAGGGAAGAAGTATGAAATAGAAATAGAAAAAGAAAGCTGACTGCTTCACACTACTGTTATCATACTTCATACCCTTTTTATTTTTAAATTTAGACATTAATTTATCTATTTATGTGTATACATTCATACATACTTTATGATTCCTACATTTTGGGATTTGAGCTACAAATTTTTTTTGCAGACTATAGTACTATATGTAATAAACTTTTACAACTTTCTTGAGTTACTTTCTTACCTTACAGCTAAGTAAATAATTAAAGATGGATCATTTCTTTTTTTCTTCTTGGTGCATTTTTTTCAAAAAAAAAAAAAAAAAAAATTCTTCTTGGTGCATTTTTTTCAAAAAAAAAAAAAAAAAAAAAATCATATAGAAGTTGCACCATGAAAACAATTATTTTAATAAAAAAAAAAAAAAAAAAAAATCATATTAGAAGTTGCACCATGAAAACAATTATTTAATTGAATTAAATTAACAATTCATTTAATAATTTACGGTTATAATGAATTGGATTACATTTCATACAAAATGGCTTCACATTTCTCATCGTGTTATTTACTTAATTTACATTTATTGAATTACCAACATATTTCAATACTTGTAAATATGAAAGGTGCATATTTAAATGAATTATTAATTAAATAATTTAATTAATAGAATATATATACTTGTAAAACTACATATTAAATAATGATAAAATATATACATTATTCTTACGAGACGTGTAGAATGTAAGACTTTATTTAATAAGTTGTAATGAAATAAAACACGATACATTTAATTACGGTACATAACACTTTTAAATGGAATATAACGTAATATAATTAAATTATTACATCACACTTCACCAAATTTTTACATATTTCTCTTGTAGTGTTGTTGCATTCCTTTGCTATTTTCAATTTCAATTGCCTTACAAAGAGGTAAAGTTTATGAACCCAAAACCCAAACAACACTTTCAACTTTTTTTGAATTAAATTTTGAAAAAGAAAACAATTAAGTCATCAACTACCCAATACCAAAACCAAAAATCACTACATACTTGCTACTACAATTATTTTTAAGTATTTTTTCTAAAACTCACGCGCCACTACACGCTCCATCCTATTGGTTCCTATTTTGTATGGTCCACTTGGCATCCAGCAACCCATGCACTCTCACACATTAAAAAAAAAACATATCCAAACAAAAAAGGAGAATAAAAGTCAATTAATATTAATTATAATATATACAAATAATAGTTTTTTGAATTTTCTTTTTATCTCTTATAGTAATATTTACTTTCCGTTGATTATGGTGCATTTTGTTATGCTATAGGCGCAATTGCCGCTGCAGAAAAGAAAAATGGAGACAAGCAGAAAGTGATGGAAAACATTCCTTTCTTTGGGTTTTTGGTTTATATATAAAAACCCCATTTTTCAATTTCATTTTTGAGCTCTGTCTCCTCTCTGTAAGAATTTGGATCCGCCATCTCACTCGCCCGACTGACTCCAATTCGGACTGTTTCTTTCCAAAACTCAAATAATGGGCTGCGTTAGCTCCAAGCAGGCGGTTTCAGTTACGCCGGCTTTCGACCACTCGGGTGGGTTTAATTCGGGTCGGATACGGGTGGGGTTGGACAATGAGAAGAGTAGCCATAAGAGTTGTGGGAATAGCAACCATAAGAAGAATGGGGAGCTGAGTTGTTGTGGTAGCGAGTTGGGTGAGTCCGGTAGAGCGAGTTCTAATGGTGAGTCTTTGAGCTTTAGATTGCGGAATTTACAGAAGTACATTGAAGGAGAACAGGTAGCTGCCGGTTGGCCTGCCTGGCTTAGTGCCGTTGCAGGTGAAGCTATTCAGGGTTGGGTCCCGCTTAAGGCCGATGCGTTCGAGAAACTGGAGAAGGTTGTCCAATGCGTGCATTTATTTATATGCATATATGTTAATTACAGTTTCAAGATTTTGTTGTTTGCTACTTATGATTGGTGCAAAGATGGGTTCTTTGTCATTTTGCTGATAGTATTTTTTGGCTTTGTTTTATTTGTTTGTTTATTTACCAGTCTTACTGTCTTGGTCTAATTGTGAAGAAAATTATGGAAATGTATTCCCGTTCTACGTTTTCTTTTCTGGGAAAGTTCATATTTTTCTTGATTCCAGAAGTATGGTTTTGGGCACATTTCGATAATCACTATGATTGAAATAATCGAGAATTCTTTAGGGATTAAGAATTTCTGCATTTTTTTTTTCTTGTTGACAGACATAACTGGAATTTGTTAATTTACCTCTGCTTGTTGGGGCTCAGTTTTTTACCTTCTTTTTTTTTTAGCTTTATCGTGCTGGAGTCTGCTTCTTCTTTGTTCAAACGTACATGCTTGTGTATTATTCATGTTTAGAGATTCGTGATTCTTAGACTTCAATTTATAATTTGCTTCGCAATAATTCTTTCCCTCTTGATCTAATTACAATTGTCGTTGATTTCCAGACCTTTTAGATCTTTTTTGAGAAATGGTTTTCCCTCAAAGTGACTTCTAACTTGCGCTTTTATGTACGACTGGAATCTTGTTGATTTGACATAAATGTTTTTAACAGTAAGTGTACCTGAAGTCTTGATAAAATTTTTTCAAGAAAATCTGTCACTTCTGTTGTGCACTTTTGGTGTATAAAAATAGAATCTTCATCATTCTGCTATTCTCATCTTATCACATTAATTGGATAATTGACTTACCGGATTTTAAATTCTTTGCGTAGATAGGACAGGGTACATATAGCAGTGTGTTTCGAGCACGTGAACTTGAAACTGGGAGGATTGTTGCACTGAAGAAGGTTCGATTTGACAATTTTGAGCCTGAGAGTGTCCGGTTCATGGCAAGAGAGATAGTGATTCTCCGCAGGCTTGACCATCCCAACATCATGAAATTGGACGGGTTAATAACCTCCCGTTTATCATGTAGCATATACTTGGTGTTTGAGTATATGGAGCATGACATCACTGGACTCTTGTCTTGCCCTGATGTCAGGTTCAGCGAGTCACAGGTTTCTTCACTTTGCTATATGCTTTCTAGAATTCTCTTTGAGGTGTATCTTGACAGCATATGAAAGGAAAATTATTTTTTTTCTGCTGCATTGAATTTTTAGTTTACAATATAAAATAAACTTACTTTGTCCCTACAACACAGAATAATGGACTTGTATATTATACTGATTCTTTTCCTGTCATTTATGTGTCACCTCAATGGATTACTTGATTCTTCCTCATTGAAGTATATGAATTGTCTTCTTTTGCAGATTAAGTGCTATATGAAGCAGTTGCTATCTGGACTTGAGCACTGTCACTTAAAGGGTGTAATGCACCGAGACATCAAAGGATCAAATCTTCTTGTAAATAATGAAGGAATGTTGAAGGTGGGTGATTTTGGATTGGCAAACTTCTGCAACTCTGGAAACAGACAACCATTAACCAGTCGTGTTGTGACTTTATGGTACCGTCCTCCAGAGCTTTTGCTAGGTTCATCTGATTATGGAGCATCTGTGGACCTTTGGAGTGTTGGTTGTGTATTTGCCGAACTTCTCTTTGGAAAACCTATTCTTCAAGGGAGAACAGAGGTATATTACATTATTTGAGGAGCACTTTTAACTGCTACTACTCAATTTTTCACATGCAATATCTTACTGGTTAAATCTACTCATAGAGGTGCCAAAGATGTAAGATGCGAATGTGCAGTTTCTGTGAAAGGACTTACAGTACATCAAATTTGACAAAAAATGGGTTTGTTTATGTAAAATAAGTATCTTAAAAAGCTTTAAGTGTATTGATGATTACCTTCTCAATTTTCTATGTGAGAGTAGAATCAAGGCAAGAGGCTTACTGTTCCTGAAGCCTTTTGTTTTCCTTGATGAAGTGTAAGAAGATAGCAGTTGTTGTTGTCTGCATTGGATTACAAAACTGGCAGAGACTGCTTTTCACCAAAATGTACAGTGCACCAGTCATTCTGATTTTGTGATTCTGTTCCATGCGATAATTTTTAAACAGGAGAACAAGTTAGTCTTCAGGGATTTGGATGATCAATTATAGCTGTTTTAGTATTATATTTATTTCTAACCAATAGAGTGTCTTAATTTATAGAGGTTAGCTGCTGTGTTCTTATTCTTTTTTTCTTTTCATCGACAGTTTTAGTTCTATATATGAATGCTTTTGCTTTCTCCTTCAGGTTGAACAATTACACAAAATTTTCAAGCTTTGCGGGTCCCCACCTGATGAATACTGGAGAAAGTCCAGACTTCCTCATGCAACTTTATTCAAACCGCAACAACCATATGATAGCTGTCTGCAAGAGACCTTCAAAGATTTACCAACAACTGCTGTGAACCTGATAGAAACACTTCTATCTGTAGAGCCATACAAGCGAGGGTCTGCCACCTCTGCTCTTAAATCTGAGGTGATTCTCATCTTCTGTGAAACCTGATGTGCCAATCACAAGAGAGACCAATATAAAATAATTTAATTTGTCAATTTCTATTTGACATCACCATATTCCAGTGGAGTTTATGTACCTGGTTCTCACTCAAAGTTGTTTTCTTAATTTTGGTTTTACTATGTGCATTCTATTTACAGTAAAACCACAACACTAAACAGTAGCAGCTTTCTGTCGAAATTCAATAACATGATTTTTGTCACTAATGCAATGCTCTTTATCTACAATTTTCAGTATTTCACTGCAAAACCTCATGCATGTGATCCATCAAGCTTGCCAAAATACCCACCTAGCAAAGAGATTGATGCAAAAAACCGTGAGGAGGCAAGTAGGTGAGGATTTGCATTTTTCTTTTGTGGTGAAAGATCTTCAAGCATTCCTCTCATAATTAAATATTGATTGTGCGAGTATACTGAATAAAAGAAATGGAGCTGTCACCCAAGTTGTAATTAATATTTGTTACAACAAATGAATACATGGAATTAGCTAGATTTTAGGATAGGGTTTTGGATCTTGACTAATGGCCCTTGGAATCTAGCAAATAAATAAGATTCTATTATGCTTTGATTTTGAACTGCACTTGTTGCTGTCATATGAAAGGAATCATGCATTAAACTCCTATGGGTGTTTAATTTGTTAGGGAAGCCATAAAATTTAAAACTGAAATTGATGTTTCCATTTGAAAGAGCCATTGTCAGAGGATACCGAATTTTTAAACCTTTTGATGATAGCATTATGAAATGTTTTGGTAAGAAAGAAAAATCATAAACTGTCTCTAGATTGTTGACAAACTGAGATATCTCATTCAACTTTCAGGAAAAAGATCAGTGGTAGAAGTCGTGGTGGTGAAACAAGAAAGCCGACTAGAAAACTTGGTGGAATCAATAAACCGGCGCCAACAGAGGTCTCTCTCTCTCTCACACATACACACACACTACTATACTAAAAAAATGTTTGAGGAAGCTGATTCATTCTGCTAGTTTTCTTTTCTATATTCCAGGATGCAGTGGCTCGAATGCAAAGTGCTCAAAATAATACTAGCAATATGCATATCACTAAGGGAGGAGATGTCAGATCTAGTGGAGAGGCACGGAAGCCATCACTTGAAAAGTTGGAGGAGATTTTGCATGTAAAGAATGCATCCCAAGGAGACATTCCCTTTTCTGGCCCCTTACAGGTTTCTACTTCCAGTGGCTTTGCATGGGCAAAAAGACTAAAGGATGATGCGTCTGTAAGATCCCACAATAGGACTATTTCAAGAGGCCACGTTACTAATGGATTAGAAACCTCTACAGCGTTGCAAGAAAAGAACCATTTTGATTCAAGACGGCAAGATAATGGGGATGTCAGATATGGGATCCGGACCAATTCTAAAGGTCATGATTCATATGAGATTTCTAAGCATGCTTTGCAGAAACAGTGGAGTCAGTTTGAAAGGCCAGATTCCTTTGATGCTTCTGAGGGTTACCATTCACAAGAACTATCATTGGCACTTTATCAAAGAGAGGAAATGGAAGCAAAGAGAAATAATTTGGTACGTCTGTAAACATTGATGTTGCATCTAGCTTTAATTATTTTCTTTGTTGACAATGAAATGAAATATCCGCCTAAACGATGCATTTCTGAAAAAGCTTGTAATATACCATAGTTTTAGGTTTGATGAAATCTAAAACTTAACGGAAATTTAATAAATTACAAATTTGATGTGGTAAAAACTAAAATGATGTTATCAATTTCAGTAACTTATTTAGGTCAGCTGCAGATCTTATTGTGATCCTCTCTAGTCTCTTCCTATTTGTTCTATCTTTACTATTCTTATTGGCTAACCAACCATTTTACTGAAAATTTATAATGGCCTTGGCATCTTTTTAATATTGGTTGCAACAAATAAACACACTTTTAAAATGTTCTTTTTTACTTCTTCGAAACATGAGATGTTCTATGCAAAATCATTTATTTTCACAAGTAAAAACAGAAATAAACAACCCATGAGCCTTTTATTATTAGTTTTTTGAGATTCAATAAATTGCATGTGCTTGATCAATTAGATAGGTGGTGATAATGAATATGAGGTAGTACAGCAGCAGAGTTCAACTGGCAGAAGTGGCTGTCACAGCGAGGCAGAGAGGGATACTAGTATTGTATGCCTTGATGATGATGGTCTTGCACAACAGCGAAAACAAATTAAAAAATTTTGAAACTTCAAAGAACTTATTTATCCCTAAAAGAAAGTTGCTTGCAGAGGAATTAATTTTTTGGCCTCCAATATATTTCCCACTTTTTTATTGAAAAAAGAAGAAGCGAACTTGACATTTGCCAAATGTGAGTTTCAAGAAAGAGTGGTGATGGCTTAAAAGTCAAAAACCTGATATTACCACCAACAAACTAGGTTGACCAATTAATGTCCTGTTACATACTTGTATATTTTGTGAAAGTGGAAACGAAGTAGAGATATAAGAATTATATCTTAATGTTCTATTTCTATATTACTTACATTTCAACATACTATTTTCTGAATAGTGTTTGACTTGAACAGGGTTTTCAAGATCAAGTGGACAAGGTAGAATTTTCTGGACCCTTGCTATCTCAATCGCATAGAGTGGATGAACTACTAGAAAGACATGAACGCCACATTAGACAGGCTGTTCGAAAATCATGGTTTCAAAGAGGTATATGATGCTTATGACAATATTCTTATTTACAGATTATTTTGGCAACCTTTGCAGTATTGCTTGTTTTATGAATCAATGTCAGATCTGGGGCATGCTTTCTTCTTAACATTGCATTGATTGTACCTCGAAACATTCATAAGTTGCTGGAGGTGTACAGGGTTAATTGAACTAACAGTTGGACAATTAACTAAGGATATGTATCCATGACGACAGAGCTGAATTTATTTATTTATGAATTACTGCTTTATACAAATTTGTAGTGAAATTATTAAAGAAACTTGAACTCAGGTTATAATGGGTCACCATTACTTGGTAACACCACTTGGCATGATAAGCAATTAGGCTTATGTATTAAAGGTCCTGAAGCATAATTACCAGCATGTCTCATGGTATGATTCTTTATGTCACAGGTAAGAAGCATGGAAAGTGATCATCATCAGGTACACAGGCTTCTTTTTGTCCTGTTTTAGGAAAATTGCATCACTCTTTTCTTTAAGTGGAGAATTGGCAGAACTTGAGACAAACGTTCAGTTACCAAGAATTCCAAACCTCAGGAGCAAAAGTATAATATCAAAGCATCATACAGCCAATGCCATCAACTTGAAATTTAGAAACTGCAAGTTGAGACTTCAGAGTGGTGCATGCCAACTAGAAAAAGAAGAGATGGGGGTACAAAAGAGAGATCCACAATGATGGTTGCTCTCTTTTTCTCCTACAATGAGCATTATTTATTTGTTTTAGCTTTATTCCTCTGTTCTTTTTCCTTTCCTCCTTTTTCCTTCTCTATATCATATGTATATATAGATAGTGTATCCCAAGTCACTGTTTGTAAGACTTGTGGCATCAGTTGCTTTTCTCTCCTATCCTATATCATCAGCATTGCAATCTGTTTTCTGCAAATTGGAAGCTTTTCTTAAAACAGAGATATGGACGATGAGATGAAGAGAACATCAGAATAGTAGCAGGGCTTTTGTGTAGAGTACAATTTACAGCCAAACTCAAATAGTTTAACGATTAAATACTCCAGAAAGGAACCTCTTCATTTCATCTTTGCTTTATGGTAAGCATAGCATCAAACTACCCAACTCACTGAATTTTTTTTCCATAATCTGCAGTGATTAAGCCATCGATCCCAAATAACAAAATGCTATTCCGGTTTTCGATTATCTACATCTTGCTACATTAATTCTGGTTTCAGGCTTTTGGTTATCTTACCTTGCAAAGTTTTCCTTGGAAAATTCTGCTACTGTTAGGCACGCTTCTTTTGTTTCCTGAAAAATAACTTTAACATTTTCCTGATCTTTTGATTTTTGGGTGCTCAAACTATTTGATGTAGCAACTAGCAAGAGCGGTTGGTTGATTATTGATCTTGTACTTGAGTTGCTATCATTTGGGTCACCCCAGATGGTGACCTAAGGTGGTTGGTTATAATATTATAAGTTCATAATTAAAAGAACAAAAAAAGGAATTTCCTCCTGAGCCAGTAGGGTTTATGATATATTTCCATGGTTGGCCCAAAGTCTGAGCAACTAAATTAAAATTTCCATTCCGGGGTAAGTTGTACCTGTACGTTTCTTCAATATCAAGTCTCCTAAAGACAGGGTTTGATAATCCGTACAGAATAGCCTAATGACAAAGATCACCATAATTTAGGTCATAGGGCTTGATTCTCTGCAACGTGACCTTGGTATAAACCGAAAAATATAATTTAATTACATCTTACACCATCAATGGCGTACATTTTTTTACATTATCTATTTGATTCATAGCCATATTAATCTAGTAATATATATTTTTTATGGCAAGAAAAAAAAATCTAAGATAAGGACCCTACCTAAACCTTGTCTTAGCTTTAGTATGTACTAGATTTTCCATGTGCTATGTCACATAACAAAATTGGTCATGCCCTAAATATCGTTTGTAATAAGATGTTTTGCTTGTGAATTGATGTTGAGAAGATGCAATTGGACAAAGAGAGGAAGGGCAAGAAGAAGATTCATATTTATGTACAAATAACTTAAAACCAATTTCTTCTTCAATATCAATCAACATCCATCAACAAGGACTCCAAAAAAAAAAAAAAAAAAAATCAGAACTCTCCATTTAATACAGTCAAGTACATGGGTTCACTTCAACAGGGCACAAGCCAACATTTTTGGGAAGTTAGTCCATAAGTGGCTTTTGTAATTTCACCATTTGGAAGGACTCAATCATTGTAAATCATAAAGTAGAAAGGGACCGTTTTGGGTCACAATGTCACCACCACACAAAAATATGGATTTGTTTTTGGCTCTTTACCCTTCAATTTTTTTGGAAAAAGAAAATTGGAGCTCCTTTTACTTTGGCCCTTCCCTTTATGGTTTTTGAAGTGGTCCCTATAACCCATTTAGATCATTACAATACATTGGTTACATACTTTAGATTTAGCAATCCAATCCATTTAGTTGTTAGTGTAGTGCTCCCTATTTGTTGATGTCTTGGTGATGAAGAGTGAAAATATTGATTAAGGATACGCTATTAGTGGTCAACGCTCAGTTTAACCGCATTGAATTATTAAGGGTGAGCGTTCGGTTTAGTTGAATTGGAACAAATTGAATTAGTTTGATTCAGTCTGATCAAATAAATTTCATGCCAATTGAAATCACACAGAATAATGTGATAATCGGTTCAATTTTGAACCGAATCATATCGGTTTAGTTTGATTCGAAATATAATCAATTTTGGACATAAAAGTTCAATTTAGTGAGCTAATAAAGTAATTGAACAAAAAATAAAAAATATTCAATTATCCTTTTGAACCAATCAGTAATTGATCTGTGAAAAATCTTACCTAACCAAACCAAAATGAGCCGATTCAGTTTGGTTATTCGGTCTAAGCTGAATACTGCTTGCCCCTATCTGCTATCAATGATTTGATTTTGTCAGACTGAATCGAGAAAATTAAAAATTGAATTATATTATTTAAAAAAAACCATTTAAAATTGAATCGAACTAAATTGGTTTGGTTCATATACTAGTTTGGTATGATTTTTCAATATTAGATAGATTTGAGCTTATTTTCTATACCAGAGCAATATTGAAAACCGAATTATGTAACTATGATCAATGGTAATTAGCACAAATTAATAAAGAACAATTTAATAAGTGGGCCCTCCTAAGGAGGACAGCCATGGAATAAAGTGACTGTTTTAAGCATAATTACTCTTAACAAACACATTTTGGTTAGTCTCAAAAACACACTAAGTTACTCTTAAAATGGGAATTTTTTTTTCTCTCACCCAATCTTCCAACTGCTTTTCCACTGATCACATGTCATGCTGGGAGTGGCTACAATCATCTCGTGGACCCCGCTCCTTATGATCATCGTCTCACCGTCCACATATCTAAACCTGTAGATACTTGCCACGTGGTTCTTAGTCAACCTAGCACCTGCACCTGATTCCTTCCACTTAATTAATGTTCCTCGATTCAATTGCAAGGAATTGTTAAATCTGATTAATGGTTAGTAATTAGCAGTAATTAATTAATGTTCGGTCAAACTTAATTCCACAAGATTCACATGCGGTGGGGTTGGACACATGCTACTATTTTGCTTTCTTTGCTGGCTATGTTGTCCCCTTGTACAAGACACGTATAATATACGTAATACGGATTTCTCAATTGAAACAAATGTCTTTTTGACACGTATTTTACCTTGCTTTACGTATGAACTACTGTTTTACCAACGTATAATCTGTATATTTAAATTACCAATAATAATATAATAATATAAAATACTGTCATGTATATATACAGGCGTGGTATGTTCGTGGATCCAACTAGTCCATGGAGAGCTGCACAAAAATTTCAAACAATAATTATAATACAAAATTACGTTTGACCCCTTTAAAGTATAAAAAATTATATTTTTGCCCCCTCAAAATTTAAATTTTTTTGTTTCATCCCCCAAACTTTATTTTCTAGTTATATAATAAAGTGATAATTGGCTCCCTAAGGAAAAAGAAGAGTAGATGATTGGCGTGCTCGTGTGCAGGCTCACCTTGTAGCTACCATACCAAAAAGGCTCCTGCAATGGATCAGTATATTACTATGCCGACAAAAGTGAGAAAATTATCGGGTACTTGATTGGACCACAATATCCGCCTAGTCTCTCAACCAAAAGATTCTAAAACATTTTCCCCCCAATAATTTCAACCACTTGATACAAATTGACCCATTTGATAAAATGGAATAATCTTTAAATTGTCTACGAATTTATTTGCTAAATTATGAATTTTAACATAAACTTATAATTAAAATATTAATTTTGCTGATTTATTAATTGTTTAGTGCATGTGAGTAGATATATTATATTATGATATTATACATACATAAATAGATAATTTTCCATTAAAAATTTATGTAACTCTCTGATATAATAATATACTTTTACTTTAATTGTAAGTATTATAATTAAAAAAAACACATTTATCATAAAAATTATGTTTCAAATTTATAATTTTTTAATAAATAAATTTATAGTTTATAACGATCTTAAAATAAAAATAAAAAATCTATAAATAAATTGTTCCAACTCAAATATTTTATAAAAAAATAAATAATTTCAGATTTCATCTTATCCGTTGCCATCTTTTTGTGTGAAAAAATGAAAAATAAGAAAATTAATGACTTAATTTCATTAACTCAAATATATCATTACTTCTATTCAATCATCTAATTTAATGAAGTTGTGCCATTTACTAATTAATTTTTTAATTAAAAATTCATTGTTAAAGAAAAACTCAATTTTGAGAGAATTATATATTAAATTTTAAAACAATTAGTATTACTTTTTTTTTTTCTGAGAATCGGCCCAGACACTGGGACCACAAAACATATGATGAATTTCCTTTTCTTTTTCCTGTTTTAATAAATTTTTTAAGAAGACAAAACAATTGTTATTTAAAAAAAAAAAAAAAAGAAGAAAGAAAGAAATTGGTGTTTTTGACAAATAAGGCCACGTGAGCACTCACCAATGATGTATAGATTCAAAAACACGTTGGACAGAGTCACAATTCCACTTTTTTAATCCGATTTAATAAATAAAACGTTTTGGGAAGAAGATCATTTGACGTAGTGCGGAACTAAAAAACCTTGAGAAAGAGAAGTTCGCTTTTGGTTTGGGATTTCGAGAGCGCTAAACGACGAGACGTCTCCAGTCGTTACACGATTGCCCATTCCCACGTGCCCTCGGTTTGAGAAACTTCTAGGTACTATACAAACTTAACTCTGTTTACACGTATATAAAGTATATAAACTTATAGTTGAAGCTACTTAATTATTTTCTACAATTTTTTTAATCAGAAGGGTAGCTTTTTATTCACATTGTACAGCGTAAAATTTTTTGACTGTATAGTAAATATATTTTTCAGTAATCTGATTTATTTTCATCTTAAAAAGTGAGATCAATTACTAATTCATTTAACATGTTATTAATCATTTAACGCAGTTTCGTTACGTGTTTAAAATAAAATTCATACATTACATTATCGTGAAAAAAATAATATACAATTTTCTTTTTAAATTTTTGAATTTAACAATATTAAAATGACCCACACCCATTTTTTTAATCTAAAAATACAATTAAAAACAAGATAAAATGATTAAAAGATAATCCATATAAGGAACTTTAATTCATTAATTTATTTCACCTAATTTTTGCTATTAAATTGCCATTTTTATTTAAGACATGAAGTGACTCTAGCTAGCTTGGTTTGAGATGGATTTTTGCAATCTTACCTAAAATGTGGTGTGTCCATAATGATTAGTGATGTGGTCAAGTCAATTTAAGTTGAAGTTTGAGACATTCACTTCAACTTTATTGTTAAAGTGATAATAAAATTTTTTTCCTAATATTTACATTTCATAATTAGATGAGACATTATTTGATCACAATTACCATATATACAACAATTATTTCATAATAAAGACTAAGATTAGAAATTCAATATTCTTAATTAATAATTAATCTTGGATGATTAATATTATTTCCATCCTGGAGTATACTTTAAATATCACCAATAAACTAAATAAAAAGGGAAAAAAGTAAATATGGTTGTTGATTGTAGTAATTACTTGTCCAAAACAGTTTTGTTAGTTCTATCAACAGTTTTAACTTTTGGACTTTACACCTGAGCCATAACCAATTTTCACCGGACACTGTAAAACTGTAATCTAATAGGTAACTACCGTTGTAAATAACAATTTAGTCCCTCAAAATTTAGTTAATTTCATTGATCGAATTTTCTAATTACTCTGAACATTCTATGGCCGTTACGCTTAAATGTTAAATGTTCCATTTCTTGTGTTACTATTGAACTATTATTTAGTTGCTTATTTTTTAAATAAAGAAATACATAATCTTATGAAATTAAAATTTATGATTAGTCAATCAGTGTATTTTACTAAAATAGAGGAGGAAGTTTTAATTATGAGGAAGTTAAGGGATTAAATAATTATTTACAGTTTATTTTATCCAGTTAAAAAAGGAAAAAACATGTGTCATGGCACGAGATACGCATACCAATTCGGTAATTACCAGCTTTGTCCAGGCCAATACAGTGCGTGTAATAATTTCCACGTGTCAAGCCACGTAGATAGCACGCGACACTTATACAGAGCTTCATGGATCAATTAATGGAGTTAACCAGCTAACCAGCCAGCCATCTCAAACAGAGCCAAAACCAAAAATTTAGGGGTCTTTAGAGCAGACTATTTTCTTTTCTCCTTTTCAGTCCACTACGCTTCCCTCTCTTCGTGATCAGAAATTTATATTATTAAGGAAAATTTTACAATTTCTCCTTGGAAAATTAAAATTTCTATCGTCATTTTCACCTTGATCGCCTACTGTCACTTGGTCCTGCACACATTCACTTAACTCGTTGTATTTGGATCATATCTCATAGCAAATTCTGATTATTTTCTTTTTTGGGGTTTTTGGTTTTGTCTTTTGCCTCAAATTTGTGGGGGAAGATTTGGTAATTTGTGGAAGTTTCGTGAGAATTCTGGCTGATTCTTTAATTTTAAGATTTTGTTATGTCTGATTATTGGAGGAATATTTGGTGAATTTTGGGGTTGTTTGAGGTTTGGGTTGATTGAGTTGGAGAACATTGGTATCTTCTGTGATTTCTTTAGGTTAATTGTGATCTGCTTGGCGGTATTACAATTCAACGGTTTGGATCCGATCGGGGGAGAAACAGCGCCATCAGATGGCGCTGTTCAGACGTTTCTTTTACCGGAAGCCGCCGGATCGGCTTCTCGAGATCTCTGAGAGAGTCTATGGTACCGTTTGCATTTTTTTTTATTTGAATCGGGAAATTCTCTTGAATTCTGTGAATGTGGTTTTTGTTTCATTGTGACCTATCTTTGCTTGCAATTTTGTTTTCGAAGTTGCATGATTGTTTCTTGAGCTCAATAAGTTTTCTAGAATTGGTTCGGACATTTATGTTCTTAGAAGCTCAATTGTTGAAGTCTGGTGCTCATTTTGAAATAATGCAATGCTTGTTTTACTAGTCTCTGTATTATCACATTTTTTTTTATTCAATCGGACAAAACTTTTTTGTGAGTTGTAGTGTTCTTCATGTCTTCTATTTTTTGCGATCAGTTCCCTGGTAATATAACCTTGGAAGAGTTTTCAGGATAACCAGAAGATGAATTGCTTAATTGGGTTTATGCATGTTGATTTTATCATGACAAAAGAATTGGTTTTGGGTAACTCGATTATACGAGAGAGATTGAAGTGAATTGCCCCTATTCTAGGTGATTCTCCCTTTCCTTATGGCCGCTGGTTGCCTCATTTCATTTCTTCTTCATATTCTATTGCAGTGTTTGATTGTTGCTTCTCCACTGATGTATTGGAAGAAGACGAGTACAAAGTGTACTTGGGCGGCATTGTGGCACAATTGCAGGATCATTTTCCTGATGCTTCCTTCATGGTTTTTAACTTTAGAGAAGGGGACAGGCGAAGTCAAATATCAGACATTTTATCTCAATACGATATGACAGTCATGGATTATCCTCGTCAATATGAAGGGTGTCCCATGCTTCCGCTGGAAATGATCCACCATTTCCTTCGATCTAGTGAAAGTTGGTTGTCTTTGGAGGGGCAACAAAATGTTTTGTTAATGCACTGTGAAAGAGGAGGATGGCCTGTCTTGGCATTCATGCTTGCAGGTCTTTTGTTATATCGGAAACAGTATAGCGGGGAGCAGAAGACTCTTGAAATGGTCTACAAGCAAGCTCCTAAAGAACTTCTGCACCTTTTGTCTCCTTTAAATCCACAACCTTCTCAACTAAGATATCTGCAGTACATTTCTAGAAGAAATTTTGGTTCTGAGTGGCCTCCATCTGATACGCCTTTGGTTTTAGATTGTCTGATGCTTAGGGCCCTTCCAATATTCGGCGGTGGGAAGGGTTGTAGGCCCGTTGTACGTGTTTATGGTCAGGATGCTAGAAAGCCAGCCAATAGAACTTCTAAGCTTCTGTTCTCAACTTCCAAGGCGAAAAAACATCTTCGGCACTATTCACAGGTAATGTCTAAGCTGTATAAGTTGAAAACGACAGATGCATTAGTTATGATGTTAATTGTTCTCATGAATTCAATTGCAGGACGAGTGTCTGCTAGTGAAAATAGATATAAGATGCCGCATTCAAGGGGATGTTGTTCTTGAATGCATACATTTGGATGAAGATCTTGTCCACGAGGAGATGATATTTAGAATTATGTTCCACACGGCATTTGTTAGAGCAAATATTCTGATTCTCTGTCGTGATGAAATTGACATTCTCTGGGATGCCAAGGACCAATTTCCAAAGGAGTTTAAGGCAGAGGTAGGTTGTTTGTTATTATTTACGAAAGTTCCATTTTGAAGCTGTAGGAGTTGAATGCATACTCATATCTGTATCAGGTACTTTTTGCGGATCGTGATGCTGTGATCCCTAAACTCACTACAGTTAATGCAAACGAGGATGATAATGAGGCAGATACTGCTTCACCCGAGGAATTTTTTGAGGCTGAGGAGATATTCAGCAATGTGATAGATGCACGGGAAGCAAAGAGTGACAATGATACTCACGTAGACCATGACAACATGTCAGTTGGTATAGAACATAAAGAAGTCTTTAGGGACTCATTTGATGACAGGAATCACAAAGAGGATGGAAGGATGGATAGTACTGCTGATGCAGTGAAGGATATTGGTGTTGATGATGTGAAGTACAAGGTTGATGAGATGGTGGATCCTGATCTTCAAGCAGTGAAGGATATAGCTGTGGATGATGGAGATATGAAGTTAGATCCCACGGTTGTTGCTGTTGATATGTTGAGTAATAATGCAATAAAGGAAGTGACTGAAGATGCAAGTGGAGAATTCAAAGATATGGAAGATAAGGCTAATGGAGGAAACAGTACCACAAAAATGTGGGGATCCAAGCTTCCACATATAAAGTTAAGTGTTGATCATGGTAGACAAAAGGTTGAGAAGGTAGTGCCACCTTCCCCTAAGAGACAACCTACTTCGAACACAAAACCTGTTGTTGCGGATTCAGCTGCAGTGAAACAAAAAATCAAACAGCTTGAACCGCTGGGAACTAATGGAAAACAAGCAAGGCCAAGTACTGTACCCCGTTGGATAACCCCTAATAAAGCTCCTTTTGCTAATTCAATGCATGTAGCACATCCGCCATCTAGATATAATAGTGCACCATCTGCTCTTGCCCTTGTTGCTTCTCCGAAGGATTCAAATGCTGATTCCCATGTAAAGGCTTCTTGTGATACCACTATTCCTGCAGATTTAACTACAAATGAGCTTACTTCCCCTCCAGTTGTATTGCCACCTTTGGGTGCAACAAAACTTGTGCCTCCCCCACCCCCACCTCCACCTCCGCCTCCGCATCCACCACATTTGAGCAATAGATTTCTGCCCAAGACTTTAGTAGAAGCTCCACCTCCACCCCCACCCCCCTCCACCTCCACCCCCCACCCCCACCCCCCACCCCCACCCCCACCTATCCACATCATTTAACTACGGCAGAATATTGCAGATAGCTCACCACCACTGCAACCCCCTTCCCCCTCCACCTTCCACCTCCACTCTTCCACCTCACCACCCCCCTCCCTCTCCCCCTCCTACTTGCTTCATCTAGATAGGCCAAAAAAATTGGGAATGGCAATTACCATTCCAAACGCCACCTCCCACCCCCTTTGGAAAATTATAGAAGAATACTCTTCATTTTGCCCTCCTTACAAACTTCAACTTTTCCTCCTCAAAGATTCTGTTAGCATATTAACAATTACAAAGGTTGGATTTTATAGTTGTGGCTTCCTACTCCCACCTTCCACCGTCGCCGACCTCCTCCACCACCTATGCGTGGTTTACTTGCTCCAACAATGCCCCCACCTCCTCCCCCACGCCATGCCAGTACGTGCAACCTCCAGCCACCCACCTTCCTTTGCCCAGGGACTTGTGAGCCTCCACCGACCTCCCGCACCTTCCACCAACCTCTACCTGCACAGGAAAAGCTTCGCCCACACACTATCACCATCTCTGAGAAGTTGGTGCCCACCTCCACCTCCACCTCCACCTCCACCCCCTCCCTCTCCCCCTCCTCTTGCTTCATCTAATAGGCAAAAAATTGGAATGGCATTACCTCCAACGCCACCTCCACCCCCTTGGAAATATGAGAATACTTCATTTGCCCCTCCTTCAACTTCAACTTTTCCTCCTCCAAATTCTGTTAGCATTTCAACAATTACAAAGGTTGGTATAGTTGGACTTCCTACTCCACCTCCACCTCCGCCGCCTCCTCCACCACCTATGCGTGGTACTGCTCCAACAATGCCCCCACCTCCTCCCCCACCGCCATTGCCAGGACGTGCACCTCCACCACCACCTCCTTTGCCAGGACTTGGAGCTCCACCGCCTCCACCACCTCCACCACCTCTACCTGCACAGAAAGCTTCGCCACCACTATCACCATCTCTGAGAAGTGGTGCTCCTCCTCCTCCTCCTCCTCCATTGTGTGGACCCCCGCCACCTCCACCACCACCAGGGCGAGGAGCCCCACCTCCACCACCACCACCAGGGCGTGGAGCCCCACCTCCGCCACCGCCACCAGGTCGTGGAGTGCCACAGCCACCACCTCCTCCTGGAGGTAGAGGTCCGCCTCCCCCACCGCTGCCTGGAGGTAGAGGTCCGCCTCCCCCACCTCCTCCTGGAGGCTGTGTTCCTGGTCCTCCTGCTCCACCTGGAGGTCCAGGTGGTGGACCCCCTCCACCTCCTCCCTTTGGTGGCAAAGGAGCTGCAGCTGATACGAGAGGCCTAGCTTCTGGAAGAGGACGTGGTCGTGGTTCAGGGATGGGTTCAGCTGCTGGAGCACCTAGAAGATCATCCTTAAAGCCTTTGCATTGGAGCAAGGTAACAAGGGCACTGCAAGGAAGTTTGTGGGAGGAGCTGCAGAGACATGGGGAGCCCCAAATGTATTGTAACTTCTCTACTAATTAGAACATGTTTCTTTTTGAATCGACACTTTAACATATATGCCTTACTGTGTTACATGTATTGTAGCTTTTTCTTTAATTGCTGATGTTGTAGTCTCGTGCTGTAGTGCGCCCGAATTTGATGTGTCAGAGCTAGAGACCCTTTTTTCTGCAACAGTCCCTAAATCTGCTAGTTCAGGAGATAAAGATGGGGGAAGACGCAAGTCTGCTGGATCAAAAACAGACAAAGTTCACCTGGTACTTAAAATTCACTGTTTACTCTGAAATTTTTCTCAGGCGATTTTAATTATTAATTGGGGGTTTTCCATTTTCGTGCTGTTTTATTTTATTTTATTTTTTTTCTGTTCTAAATTTATTGTCAGCACCCTTTTCTTTGCCTTCTATTTTCAGGAAATTATTGTAAGTTGTGATTTCCTTGTCAAGAAAATCAACTAATTCCACTATAATAAAACATACATCACTTGTTCCCAATTAACCTATAACAATTCTTTGTCTTAGCAAGATCTGATAACAAATAATGTGGAACCTTTTTGCCTTTTGGATAATTAGGTTTTTCAATATAGTGAATAGTCTGTTGGAGTGCTTTTTTCACCAGTAACCAGTTCACAGTCTATTTGCACAGGTCCTTCTGTGCAGATTTAGATAAGTTTCTAAATGTTAACTAAAACCAGTTCCATTTTTAGCTGCTAAATTGGTATTCATTCAATTCTTATGATCTTTCCATAAATTCTAACCATCAATTGGCTTTTTGTTTAATTATTGCCTTACTACCCTACTTGTCCAAGTCTGGGACAGACAATATACAAAAGAGTCATATGTTATGCATTAGCCATACAAAAGAAAAGCATGGAAACAGGAATATAATCCTTTTAATGTTGTGGAACGTAAACACCGTTAGGGTTGAGCTTGGGTAGCTGATTATATGAATGTCAGTACTTTATCTCGCTATGTATGGGATATAAAATAGTCCCAATGAGATGTGGTAGAAGTTTATTTTTTTGACTGATTTTATATGATTTCTGATGAAACCTGTGATGTGTCTAGTGTTTATATAGGTTCTATTTTTTTTATTGATGAAATATCGTACGATTAAAGTTAAATTACTACAGTGACAATCCAAATTAAATAACAAAGCTAAAAACAATCCAAATTAAATAACAACGCTAAAATGGAAGGGCTAAAACAAACGGCATTGGTTGAAGTTGTTTAAGGATTATATAACTTGCAATCGCTACTGTGTTGTTTAAACCATTTAACTAAATAAAGATGTCTAATGAATATGTGGCATCTCTATGCATGCTATGCTTTATTGTATCTACTCATATTGACTTTTACGACAAATTTATTGTAATTACTTCCATGAGTGTCTCTATAATTTTTGTCCGCATGATATTTTACTTTAGAAAATATATCAAATTGGAGAAGTTCTCTTGCTGCAGCCCTTAGATAGATTCATTGATGATGATTCTTAATCTTAGTTATCTTGAAATGAATTTTGCACTGTGTCCTACAAATTTTGTTATGTTGTTTTGCATTGCAGATTGACCTGAGGAGGGCCAATAACACTGAAATTATGCTCACAAAAGTTAAGATGCCACTGTCTGACATGATGGTAAGAGAGAAATCTTCAAAGCTCTTGCATTGATGAGAGGGTTTTTCTTTGTGATTTTTCCTCTGCTGGTCTGTGTGTTGTTTTCTATTTCTGTACTTGAGATTAGCAATATTTGGGATGATAACACATGGTGTATGTTTTCAAGAAAGTAACCTTTAACTGTGGGGAAAACCAACTTTGAGTCATTTGTATTTGTAAGTTCTTGATGGAATTTCTTTTACATGCATGTCTGAGGCAAGTAGTACTAGACCTGATATGATGAACCAGAGGTATCATGTTTGTTGGCCTTGCAGTGTATTCTTCCACATCTGGCATTTTCCTGTATGGTACAGGGGTAATAAGTTTCTGTATAGTGGAAAATGTGAAACTGGGACTTGATAACTTAGTGTTGCTTTGGGTTTGTGGTCAACCACAACAGGGAGATGCAAGGTGCTAGTAATCTTGGGGGATGTAAACATGGTGGAATACAGAATTTAATCTAGACTTATGGTAAAATACAGAATTTATTATTTCCAACTCTGAGAGGCTCTGGCTCTTTCTCAATAAAGTTCCTTGTCTTAATTCTTATATTAAAATAAAAAACAGGTTTCTTGCTCTTTGTTGCATTCGTACTTTCTTTTTTTCTTCTTCCTTTTGTCCCTTTATGCATATTTTCCTCTTATGATGGCTTCTGCTCATTGACCATCTTAAAATTGAGATACAAGGGTTAACACATTTTATGCATTTCCACTTTCCAGTTTATATTTGCTTTTATTTTTCTTGGTGTCTGCTGGTTTTCTTCTTTGATTAATTTGGAATTTTAGCCTTTTCCATTCCCTTTTTTTTTATTGTTTGAATCAAGGTTATATGTATTTTATATAGCTTTTTGGCCTGCCTGCATATTTTCAGGCTGCAGTTCTAGCTATGGATGACTCAATATTAGATGCCGACCAAGTGGAAAATCTAATAAAATTCTGTCCTACTAAGGAGGAGATGGAACAACTCAAGGTGAAGCTTTGAATATATAATGATTTCCTTCTCCATTAGTCAGCTACTCTTTACATTTTTTTAGCAATCAATTCTCAATGTAGATGTTAGATGTTTGAGCATGAATGGTTTTACAATGACAGAATTACACTGGCGACAAGGAGAACCTGGGAAAGTGTGAACAGGTCTGCAAAGTTTACTCGTCAACCAGATTTTATAATTGGTCAACTTTTGGTGAAATGCTATCTTGGTATTTTTTTTCAATTATTACAATGTGGTTATTGGAAGGTTGACATCTGGTTTTGCATTTATACACTTATCTGACTCTTCAGAAATTTGATCTGAGCTTCTCTTGGCTATTTAGACTTACTAATAGTGGTTGCATAGGATGCATTAGTCTGACCTATTTTACTTTTCTTTTGATGAATTTTATGTCCTAGTAACATCAAGTAAACAAGAACTGGCAATATAAGGTCTTTTTAACTTCTAAATTCAATTCTTATCCATCACTGAGGAAAGGCTTCATAAGAAGAATATAAAGTAGCAATATAAGCAAATTTCTGACACTAATGTTAAGCCAAAAAGTGGACTAATGTGAACTTAAAGGGGCCAAACTAAAATCAGTGTTATGCGGAAAATGTATATTTAGATTTTGTTTGTTTTATAGTGATGGGAGCTTATCGGTTTTCGAGATTTCACTGATGGTTAGCATAATTTTCAGTCAGTTTCAGTTGTATCTCATATTTAAGAAAGGGCACCAGTATTGAAGTTGGATGGTGATTAGGGGCCATATGAGGGCTTTGGGCTGGAGGGTGGAACAAGGATGGGATGGAATTTGGACATCTGATTTAATGATGTCTTTGTAGTTAGTTCTATTAGTAGAAGAGGATGGTGTACCTAAATTAGGTTATCAAGGATATTGCAGTGCATGGTGACCATGATACACAATGGACCTGTTTTTGAAAGTTTGTAGCATGCATTCCCAGTTATTTGTCCTATAAGGCCTTGACATGAGTTTGCTATTGCTTGTTGGATGTGCTGGAAAACCTTGGATTCCTACCTTGTTTAACTTTCTATGATATTTTGAAGAAAAAGTATTCAATATTATTTATTATATGCTTGTGATATGCAGTATTTTCTGGAGCTGATGAAGGTGCCTCGTGTTGAGTCGAAAATGAGAGTATTTTCTTTCAAGATTCAGTTCGGCTCTCAGGTTTGGCGGTATCTGCATTGTTAGTCTGATTTTGACAAATTAATAATTCCATTAAATTACTATTTTCCTTTTTTATTGTTGCACCACTGTTGTCTTATTTTAGCCCTCTTTCTCAGATATTGGAATTTAAAAAGAGCCTGAACACAGTAAACTCTGCATGTGAAGAGGTATGGAAATGATAATGTAGCCTTCCTAAATCCTAAGCGTATTTATTTTTCTTTTTGACCCGTGTGTTACTATCTGCCAATTAGGTTCGAAATTCCCTCAAGTTGAAGGACATTATGAAGAAGATCCTTTATTTAGGGAATACACTGAACCAAGGAACTGCAAGGGGTGAGTTGCCAGTGGCTGGTTTGTTGATTTATATACGTTTTGCCTCAGTCTTCTAAAATTCTAAGCATGATCAGCTTTAAAATTTTAAACCGTTATCACTTCTGCTTTTGCTTGATTTATGCACTATTTGTTGCATGGGTACCAGTTTACGTTCACAGGATGTTATTATGCAGCATCTACAAAACCTCTTTGGTTTTTCTAATGTGGTTTCGGCATTACTTGAATGCCTAGGGTACTGCAATTTCATTTTTAGATGCATGTCCTTGACTTGCTAAATGTTTGAGCCATTACTTTTAACTTTTAAGTTTGTTGTTTCAAGTACTTGTGGTTTCTTTTTTGAGGCTCAAGGTTTGATTTGCTTGGAAGAATGATCACACTATTTAATTTTTGAGGTCCCTTTTTACATTTCTTGCAATATGATGCTGCGGCCATACCCACCAATGATCAAAATTTTTGTTTATTTTTTTCATGAATGACAACATAAAATTGTTCTATGACCATTATGCAACTGGTATACATTACCAAATGCTTCTATTTTGTACAGGTTCAGCAATTGGATTTAAGTTGGACAGTCTTTTAAAACTTACTGATACACGTGCTTCTAACAGCAAAATGACACTTATGCATTACCTTTGCAAGGTATGGCTATTGTGTTTATTTTTTTTATTTATTAAATTCATTCAAATCCTTGTTTTTCTGACCTGTTGTTAGATTGATTATTCTGACTTTGGTTGATATGTTGAACGTGGAGGAAATTAAAGATATAGACTTATTACTAAACAAGTATTTCTAAATAGGAGATAATTGGGAAAAGAATTATGAATTTTGCATTTCGAAGTCAAAATTTGGTAATATATGAACTTGGTGACAGTGAGAATTTTGAGAAATATTAGGTTGGTACTGCAAAATATGCTAAAATAAATTTGGTTATATCAATATTGGAAATTTATGTACAAACTCTTGTTTGGTTTTAATTATTGATTTTTTTGGTTAATGCAAAATGTGATGGATCTTAGGCTCCGTTTATCTCTATAAAATAATTTGCAGAAAAATATTTTTCATAATTTTTTGTTGTTTAGGGTGTTCATGAAAATAAGTCAACGGAAAATATTTTCTTGATCAAAGTAAAATTAAGTCATTTTTAAGGAAAATGACTTTCCATTTTTAAGAGATTAAAACATTTTCTAGACATTGATAAATTCATTATAACCTTATAAATGCATATTTTTTAATTTATTAATCACCGGTAGAACACTAGTCACCATTTACCACCAACTACCACCATCGGTTACTGACGACTTTTATAATTTACTATTTTTTTGCCTTTTTCTCATTCAACAATAAAATTTTTAAAATATGAAATTCTATTATTATAAATATTTTTATGGTCTTATGAGTTAAAAGTTTTAATATTTTTTAACTAATTTTCAATATTGCAATTAAACAACGGAAAATAAGTCATTTGAAAAATATTTTCAAGGAAAACATTTTTCTTAGAAAATATTTTCCGAAGGTAAGTTATTTTCCGGAAACAAACGGAGCCTTAGAATTCTCCAATTCACTTTGACATGCCATTCTTATAGAAAAATTCATTGAAGTTAGTGGGTTGTGCAGAGGATTCAGTGGCAAACAAGGTCTTATTCTTGTCATAGCGATATTAGATATTTGATAAATTCCACCACTTGATGCTGCTATAATTGATTTCAAACGCTATATTCTAATTTTAGTAGTGCTTAAACTTAAAAAAATCTTTGGAATATTGAGTCCTAACCAAAGTTAAATAACATGGACTTGCAATATCTGCTTTTTAAAATCCAACTCACTTATTGTTGGATACTGATATCCCTGCTGAAGCATTATGGTGCAGCCTGAAATGCAAGGTTAATGCTTCTATGTTGTAAAACTGTCTGGAAAATTTTTGCAACTTAGATGCCATGAAAGGCCATTAGTGCTTTATCAACTTATGTTTTGCTTCCATCATTATGTGCTTTCTGCTGTTATCTTTTGCTATTCTGTTGTTCAAACATTAACAGCAATCATAAATTCTTGTTCACTTCAGGTACTTGCAGCGAAGTCCCCAACGCTTCTAGATTTTCACCTGGATCTTGTTAGCCTTGAACCTGCAACTAAGGTTCCAATTAGTTAACAATTATTGTTTGCAATTAATTACCATGTAACTAATCATTAGCAAGCTGCAAGTAGTCATTAACGATTAATTACTGTGTGAGATTATGCTTACATTGGCATCTTGGTTGCTTGCAGATACAATTAAAGTCTTTAGCAGAAGAAATGCAAGCTATAATCAAGGGGCTAGAAAAGGTGAAACAGGAGTTGGCGGCATCAGAAAAAGATGGTCCTGTATCTGAAGTTTTCCGAAAGGTATTTTCTTCTATTTCTACTTTCCAATAATTTGTCTGAGTGACTTTATGATAGTTTTCATGTCTTATACATTGAAATTGTTGATTGAATTTGTTTTATAATTAATTTTGTAATTATTTATTGATTTGATGGGCATTGTGTGTTCAATGGTTTTCTTATAGTAAGGATATCTGCTCAAATTTTTTTCTTCAGTTCAGTTCAATTGACAAATCGGTATGCAAGGATACACTTTCTATGTTTGAGTGAGAGCTTGTTAAAGTGCATAGATGAACTACCGCCATTTCTTTTGCCATTTTATTTTAATTTCTTTTTTATTAAATAGTTCCTGAGGATAGACTTAGAGGGAGACGATGGGATGGTTAGAATGCAGTAGAAATACCTCTCTCTCAAATCTGAATGCATCTTGGTAAAGTCTATGTATCATGCAACTTAAGGTTTACAATAGGATTGAATAAATAAGACTTGCTGTTTCATGGGAAGTATTTCTTGAAGAACACTTTGTACATTTTCTGGGGTTTTGAAATGCTTTGAAAAATTAGTCAATGGAAATGTTTTCTGGTCAAAAGGAAACTAAGCCATTTTCAAGGATAGTGACCTTATTTTCACAGATGGAAGTCATTTTCCGAAGTTTAGACAAACTTATTAAAAGAGAATGAATTTACAAGGAAATCACATAATCACCTATGCATTAGTGTGATACTGACCACCAATTGTCATTATCAGTCAGTGACAGCCATCACCAGCCGCTCACAGCTGGCATTATTTACCGATTTTTAGGTTTATTTTCCCCTCATATTTAAAAAATAAATATGCAAAAATATTTGGTTCATATATATCTAATATTTTTATTCTTATAAATTGAAATTTTAATCTTCTCTAACGTACACCTTAAACTCCAAAGAATATTGTTCGACCCAGTATTCAACATTACAAGCAAACAACAGAAAATTAATTATTTTCAAAAAAGTATTTTCCTGAGAAGAAATAATTTTTGAAGTAAAAAATTGTCTCAACCATAAAATATAATAATTTTAAAGCATCTTATCGCTGTATAGGATCTCCTTTGATAAAGTCACCTTTATCTGTAATGTAATTTGAATTTCGTTTCTGAATATTTTCTTGCTGCTTAACATTTTTTATGCACTGACATTTTTTTGTACCAATTTTAGACATTAAAAGAATTCATTTCTGTTGCTGAGACGGAGGTAGCTTCTGTGACAAATCTATACTCTGTTGTGGTAATTTGCTTTATAATCCTTTTAAATGTTGTCAGATAAAATTTAATATTTCACTGTAATCTTATCAATCATTATGCTGTGGTGCACAGGGTAGAAATGCAGATGCACTTGCACTATATTTTGGTGAGGATCCAGCTCGTTGCCCATTTGAGCAAGGTAGGTTATGTGTATTACACACTTCAGATTTACTACTGTTCAATTTACAAGTTATTGTTATTGTTTTAAAGCATTGGCTGTGATTGTGTGTGTGTGTGTGTAGCATGGTGAATATTACCGCAGTGAATAGAAAATTCTCTGTATGTGAGGCCTTATGTGGTTATGAGTAGAGTACATAATTTGTAGAATTCAATGCCAATATCATATCAATTCAAACCCTTGTGAAACAGTGAAAATTTAGATGGAAAAAAAAAGACCAAAAAGAAAAAGAAAAATTCCTGGGGACAAATTCCCCATGACAACGAAATTGTACGATACAGCAATGTAATTTGCTTTTGATATATAGTGCATTGTTCTCTGGAGACAGGCTTCCGTAATTTATGTGGAAAGAACTATGTTTAAAAAAAAGGACAAGGGATAAAGGAAACTAGATCTTGTTATTCTGTGATATTATTGTAGTTTGATTTTGGCTTGGTCCTTAACTCTGTCATGATCAATGCAGTTACTGCAACCCTATTAAATTTTGTGAGGTTGTTTCGGAAAGCACATGAAGAGAATTTAAAACAGGCTGAATTAGAAAAGAAGAAAGCTGAGAAGGAGGCTGAAATGGAGAAGGCGAAAGGAATTAATCTTACCAAGAAGAGTGAGAAGTAGCTGTGAATTCATTTCTTCCTTCCCCCCACACAGCAGTTTGAGCTCCTCCACTATGCAGCGACTCGTGCCACAATGTTTTTTAAGTGACAGAGAAAAATGCTGTTGAGGATTGTTTGGAAGTTCATTAAATCCTCAGCTCCATCATTGTCCATTGTAGTGTGAATTAAGCCTCACAAGGTAAATATAGGCGAAAGGTAAAAAATGCTATTCCTAGAGGCTTGTGGAGCTTAAACCTTGCAAACGGCTCATTCAATCGGATGATGATGATGGCTGATGAGTCGAACACATAGAGATATTTACACAAATCATAGATTTTCCAAATCAAGTGGTCACACTCATGCTGGTGTAGCAAATATCCTCTGCATGATGTATTGAGATGATGGATATGGCCCTCTCTGGCATTGTTTTCTAAGAAATTTTGTAGTCTGGGTCAACCCTCTACAGCAGCTGATAGATGATTTGGTTTACAGCTTTCATCATTGGCTTGGCAGAATTTTTTCAGCACCAGATCGAATGCCACGTGTAAAGCACAAATCTTCTCTGTATCATGAAACCGTGTACAAAGCTCTAACCCTTCCCTAACATTAGATTAAATTCTTTCCTTGTAACATATAGGGCTGTTTTTTATGTTCCCATCTTTTAGTTTGGTTTCTAATTGAAATTTTGACATAACCCGTCCCGAAGTATGTTGTATAGGTGTTCAGGTTCAGATAGAGCAATTAGAAGACGAGCTGCTTTTAGTGCAACTGTAATATAACATTGAAATATAGGTTGCAGGTTGAAATTTTATTTGTTTCTTCAATCTTCTCCAGTTTGTAATTTCCATTTTTTTTCTTTTACTAACTGAAAAGTATTTGATTCTATGTTTCTGTTCTGACTAAACTTGCGTTTGAAGGTTTGCAAATCAAGAAAATTTGAAAACCTTCTCTGACTAGTTTATGCGAAGGGATCAGAACATGACTTGAATGTTTATACAAACAACTGCAGAAAGATGCAATGTAAAATCAAAATTTTCTTGTTCATCGATTTAATTAATTGAGGAGTAGACCAATTTAAACTAAATTCATGTTCGGATTTTTTTTTTTTTTTTTTTCGAGCTTGCCTTTTTAGTGGCAACTGTAAATATAAACATTGAATATATAGGTTGCAGTTGAAATTTTTTTATTTGTTTCTTCAATCTTCAGTTTGTAATTTCCCATTTTTTTTCTTTTTACTAACTGAAAGTATTTGATTCTATGTTTCGTTCTGACTAACTTGGCGTTTGAAAGTTTGCAAATCAGAAAAATTTGAAACCTTTCTCTGACTAGTTTTTGCGAAGGGATCAGAACATGGACTTGAAGTTATACAAACACTGCAAGGAAAGATTGCATGTAAAATCAAAATTTTCTTGTTCATCGATTAATTAATTGAGGAGATAGACAATTTAACTAAATTTTCATGTTCGCGATTTTGGATTTTTTTTTTTTTTTTTTGTGTAAACTATCAATATTTGCACTTTATTACCAGGGATTTATTAATTCTATTCGGGACTCACAATTTAAGCTCTTCGTTCCTCCCTATAAGTGTGTTTAGTGGGGATCGAACTTGTCCTCTCTATAAGTGTTTAGTGGGGATCGAACTTGAAAATTCTTTCTACGTGTGTAGCCTGTATGATCGGATACTTTAATTTAAGCTTTTTATGTGTAATGCAATGCAGATGGTGCGACAAAAAGAAACTTTCTTTTGACCTTATTTTTGTCTATTGCACTTCATTTATTGAAAAAATAATGTGAAAGTTACGAGGCCAAAGGCATTGGAAAATTCTCTTGGAATGTAAATTAGTCGATTATACTTTAGGACTGCTATTTTTAGAATTTTATTATATAATAACTCGGTTTTATCTTCGTTATACTACTTACTTTTCAATTAATTGCTTGTGAAATATCATTGTTGTTGTAAATAAATGCATATGCTCTTTCTCAAAAAAAAAAAAAAAAAAAAAAGCCCCCTTTTTTTTCTTTTTTTATTTTTTTCTTTTTTTTTTTCCCCCAAAAAAAAAAAAAAAAAAAAAAAAAAAAAAAAAAAAAGCATATCTGCTAATTAAAATGATGTTTAAAAAGAATAAATCTTATGGCTATAACTCAAATATGCGAGTCATGACTTATTTTTAGAAATTAATTGCGATAGGGCTTTTATTTTATTTTCATTATTGCACTAGTTAATCGTTCTCACTGTATAATTCTGGTCTAACAACAGTGAATTATATATATATTATATATATATTATCAGTTATATGCTATATATTAGCTATACCCAAAAGAAAACTAAGAAACCAGTTAAATTTTATAAGCAAAGGAATTTTTAACGAAGTGTTGTATTGAGAGGAATAAGTCAACCGTCGTTCATGCCAATTTAGATTGTGCTTGTAAATCAAGGAGTGCACAGTAAACAACCTTGGACCTGTAGTTTTCAGCGGTTACACATGTTAATATTTTATTCTTAATTTTTTCACCAGATATTATAATTTATCTTGTTAATTGCTAATGGGCCAATTAGGATGGAAGCCTATATATATACCCAAAAGAAACTAACAAACAGTAAATTTAAACAAAGGATTTAACGAGTGAGAAGGAAGTTCGTTCATGCAATTTAGATTGTGCTTGAATCAAGAGTGCACAGAAACAACCTTGGACCTGTAGTTTTCAAGCGGTTACACATGTTAATATTTTATTTTATTTTTTCACAGATATTATAATTTATCTTGCTTTAATTTGCTAATGCCAATTAGGGATGGAAGCTTTACTTACAGTTTAGACAAAAGAAAAGGAGCAACCAACCATTCCCAATGATGGCGTATGTTAATTACTTAATATTTTTATGTTGCTTAATTTGTTAGCTATGTCATGTCTTCCAGACGATTATCAGTGCTACCCATAATGAAAAAAGTCAGTTTCTTCTCCAAGTTGCTTATAAATTACATTGCTTCTTCTTAATCTTTAATTTGATGGGCTTTGACTTCCATTTGCCTCCAAATTTAACTTTACATTATTGGTTGTTGTTTGTTCTGCATTTACAAAGCAACTGAAATTACATTTACAATGTGGTTGGTGTTGTTTTGTTCTCTTCCAATATTGTTCTATGTCGTTACACAAACAAGATAACGAAAACCCTTTTTCTTAATTCACAATTTGATATTCAATTTCCCATATACAAATGAACAAAATATTGAAAAAAAAAAGACAAGAAATTGAGAAGAAAGAGGAAAAAAAAAATCTGATAAACTTTGGGGGTGATCTTTATTTTTGTTCTAAAAATAAGTAGCCTGGTTTCTTGGAGGAAACAAAAGCTACTTAAGTTCTATAAATCCTTCTGTAAAAATCAAGAATTAAAAAAAAAAGAAAAAAAAAAAAGAAAAGGAAATTACTTGATCTTGTATATCTTTCGCTCAATGTATATAATTTATGGAAACTCTTGTGAGTTCTTTGAGCTTGCAAAATCAGCATTATCATCTTCTTCTTCTTCTGCGATTTCAATTCTGCAGTAGGTATACCTACCTTCTTGATCTATGCAAGAACTTGCTTTGCAGCTTTTAAAGAAGAAGAAACTAACAATAGTGTCAAGAACAAGAAAAACTGAATACAAGTATGCTATTAACATCCCTTCAAGAATCATCAATGAATTTGGAGTTGAACCTTTCTGATAAGCTCTTACAATTCTATATTGAAACAGAGCTTCAATTCCAGCCAAAGCCAAGTTTACAGGTAAGGCAAGAGATAATGCCGTCGAAGTCTTTCCACTAATCATTACACAAGCCTTAAGAATTGACAAGAATCCGCCTGATTTTTCTGTGCCGGATAAAACCAGTGATAAGTTGCATATTACAAGTGCATTGGCAAGAATAATGGAGTAAAAAACTGCTCCGGCAGCCGACAGGAGGAGAAAACCGGTGGGGGAACCGAACCCGAACCCTTCAAGAAAGTTAAAAGAAAGAAACAAGAAAAAAAAGGCAGTAGCATTGGCGGAAACTATCAAGAATATATTGCATATATAGGTAACAAGAAGAGGATTAAAAATGGAAATAATAGAAGAAAAGGAAGGTGGTGTTAAAATTGGTTTAGGAATATAATTAAGAGCTTGAATTACCAATGCTTTTGCAAGAAGAAAGAAAGAAAGAGTAAAGGGTAATGTGAAAATGGAAGAAGAGATTGTTTGTGAGATCTTGGCATTCAAAATGTTAAAGAATTCTAAGGAGGGAGGGAATCCGGCAGCCTGGAAGAGTTTCTGCAAATGAGTGTATAAAGTTGATAAGAGAGTTGATGAAGAGGGGACTAATAAGGTTTGTGAGAGGAGAATTGAGATTGAGAAAGGGAAGGCTAAGAGAGCTGCTGTTGAAGTGAAGTAGTGATAGTTTTGAAGGAAAGTGTAGATCGATCTTCTAATAATTCTGCTAGTTTTTTCCATTGGAAATCTTGAACTATCTTCCATGGAAGAAAGGGAAGGAGATGGGCATGAAATGAGAGGATTCACAATTTCAATTAATGACTTGTATGTGAAACTAGTAGTTTGCAAGTCAGTTGATGTATCCTCTCCTCCTTTTTATTTTCAAGAAAAATGTATTCTTAATGAGTTTTCCTTTCTTGAATCTTCATGCCCTTTTGGTAGGTTAGAAGAATTTTTAGAGGGTTGGTTATTTTTGTATGATTAGATAGGCCAACTAAAAAGCTAAGGAAAAATATTGTTAGAGGTGAAGTAGTTTGATCATTGTTTTTAACAATGAAAATTTCTCTTGTTTCATTGGATTTTATGTCCTTTTTTTATCTCCTTATAAGTAATTTTTTGTATTTGGTCATGATAAGAAAGTCCACTTGGCTTGTTTATATTAGTTGTTGGGAAAATAATATGTTGATCCTAAAATTATAGTCAAATTAACATACAAAGACTTCTGTTTTTAAGAACTAACTATAAGGTACTTAACTTATAATTTCGTTAACATGGTAGTCTTTCTGTCCAAAATAGCCTATTATAACTATCAATTGATTGAGAAATTGGTTCTTAAATTATGATCAAACTAACTATAAGGTCCCTAACTATGATTTCCGTTAATACTTCGGTCATTCTCTTATAATTTCCATTAAAACTTTGATTCCTCATTTTTTAATGGAATGACCAAATTGTTAATAACATTATAATTTAAGGACCTCACAGTTAGTTTTAAAAAGTGAAATCTTCATGTATTAATTTGACTATAAGTCATGTACTAATTTATTATTTCCCCTCAGTTGTTAATGAATCTAACTAATGGCTTGGCTTCTTTGCTTTTCACTTGTTATTTCCAAAGGTACTTTTTGGATTGCTTCAAATGCAAACTACCCTTATGATTATTTGCTAGGTTGTGTAGAAATATGTATGTTATCAATCACAAGATAAATAGTTTTCACAAAAGGAAAATCTAAATTTTCATGTGGGCAATCATTTAAACCTTAGAATTCAAGTATTTGTTTCAAACTTTATTTGAAGATTATACAAAAAAGACAATTTTAGATAACAAAAACAAATTATGATAAAATTTATGAAAAAGGAATTTGAATTATTAAAAGAAATAAAATTTGAAAACTTTATGAATAAAACTATAAATGATAAAGAAAGTTGAATCACTAAGAGAAGAAAAAGGAAAATTATTTATTTGGATTTGTGTATATGAAATTTTGTAGAATGGAATAAAATTAAACATTCAATTTGGGGATTGCTTGGTAAGCCATAGTTGGGTCAATCCTCATTGTGGCTATGTATCACATGGCAAGTGAGTGGATTCTTAGCTTCCAAGAAAATTTTAATAATAACAAGTACAAAAAAAAAAAAAAAAAAAAAAAAAAAAAAAAAGTATCACATGGCAAGTGAGTGGATTCTTAGCTTCAAGAAAATTTTAAAATTAACAGTACAAAAAAAAAAAAAAAAAAAAAAAGATAAGAAAAATGTTGAGAAATATTAAATTCTAAATTAAATAGATCAAAAGAATGGGTTAATTTAATTCAAGAAATTCATATAATAAATAAAGAAAACCCATCAGAAATTACACAAAATTATGTAATATTTTAAAAATTAATTTCATTAATTGTTGATTAGTTAGGTTCTCATATTTCTTAAATCTCATTTTACATCATCCTGTTTTTTTTCCATGATTCGGTACTTGCATTATTATGGTGAGTGATGAACATTCAAAAAAAAAAAAAAAAAAAAAAAAAAGATAAGAAAAAATGTGAGAAATATTAAATTCTAATTAAATAGATCAAAGATGGGTTAATTTAATCAAGAAATTATATAATAAATAAAGAAAACCCATCAGAAATTACCACAAAATTATGAATTTTTAAAAATAATTTCATTATTGTTGATTAGTTAGGTTCTCATATTCTTAAATGCTCATTTTACATCATCCTGTTTTTTTCCATGATTGGTACTTGCATTATTATTTTGGATTCAACATCATAGACCCAAGATCCACTATATATCCAAAATAATAATAATAATAATTTTATAATTAAATTAATTATTTAGCAATAGAAAATTTCGATATTATTTATTCTATAAATAATTTTAATTAAGGAGACTTTTCTCCCTACATAAACAAACAATTTTTATATAATGTAGATAAGAATAATTTTCAAACCGCATTATCGATTAATTATTTCATTTTTTATGTAACCATAAAACAATATATACCACTTGTTAATTTTGTAAATTATATTAAATTTACTTTCTTTGTTTGATTAAATCTGTTTTAATTTGATTTTTAAATCAATAAAATAAAGAGCAAATCATCATTATTTTAATAGCAAAACCCCCCCCAAAAAAAAAAAATAAATAAAGGAGACCAAGCTAAGTTGGAGTTGGAGTGGGTTTGAGTTCTAAGTTGTGAGCTGTGAGTTGTATGGGTGTGGTTGGTACGCAGTCGTTTGACCTGAAAGAGGGTTTAGGAAGGTTGTCCAAATATGAATATGGCATCTCTGAAGTTGTTTAGGTTGGAAGACATCTGAATTATGGCAATATATATATCTGGTAAAGGGTCAATGTTTCTGGTGACCTTCTAACTGAAAAAGTTTGCTATCCATAACAGATATTAATGACATTAACTAAACAAATGAAAGCGATAATTTTTTATAACCTTATAATCAAGGATTGATATTGATCAAAATTGAGTGGTTGTAACGCCTTATCCTTTCATCAAAAGTTTCGTATTTAAATATTGAATATGGAAAATTTTTATGCTGGAAATTGCCCATATATGAATGCAAAGGTATTCAAGCTGAACATAATTAGAATTCGATGTACTTTCAAATATTGGGTATTTCGAATATTGGGTATTACAGACAGAAAACAAAATGATAAATTAATAAAATTTGATTTGAAGAACAATTTAAAACAATTTTGAATATATCAAATGGATGGAAGTATATTTTTAAAAAGCTTAAAATGAATTGACTTGAAAATATTCTTCATTGCAAATTAAAAAAAAGAAAGTGAAAAATCAAATTTCAATAACTAAGAGGGGAAATGCTTCTTACGTATAAAGTTACAATCATTAATATAGTGATTTGTCAATTAATGTTAATGACTATGACCTATAGAGAAATATTAAAAGAAAATAATCAAACAGTGAATGAATTTGACCATGTAATAATTAATATTTTATTTTAATTTTATCGAATTCAACTTTTGGAGATGGGAAATATATGACATATTTTTCTTTTTTTTTTTCTAAAAATTATTTGTCAATGTCAAAGATAGACACCATTTACCAACCATGAACACATAATAAATGTATAAAAAAATTAAAATAAATTGTAAATAATTCCTCAAAAAAATAAAAAATTCTAAATGAAAATATTCTATCTCAATATGAAAGAAGGATGCTACACAATAATTGATAATTCTCAATTTTAAAAAGAAAATAATTTTATAATTTAAGCTCTTAATTATTTTTTTGCACAGATAAAATTCTTAAATAAGAAACTAAGAGAGAATATTTTATATGTTGCGTAACTAATCAACAGATACATGAAAATATAAATCAATTATTATTTTTTCTTTCTTACCCTCTCTACTAATTATAAAATTTGGAATGACACGTAATCTATATATTATAATATGTATATATGATATGATTAGTTCTTCCAAATTATAAACTAATTAAGTACATATGTTATGGTAATTAATGACAGACTGATTTATTAAATCATTTTGAAAGCTTAATTATATCTCATTTTGATTAATTCACTTCACCCAAATCAAATCAAATTATAACTTAAAAATAAAGGGAATATTCTTTTGGATTTCATATTTGTTAAAACAATTGTTTGAAAGAAACAAGAAAAAAAAATCAAAAATGAGATTTTCGTGCAATATATGAATTAAAAAAGAAAAATCACAAGTGGCCTTGTATTTAAAATCGCTTGGAGATATAAATTTATCTCCTCTAATCTAATTATCACCTGCTATATAAATGCTCAAAATATAAATTTATAAATGTATTTTTTAAGAAAAATTTTATGTCATTTTCATTTTTAATTTGATTTATAAAATACTTTAATTTATAAAATTGAATTTGTTAATATTTAATTTATTAAATATCTTGACATGTAAAATTAAATAATTAAATACTTATTATATAGTTAAAAAAAATAAAATTTATTATTCTAAAAATTATGTTAACCATATCTCAAATTAATATTTTTTATATAAAATTAAAATTTATAAAATTATTATTTTTAATATAAGAACGAGCGAAATTATTATAAAAAATAAAATTCATTGGTTTCGTGACACTTTTTTTATTGGTGAAATTATATATAGCGGGTATGCAAATCAACCTTTGATTCAATTGTCATCTCATTCTGACCGTACGATGATCAATAATCATTCTTCACGGTTGATCGTATTCCCCCAATTTAATTACCACGTGTTGGTTTAGGGTGGCCGAAAATTGCTGTTACTTTCGTTTTTCGTTAAAAAAAATTTTTCAGACTGCTTGTCGTGTCGTCTCCTACAGCTCTCTCTGTCTTCTACTGCTCCAGTTTGATTCCATCAATGGACTATGGCAGCTTAACTATCAACAAGACAAGAGGCAAAAATGGCAACTCTCTCTCGCAAATCGTTCTCCTATATGCCTAAACAGTTAGCTCAATGCAATAACTCAACCTCACACCCAACGCCATCGCCAACTTTCGTTCCATTCTCTGAGCTTCAACAACAGTTAAGGCTTCTAGAATCCCAGTTAGTCTCTACAATTGAGTCCTGCACCAACCTCGCCCAAATCAAACAAGTCCATAACCACATTCTCCGTAAAGGCCTTGACCAGCGCTGCTATGTTGTCACTAAGCTTGTACGTACACTCACCAATCTCAATATTCCAATGGATCCTTACCCTCGCTCTATACTTGACCAGGTCAAGTGTCCTAACCCTTTCCTATACTCTGCTGTCATTCGGGGTTATTCAATTCAAGGACTTCTAACTGAATCTGTTAAAGTTTATGGTTTAATGAGAAAAGAAGGCGTTGGACCTGTTTCATTTACGTTTTCAGCTATTCTTAAGGCCTGTGGTTCGGTTCTTGATGTGGGTCTGGGGAGGCAGATGCATGCGCAGTCAATTTTGATTGGTGGATTTCGTTCTGATTTGTTTGTGAATAATACTTTAATTGATATGTATGTAAAATGTGGGTTTATTGAGTGTGGACGTAAAGTGTTTGATGAAATGCCTGAAAGGGATTTGATTTCTTGGACTGGGTTAATTGTTGCGTATGCAAAACTTGGTGATATGGAATCTGCACGTGAGTTGTTTGATGGGTTGCCTGTTAAGGATATGGTGGCTTGGACAGCAATGGTCACAGGTTTTGCGCAGAATGCTAAGCCAAGAGAGGCAATTGAGTTTTTTGAGAGAATGCTGGACACTGGCGTTGGAACTGATGAAGTAACTTTAGTTGGTGTTATTTCAGCTTGTGCTCAATTAGGTGCAGCTAAGTATGCTGATTGGATTCGTGATATTGTTCAGAAACCTGGGTCTGGTGCTAGTCATACAGTTGTTTTAGGATCAGCATTGATCGATATGTATTCAAAGTGTGGAAGTGTTGATGATGCTTATAAAGTTTTTAAGGGATTGAAAGATAGGAATGTGTTTACTTATAGCTCAATGATTATAGGGTTTGCGATGCATGGGCATGCTGATGCTGCGATTAAATTGTTTAATGAAATGGTTAAAACAGAGATAAAACCAAATGAAGTAACATTTATTGGACTGCTTACTGCATGTGTTCATGCAGGTATGGTGGAAGAAGGTTTAAACATGTTTGAATCTATGGAAACACATTATGGCGTTAAACGGTCAGCCGATCACTACACTTGCATAGTGGATCTGCTTGGACGAGCTGGACGTTTGACAGAAGCATTAGAACTTGCTGAAACAATGCCAATTAAGCCTCATGGAGGAGTCTGGGGAGCTCTTCTAGGAGCTTGTCGAATCCATGGTAATCCTGACATTGCTACAATTGCAGCTACCCATTTGTTTGAGTTGGAACCTAATGCTATTGGAAACTATATCATGCTCTCGAATATATATTCATCAGCTGGTAGATGGAATGATGTTTCACAGATAAGGAACTTGATGAGAAAGAAAGGTCTGAAGAAGAATCCTGGGTGTAGCTGGATTGAATCAAAGAAAGGAGTTGTTCATGAATTCTTTTCGGGCAATATGACCCACCCGATGTCTAATGAGATTAAGCAAGTGTTAATGGATCTTCTGGATAGATTGGAGGCTAATGGATACAAGCCAAACCTGTGTTCTGTGCCTTATAACATGAGTGATGAAGAGAAGAAGCATATACTAATGACTCATAGTGAGAAGTTAGCTTTAGCGTTTGGGTTGATTGTTACAAGTCCTGGTTGCCCCATAAAGATTATGAAGAACTTAAGAATCTGCCAAGATTGCCACTTATTTATGCGTGGTGCATCTCAAATCATGGGAAGAGAGATTATTGTAAGAGATAATATGAGATTCCATCATTTCCATAATGGGATATGCTCCTGCGGTAATTTCTGGTGACTTAATGGGATTTGAATGTCATCCAGGTTTGGATATTACCATTGGAATCTATGCAGCATGAATATGAATAGAAGATGCTACAATGATTTGACACGGACATTGCCAGCAGAGCCATTCTTTAAAAAATTTAGCATATTATGATGGCATGTGAGAAGCTTAACTTCTGTGATAGAACTGCCGGACTCCAACACTAACCCGAAAGTAAAATGTCTTTGATTCATAGATTAGAGATAGCCTGACAGCTACCCTTGGATGCCTCCAGAGCACTCAGAAATTGAGTAATGGAAGAACAGGGAGAAAATAGCACTAAGCTTGGACTAGCTATTTCTGAAGAAGATGCATCCTTTGATGCCTCCCCATGCGAACGAGCCAAGCAAAAATGGTCCAAGACTGAAGATCCGGCGGTCGATTTTTTTTTTTTATAAAGTTTAGATTCTTTACCTTTTTTTTCTGGAAGAAAATAGCATTATTATTATTAACTAAAAGGAACAGAATCAGCTAAAACAAAAGCAACATTTTAATAATGGTTTAGATTTCTAATATAATATCACAACCCAGATGTTATTCTTTCTTGAAATGTCTTTATAACCTTATATACTAAAAAGAAGAATTCAAAGCTAAATGCTGAAAGAAAATATGAAATGAAAGATTTATTCTTTACGGCCATTTGACTCTAAATTATAGTTACAGTGCCGCCATTGATGAAGATGACAATGGAAAACGGCCATTCTTGTTTAAAATTAAATTAGGTCAACCAAATTTAGTTAGGGACGAGTGAGTGTACAGGTTTCTATACAATTTCAAAAAATAAAAAATTCCTATTTCTTATATTGGTAAGAAATTATAATTTTTTTTCTAGTTGGATGAAATGATACATCACCTCTTTTTATATGGATAAAATCAAAATGGGTTGAAATGAATTAATAAGGGGCCCTGTGGCTGTATTGATGCCTTTTCCCCAAAATTGACAACAGATGATTTAACAAGCAGAAATTTCTCAGCCATTAAATAATTATTTCCCATTAGTATTTAGATATATTGGGGATTAATTCAGCATGAAGCAACCTAATTAAAATGATCAATCAATCAAATTACCAAACTATAACTCAATGAAAATAAAATAGAAAATTTGGATTTGATTCAATTAGAAATTGAACACTGCAAACTTAGAATTTAATTCAAACTTTATCAATTAAATAAACCTAAATAAATATAAACTCTTAAATTATTATTTTATTTGAATATAATAAAATTTAAGATTACAAAAACTTAAATAAATTATTATTAGTCTTATTACTGATCAGAGTAAAATAAAATAAATATTAAAAAAAGCTAGATACAGCTGGAATGGATAATTGTAGCAGAGCTTTTGTACAAGAAATTAATAGATGTTCCTTTCGCAAAAAAATCAAATATGAAATAAACCTTAGAAGAATAGTCTCAACAAACTTCTAAATTTATTATTTATGTGTGATTGAATTTTCCATATATAAAATTTAAGATTATCAATAAAACTCTAAATATAAATATATTGTAGTAGTGGCTTATATCTGATCAGCCAGTAAATAATAACAATAAAGTATTAGAAAAGCTAGATACAGCTGGAATGGATAATCTGTAGCAGAGCTTATGTACAAGAAATTAATTAGATGTCCTTTCGTGCAAACCCAAAAAAAAAAAAAAAAAAAAAAGAGAAAAAAATATATATATAGGTATAGTTATATAAATAGGGGTAGGTAGTAGGGTAGGGGTGGTAGTGATATGCCTGCTCATTTATAAGGAACGCATAAAGTGGCAATATGGACAAAAGTACAGAAAAGGATATACGCGCATAAAATATATATGTGCATTATAAGGAACGCAAGTGGCAATATGGACAAAAGTACAGAAAAAAGGATAACCAAAAAAGCATTGTTTGCCTGTTTGGTTTTTGGTCTTGAACGAAGGTCGCTTTCCCAACATGCTATTTACTGTGGATAAAATGAGTAAATTACTCCCTTGTCCACGAATAATTATGCTTGTACTTAAAAAAAAAAAAAATACAGTTTTAATACATATATATTAGAAATATGTTACATTATATTTTATTACAGATGATAATATGGAGTATAAATTTTCGAAGTGTAATTAACTTGATTGTTATAACACATTATATTACTTCAGTTGTCCTATTTTATTTGCATAATTTGACAAAATACGCATCTTAAGAATTTAGTCAACTAAAATTATTTTACTTTTTTTTTATCTTTAACTAATTGAAGATATTAATAAAAGTCTCTCATTTAATAAATGATGATAAAAATTATTATGAAAAAAATGATTATTTACATATCTAAATTTTAAAAACTTTTGAAACATTTTGTGACATCTAAAAAAGGAATAACAAGCAAACAAAATGGAGGGAAGAATATTATTTTACAGATACAATTACATTCTTAAAATGAAATCTCAATAATCCTTTTCAAAAAAAAAAATCAATCTCTATATTCACAAAATTAGTAGTATATTCTAGGGCCAAAACTTGATTTACTAGGTAATTAGTGAACTTAGACAGGAAATAAAAACAAAAAGGACATCCATCCAAAAGAAAAAATAAAATTCTTAGGTCAAAGTCAACATTCATAATTGTTTTTTTTTTTCTTTTTTTCAAATCAAACAATCAGGCGGCTGAGATCCCTTGAGGCTTGAGAGAGCTACATTACAACACACAGGATCTCCAACTCATATCTAAGCTAGCACCAAACGTCAAGAAATTTCACTTGAGAAGAGAGGAAGAAAAAACGCTGCTCGAAAAATTAAAAAAAATAACAATAAAAAGAAAAAAACATTTACATAGAGAGAGAGGAAGAGGGGGAGGAAGAGAGAGAGAGATAACACGTAGAGAAATTTGGTCCGTGCGTAAACGAAAGGATACAGAGGAGAACACGATGCTCTTGGCTATCTCCTCTTTATCACTTCCATTTTGCTCTTCTTCTTCAATTTCCTTATCGAATTTCTGCTGTTGATTCCGTACTCTCTACGCGCTGCGTGTGTTTTTTTGAGGCAAATACTCAGTAACTGGTTGATGCAATGTCTGGTGAAGCGTCGTCGTCTGGACTGGTTCTCGAAGGTCTCGACGATGTAGAAGACTACATTTGGGTGAGAAAACTTCTCTTTCTCTTCTCTATCTTAAATCTCTAAGCCTTTGGTTCCGCTTATAATGTGGCCTAAATTTTTGGTTCAAGTAATCTACTTCTGGTTTTAGCTTGTTTCTTACGTTGAGTGATTGATTGCTGAGAAAATGCTGTTAAAAGAATAGAAAAATACGAGTTGAGAAATTAGATATTCATATATAAGAGGTTAGAAAACAATAATACTTAACTCTAGTGTTTTTTTTTTTTTTATTTACTTAAATCTATTTTTTGTTTTCTGGCTGAAAACTTTGAACATGAGTATAGATATATACTTTCTTTCTTTTTCTTTTTTTTGTTGCTGTGACTTTTCCTGCATTTTCTCAGAAATCAAACAGGTGCTGTTTCTCTGTTGTTAAAACTGTTTTGTTCTCTTTGTTTGTTTCCTTCTTTGAAGTGTTTGGTAGCTGGGAAGAATTTGTGTTAAGACAATAATTAAAACTTTAACTTTTACCTCGTCTTTCTAGTCAGTAGCTGTTTAGTTGTTTCCTTGTTGGGAAATCCGAAGGTGAGATTGGAGAAAAAAAAAAAAAGTTTTTGTTTTTCTATTTTTTGAATTTCTTTTCCTTTATACGAAGAACAGGCAACTAAATTTGAGGAAGGATTCAGGAATAAAAAATTTACCCTACACCTTTTTTTTTTTTTTGAAATTTTGTAAGATTTAGAAAAAAAATATAAATACCTATTTCTATTGTTGCTTGCTGCAAAGGATACAGTGAAACGTGAGATATGCACTCCTTCTACTATTTAGAACATGCTTGGCAAAGTGGTTACTTTTGCTTTAGTAGAGTCAACTTTCTAAGTTTTTGCTTAATTCACTAACAATTTGAGAGTCAAAATTTGTTCTTATATTTTCTTTCAGTATCTACAAATATAATCGTTATGCTGTAGAATATTCTGTTTGTTCTCTTCAGAATAGAATAGATTGTTTTTGCGAGTCTGAATGAGAGAATGCTTAATCAATTGCAGCCTAACGAAGGTGAGAGATCATTGTCCAGGGACAGGTTTAGTCATGTTTTTGAGCTAGTCCAGAATGGCAACGAGGCATTCCGGGAGAATCGTTTTGAGGAGGTAAATTGTTTTGGCTATTTATGCTACTTTGTCTAGATTGAACATATTTCTTGTCATCCTGGGCAGTTTGCTTGAAATGCTTTCCAATTTGTCCTTTTGTCATCTGGAAATTAAAGAAGGAAAATGGCAGAAAAAAGTTAAAATGGGAAAGGGCAATGCAGGGGCCAGGGTAATTTGATTTTCCTGGAATGCGAGCTTTGGGTATTTCTGCGTGGAAAACTGGTATAATATTGAAATATCATTCATGAAGTATGGATGTTAACCTAAGATCTAAGGCTTTACTCGCAGTCATTAATGAATTTAAGTGAGCTCTTCTTTGGGGTGAGAATTCTTTAATCAATGTTATTTGTTTGGTATGATGCTTACCCTTTGCCATTTACTCCTGCATGACTAGTTAATCTTTTTTTTAGGCTATCAATTGTTACTCAAGAGCCAACAACATCAAACCTGGGGATCCTATCATTCTGGGCAATAGGAGTGCTGCTTTTAGCAGGTTAATTTTGACCATGTTATTATTGCCTACATTGGAGTTTTGATTCATTCATTTGATTGGTTGGTTATTCTATGTTATGTAGGATAGTCATTCATCCATCTCGAGAATGAATTTCGATATTAACACTGATAACAATAATGACTTTGTTGAAATTGCTTCTTTTCTTTTAACTAGGATTAGCCAGTTCCTGAAACAGAGACCTGCTTCTGCTTCTGAATATAAACCATTAAATGGGTTAGATCCTACTATACATGCAGAAGTATGTATCCTTTTTTAGTTTCTTTTAGAAAATTATAATTTCACTATAAACTTTATGTGAAATCTGAAAAGAAATACTTGTTTATTAATTGTTTAGCTTGCGCTAAAGGATGCTGAGAAGGTGATGAATTTGAGAAATAATTCAGTGAATCCATTTATGTTAAAGGCCAATGCTCTCATCTTGGTAAGAATGTTGGTGATTTAATCTTTTCTGTTCATCTACATATACAGCGCCTAAGATTCCAAGGGTTCAATATTCACTGTATGTTTTGGGTCAACACTCAACCTGTGAATTGGATTGACAGTTGGAAAAGTATGAGCTGGCTCGAGATGTTATTCTTTCAGGACTTCAGGTTGATCCTTTTAGGTAATAATTAAAAGACTTCATACACTTCTTGTGTGCAATTTGTTTTGAAAATTCTCAAAAGATGGAGAGTTCAATTTTATCATTCATTTAAGATTCACAGGCTTTAGAAATTGGTAGCATGCCTTGCCCATTTTCTTTGATATGTACATTTTGTCCCTTTTCTGAGTACTCTGTAATTTGTAGCAATCCTCTTCGGGCTTCCCTTCATAATTTGGAGAGAATAGTAGCTAATACATTGAGGAGAAGCTTTGGCAAAACAGAACGCAGTGATGAGTTTAATTGCACACTCTGCCTGAAGTTACTATATGAACCTGTTACAACTCCATGTGGGCATTCATTTTGCCGCTCATGTCTTTTCCAGTCAATGGATCGCAGTTAGTATTTTTCTGTTTTTCATTCTATTATGATTTGTGCCAGTCCATCTATTTATGCTTTTCTGACCCTGCAATTAATATCAGGTAACAGATGTCCATTGTGTCGAACAGTTCTCTTCATCAGTTCTAGAACATGTTCAATCAGGTGAGCTAAGTATCCTGTGACAGTAATTAATTTTTTGTTTATGAAGTGTATTATGGAAGAAGCACCTTTTCTTTGCATTTGCAATTTAGCTCCTGTAGTTGGTCTAGAAGCAACCGTTCATTGTTCTTGTTAAGGAGATATAGTATTTATTAGGAACTATGCATGATTATGCATATTCGACTTGTTGCCTAACACTGTTCGAATTAAACTCCGGATTTTATGATGCTGTGCAATTTAAATATAAAGGAGATATAGTATTTATTAGGAACTATGCATGATTATGCATATTCGACTTGTTGCCTAACACTGTTCGAATTAAACTCCGGATTTTATGATGCTGTGCAATTTAAATATAAAGGAGATATAGTATTTATTAGGAACTATGCATGATTATGCATATTCGACTTGTTGCCTAACACTGTTCGAATTAAACTCCGGATTTTATGATGCTGTGCAATTTAAATATAAAGGAGATATAGTATTTATTAGGAACTATGCATGATTATGCATATTCGACTTGTTGCCTAACACTGTTCGAATTAAACTCCGGATTTTATGATGCTGTGCAATTTAAATATAAAGGAGATATAGTATTTATTAGGAACTATGCATGATTATGCATATTCGACTTGTTGCCTAACACTGTTCGAATTAAACTCCGGATTTTATGATGCTGTGCAATTTAAATATAAAGGAGATATAGTATTTATTAGGAACTATGCATGATTATGCATATTCGACTTGTTGCCTAACACTGTTCGAATTAAACTCCGGATTTTATGATGCTGTGCAATTTAAATATAAAGGCTGTGCAATTTAAATATAAAGAAGTAGAAAAAAAAAATTGTGGAAAAGCATCTGTTTATGATTAAAACTGTAGTCCTATTTACCATGCGTGCTGGGCAGTTAATGAGTAAGAGAAAATGTCTTCTTCTTTATGAAGTCCCAAAGAATGTGTCATAGACATTAGTAAGTGTTAAATTAAAACATGTCTCAATGCTCTCATTTTTTACATTTTCATGGACTGTTTTACATTTTGATAAGCTGCAATCAACAACCAAAGAGATGTTCATTATGGTTTAACAAAATTCAATATTGCATGACATATGTTTGGATTTTTAACAGTGTGACACTAAACAACATTGTACAAAAGAACTTTCCAGAGGAGTATGCTGAGAGGAAGTCTGAACATGAAAGTTTGACAAATCCTGGTGTTGATCTGATCCCCCTTTTTGTCATGGATGTTGTCATCCCATGTCAGAAATTTCCACTCCATATATTTGAGCCCAGATACAGACTAATGGTGAGTTGACTATTCTACTGATTGTTTTTAATATGAAGGTTTAAGATGAATTTAATGTTTACTTTGTGCCATGTGCATTCAGATGTTGAATTGTCATTTCTTGTGACATAAAATCTTTGGCTAATGTGCAAGTACTACTTCAATTGAAAGAGACATTTAGCATGATTTGATTCTTTCTAATAAGAAATACTGTTTGGTCCAATGGCTTCAAAATTTGTACCAACTGCCAAGTTTCATCTATTGGTGATTTTTCTAACTGTCACCTTCTTTCCAAATCTAGTTATAGTCGGAATATTGGACAGAAGATGAGTAAAGATGGTCAGATTTGTGTCCAAAACTTGTATCTTAAGTTCATGGTGAAATTTGTTTTTAGAAGTCCACATTATTTTGTGGTATATTAGGTAGATGTATCATGCTTTTTTTTATTTATTATTATTTCTATTTTTTCATCCTTCTCTCCCTTTTTATACATAGATAACATTACATCTCCTTTTTTTTTCTCATGACAGGTGAGGAGGATCATGGAAGGAAATCATCGGATGGGAATGGTATATTTGTTGACACTGGTCCTTTTCTTCACCTCTTTTATCTACAAGGAGCATTGCATGGGCAATGATCTCTGACCTACCCTTTGATTTTTCTATAATTATGTAGGTTATCCTTGATTCTGCCACAGGATCATTAGTTGATTTTGCATGTGAAGTGGAGATCACGGAGTAGGTTTTTTGGAACATATTCCATGTAGTTATCAAATTTTTAACTGCCTAGCTATTATACTTTCCTCAATTTCTTAAAGCTTTCTTCTAAACATGACTTTGTTTTGATTTACTCTGTAGCTGTGAGCCACTTCCAGATGGACGATTCTATCTAGAGGTAAAAGTATTTGTTTTATTTTCCGATTCTTCTCTTTCATCTTTTTTGCTAACAAAGAAGGCAATTGTTTCTGAAACTTAACTGGTTATTATGAAACTTTGTATTGGATTGCTTGGATATCTTTAGTCTTTGTTTTTATATATTTATTTATTTTTAAGGATAGTTTTCTCTTTAAGCATCCCATTACCATGTGATCTCTGTGGTCATGTTTATGTTCAACTAATAATAAAACATAAATTTTTTTCAGGTTGAAAGTCGCCGTAGATTTCGTATTCTTCATTCTTGGGATCAAGATGGGTGAGCTTGGCCTTTCAAATGGCATCCATTTTCTGCTATTGTATTTGCTACTAATATTGACCCATGCTATTCATTTTTGTGAGTTAGCCTTCATATCTTTCTACTTTTTATGCAGGTATCGTGTTGCAGAGGTTGACTGGGTACAAGATGATCCACCAAAAAGGAAAGCAGAGGTATGCTTGCTGCTTTTATCTACTTCTTCTTTCAACTTTTCTTTGTTATTGGTGTTAATATTTACTTCCTTTCTTTGTTTTGGTGCCTAAGTGATGTTGAAAAGTTAAAAGGAAAAAAAAAAAAAAAACTAGTTAGACCTTTTGTTATTGGGCTTTGATGCATTCAGTATTCCTGGGATTTAACGTATTTCTGGTATTTTAACAAAGACATACATTTTCAATTTCAAAGAAAATTTTCCTACTCTATTATATCTTGTACCAATGAGATCTCATGACATTATAGCAGGAAGATATAGGATATCAACTGTGTGCGTACGTGTGTGTCTGTCTGGGTTGTCCAGGGTCCTCTCAACTAGTTTGGGAATTAGTTGAGTCATTCATTGAATATTATTAGTCCTTGGTCAACAGAATAAGGGAGGAGGATGTCTCTTCCCCATTCATAAAAAACCAGTTTACCCTTCATTTAAGTTGGATTTGAGCCTAGGACCTCAAAGTTGAAATTCCTAAGTTCAAATCCAGAGAAATGTTAACCTGATATTACATATTGGTGGTCCATTTATGGACTCATTTCTGCATCCTTTCAGTTACAGGATATTACAAATAATGCAGCTGAATATGCTCAGTCATGGTTAAGGAGGGCAAAGGAAGCTGCAAGACAAGGTAAACACTTAGTATTAATGCCTCGAGATTTAATTCTGCAAGTTGTATATATGGCTCCATGTTTGTAGATTATGCTATTTGAATAGTTTCATCCTAATGGAATTCATCTCGACAATATACTTAGCAGCCGGATTTATCCAACATCGTGAAAGAAACCATTAGGGAAAAAAGTGATAAATATGATTGTTTGGCTCAAAAGTGTTCCATCAAGTCCTTGTTTCTAATGATATTATTTTCTGATTTCATACTTCTGCTGGCAGTTTGTGATTTTATTTAAAATTCATTATTTGTGGTTTTCTATGTTAAGACTGTATCTAGGGGAAAATTTTTAGGTAGATGGTAGAAGCCTTCAAAAACTATTCAGACCATGAGTGACACTGACCCAAAAGTTGAAGTTTCATTCAAGAACATCTGCCCACTTGAGTTTAAGCAAATGTGATAAAATAATCCCTCCAAATTTGTAAAGTTGGCCTTCAATTGAAAACCTCCAATCTTTTTCCTTTGATATTTTGAAAATGATTTTGATTGCATTACCATGTCATTGTTTCAGTTAAAGAAAATACTTGGTTTTATGAGCTCATTGTTGCAAGATTTTGAGAGAAAACAAACTGGTGGGTGGTTTAGATATAAGAATACTTGTCAAGAACTTTATTATTTATCCTGAGCTCCTGTCTAGAATTAGGTGGAGGGTGTGACACGTAATTACAGAAAGTTCTGTACACACTTTTGTTTGCTGGGAAATAGCCTGCATATTTGTTGGCCGAATGAAGTCATTTGGGCATTTGTAGTTGGCCTATGTACAAAGTGCAAACACAGGGATAATCTTTTCTATTCTATATTCCTGTTTCATATTTTGGAATGTATTAGAACATTATTTCAATTTATGACATAATTTAATTGTAGATCGAAGAAGACTTGAGAAACTATTAAATGTAGAAGCAATGATGCCCACGCCGTTGGATCCTGAGCGCTTCAGTTTCTGGGTATTGGCATTTAATCACAACTAACTTGTGTGATTTAAGCATGATTAGGTTAACTTTCTTATTTTGATTCATACTTGGCTGCAGCTTGCTACTCTATCAGACAGAAGGCCTCATGAAAAATTAGAGCTCCTGCGCATAAGGGATACAGAAGAGGTACACTGATTGATCTATTACCTTAAAACATTTTATCATTTGGATAATTGCATACTAGTCAGACCATGTTGCTCATTCCATACATACCCTGTTTTTGAACACCTTATTCTACCTGGGGTGGGCAAAGGTTGAGGTTGCAACCCAACCTGGAAATAGAACTGGAACCAATCGCTTGGTTCGAACCAAAGTTTAATCTGGCTTCAATTCCTTGTATACTGGAACTAGAACAGTTCCAAAAAGAAGTGGTTCCACAAGGTTCAACTTGCACAAATTTTGGTTCCAGTTTGGTTCCGAACCAAACTCTGGCCACCTTCGTTTCTATGTCTCCCTGAAACAAAACCCAAAGAAAAGGGCAATTACATGCATTGGCAATGAGTGCCTGGAAAAAAAAATTCTTGCCTACTGGTAGTTCCAAGTGTACATCCAGTATTTTCTTATCTGGTGTTTTGCAGCTTACGCTAGTTTTTTCTTGAGCGTTCCTTGATACTAGAATTTATGGATATCCTCTGGAGGGCCTGAAATTTCTGGTAGGCATGGGGATGCTCTTACATTAATAATTTGTTCTGACCCTTTTTCTCTGTGATCTCTTTTGCAGAGGATAAAACGAGGATTGGTCTATCTTAGTGCAGCAGAACAAGGCTGCAGGGTGCAATAATAATAGTATTTGTACTTGCACATTGAATTCTCTACCCAAAAAAAGAAAAATTATTATATATCAATATTCTTTGATCCACATGGTTGTGGATCCTATTCTTTTTGTATAACAAATTAGTATTTAAACCGGCATTCATTTTCGGTATAGAAAAATCCAATTTTCAGTTAACGTTATTTAGTTTTTATAATTTTGTGTTAACGATTATTTTTGAATCTTGTGCCATAAACATTTTTTAATTGAGTGGAAGTTAAAGAGTCTTTCACGTTAAGCATTTTTAAATAACCTCGAATATTCAATTTCTGATCACTGAAGAAGATACAGTATTTTTTTTTTTAAAAAAATATGAAATAGCAATCTAAATTCGTGATTTAATAAAATATTTTTACAAAAAATAGACAAGATTCTTCTATTTCATTTTCCCAATTTCAGTTACGTAATTTTAACTGCAAGCTTTAGTCTCACATGTACAGTTTTCTGAAAGCTCAGCTCTTCTACTGCTAAATATAGAATTTGTATTATTATTATTATTATTAGTATCATTCACAACACTAATCTCTATTTTAAGTACTAATCAACATCAAGATTATTCAATCACACCCAATAACTAAAAAGAGAAGAAAACTCACTGCAGTGCTACTCCAACAGTTGCCAGAGTGTTTTCCCTTTTCTTTTCTTTTCTTTTTTTTTTTTTTCCTTTCCTAAAAAAAAAATAATAATTCTGAACTTTGTTTTTTGGTGGTTAGTGGTTATCACAAATAACTGAATTAGACAGACAAAAACGTAGCGGTTCTGAAGGTCCAACGCACGGCTCGCTTATCAGTTAAAAGCTTTGTCTTTACCAAGTCTTGTCTCATCTGTAGCAACTAACTTAACAAAACAAAACCAAAAAAAAAAAAAAAAAAAAAAAAAATGTCTTTACCAAGGTCCCCTTGTCTCATCTGTAGCAAAACTAACTTAACAAAACAAAACAAAAAAAAAAAAAAAAAAAAAAAAGGGAACCCAAAAAAAAAAAAAAAAAAAAAAAAAAAAGGGAACCCAAAACACAAACTTACAGCATTGCACGTCTTCTCTTACTTGTTCTCAACTATCTTTCTTCTATTTTTCTCCATTTTTATTACCTTCAATCAGTTTCAGAAACACCACCATTAACAAATTTTTCCTCTTACACAAGAACATTTCCCTTCTGCATCCACTGACAATTAGCATTGTCATAATTTCTTTATCAGAAGACAATATTATGGGAAGACATAATTATCATCTTCTTTTCTTTGCGCTTGTTTTATTTGCCCCCAACTTCACTAATGCCGCATCAAAGAATTCTTCTGCTTCAGTTGCATGTACACCGACTGATAATTATCTCTTTGATTGTGGATCATCACAAGATACTACTCTTGTTGATGGTCGAACATTCAAATCTGATTCTTCTACTATAAGACACCTTGAAACCGAAGAAAATATAAAAGTTTCAGTTGATTCTATTGGTGCAAATGCCACTTCTAGTAATTCTTCGCCTTCTTCTTCATCTTCGATCCCTTTATATCTGACTGCAAGAATTTTCACTTCTGTTTCAAAGTATAATCTTCATATTTCTGATCGAGGTTGGCATTGGATTCGCCTTTACTTTTACCCTCTTCCTCACGTTAAATTCAATTTAACTTCTGCAGCTTTTACTGTCACAACCGGTGATGGGTTTGTTCTTTTAAGTGACTTTTCTGTGAATTCTAATATCTCTCTTGTTTTCAAGGAATATTTGTTGAATCTCACAAAGGAAACATTTTCTCTCATCTTCAAGCCACGTGCACAATCTTATGCTTTTATAAATGCTATTGAGGTTGTGTCTGCACCTGATAGTCTTATTTCTGATTCTGCTTCAATGGTTCCTCAAGGAGGAGGAACTTTCAGTGGTTTGTCTAAGTATGCTTTTGAAGTTTGTTACCGGTTAAATGTTGGCGGTCCAATGCTAAATCCTAAAAACGATACACTTTCAAGAACATGGTTATCTGATAAAAAATATAATGCATTTCCTGAAGGAAGTGAAAGTGTATCTGTGTCTCCTAGTGCAATCAAATACCCATCCACAGGAGCAAATGCGTATATAGCCCCTCGTTTGGTTTATGCTTCCGCAGATCAGATGGGGAATTCTGAAACTTTAACTGCTAATTTTAACCTCACTTGGAAAATGAAGGTTGATCCTGAATTTTCCTATTTGGTTAGGATGCACTTTTGTGACATTGTGAGTAAATCCCTTAATGACTTATACTTCAATGTGTATGTTAATGGATTAATAGGCGTTTCGAGTCTTGATCTTTCATCCCTTAGTGACAATGCTCTTTCCACAGCTTATTTTGTGGATTTTGTGATAAATGCATCATCTATCAGCAATAGTTCTGTTATGGTTCAGGTTGGTCCTGCTTCAAATGTACAATCATCTAATGCTATTCTTAATGGATTAGAGATAATGAAGGTCAGCAACAAAGCTGGAAGCTTGAATGCTTCATCTACTGTGACTAATGCATCTCGTAAGGTACAAATAATGAGAATTGTTGCAGGAGTAGGTCTTGTATTGGGGGTAACAGCAATTGTGTTTCTTGCACTGATTTGTATTCGATGGCAGAGAAGGCCTCAAGATTGGCAGAGAAGAAACAGTTTTTCCTCATGGCTTCTCCCTCTCCATAAAAACCAATGTGCATCTTTATGTACCAAAAGCAGCTCTAGAAGATCTAGCATTTTCGGTTCTCGGAAAAGCAAGAATAGTCCCTCTGCTTATTTTCCTAATCAGGGTCTAGGCCGGTTCTTCACTTTTAGTGAATTACAACATGCTACACAAAATTTTGATGAGAAGGCAGTGATTGGTGTTGGCGGTTTTGGTAAAGTTTATATAGGAGAATTAGAAGATGGAACTAAGACTGCTATCAAACGAGGAAATCCGAGCTCACAACAAGGCATAAATGAGTTCCAAACAGAAATACAAATGCTGTCGAAGCTTAGGCATCGACATCTTGTATCACTCATTGGTTTCTCAGATGAGCAATCTGAAATGATTCTTGTTTATGAGTTTATGGCTAATGGCCCTCTTCGTGATCACCTCTATGGCTCGGATAAACCTCTATTGTCATGGAAACAAAGGCTTGAAATTTGCATTGGCGCAGCCCGGGGACTGCATTATCTACATACAGGAGCCGCACAAGCCATCATCCACCGTGATGTTAAGACTACAAACATTCTGCTTGATGAGAATTTTGTAGCTAAAGTTTCTGATTTTGGCCTTTCGAAAGCTGCATCACTAGATCAAGGCTATGTAAGCACAGCAGTGAAGGGTAGCTTCGGATATCTTGATCCCGAGTACTTCAGAAAGCAACAACTTACAGAGAAATCTGATGTGTACTCATTTGGAGTTGTACTATTTGAAGTATTATGTGCAAGGCCTGTTATAAACCCAGCATTGCCAAGAGAGCAAGTTAGTTTAGCTGAGTATGCAATGAAATCATATAAAAATGGAATGATAGATGAAATAATAGACCCTGAAATTGCTGGAACTATTAATCCAGGATCCCTGAAAAAATTTGTGGAAGCTGCAGAGAAATGTTTAGCAGAATTTGGAGTGGACAGGCCTAGCATGGGAGATGTGCTGTGGAATTTAGAATATGCATTGCAGCTACAAGTGGCAGCTTCTTCTGAAGCTGAAAAAGTTGAAGATAAAAGTATTAATATGATCCTTTTGGAAAATCCAGACAACCCTCATGGAGAATCACCTAGTGATGATTCTCAAGTAGCTGGTTCTGTTTTGTTTTCCCAGATGGGGAATTTTGAAGGAAGGTAAATTAAAGAATCTGCAGTGACATTTTTTACCAAGAAAGCTGACTTCAAAAATGGGTCCCAAATGGTTGATTGAAATCTTGGATTGATGGTATTCTGCAGAATTTATACTTCTTTTTTTTTTTTTTTTTTTTTTTTTGGTCCCAAAATGGTTTGATTGAAATCTTGATTGATGGTATCTGCAGAATTTAATACTTCTTTTTTTTTTTTTTTTTTTTTTTTTTGTGTGTGTTCTTGTTCTTATCGATTTTCGTTTATATTTTTTTTTTTTTTTTTTTTTTTTGTGTGTGTTCTTGTTCCTTTATCGATTTTCGTTTATAAGCACCTGTTCACTTATGTTATCACTTCCATTGAGAGTATAGCCATAGAAAATACTCTTCAGAGCTGCATACGAGAACAACACTTCAAGAAATTAAAAGAGACTTAATTACCATAACCAATCAAATTTAGACAGAAAACTTTTCTTCTCTGTGACGGACGCAGGAAAAATTTTTACCAACATTATCCATTACGGATGGAAAACTTTTCCTTATTCATATGCGACAACACAATGTATTCTCTATTTTGTAAAATTTGACTTTTTTTTTAAATATAAAAATTTGACACTTGATTTTTTATATTTATATTTTTTATTTTACAAAAATTGGCACTTTGGTCATTTTTTTTAGAATTAAATTAACAGACAACTCAATCAGTGAGAATGTATTCTATTTCCTTACAAATTTACAAAAAGATATCAGAGTATTAAATTAAGTCAAAGTATTTTCTATTAATTTTATGTGATTTTGGGCATATTTTTTAATTTTCTAAAAAACGCTAAGAAATTAAAATTAAATATTGATTTCATAAAAGGAAGGACCAAAGCCAAAAGGCCAAACCGAGAAGTTCTTGTGTGGGCTTTCTAAAAAGGCTTGACGTGACGTCACCTGTCCAAACAGGAAAAATGGAACGGAAAAAATCCTGCTCAAAACAGATCCTTAAGTCGGACTTGTCAAGTTTCAGAACTCTCGATTCTAATGGAAGATGACAGTGATATGTTCTTAACCGGTCTAAAGGACTGGAAATGGCACAACCTTTCGCCCTTAAATCTTGATTCCTCTCAAACACACAAAACCCATTCAAAACAATGGTCTGTGGTTGTCATTAAAGACTCCTCTTCTACCCCCACTACCGACGCCGGCGATGATTTCTCCGTTTTCCCTCCCAGCAACCATGAAAATCTCACTCCCTCCCATTTCAATTCAGAATCCAAACACCAATCACCACCTTCCCCATCGTCACCAGTGTCTCCGTTCTCTTTTCTCCCTTCCGATTTTGACCCCTCACCACAGCCGCCGCCAGCTGTGTCTCTCTTGCCCAAATGGTGGGGCTTTGCCGTTCAGATATTACGTTCGAGAATCGCTAATATTGGGTCCTATTTTGGGTGCAATAATGGTGATAAACGATCGTTTTGGTCATTTGGGAATGTTGCTTTGGCGGTGACGGTGGTGTTGTGGTGGTTGTGTATGCGAGTAAGGCGGAAGTGGCAGAGAAGGAAGAGCGTGGGTCATCTGATGCAGATTATTAGTGATAAAGATAAGGTATGATCCTTGTTAATTTTTGTTGAATGTGTTTGTTTTAACGCCTGAGCCAATTTGGTTCAAGGTGTTTGTTGAAATGCCTACAAGAGAATGTGACGGTTAGTAAAATACAACTATTGGCTTATTATGTGGTTTGCTTGCACTAAAATTTTCGTTTTGCTTTATTCGCAGCAAATTATGCAGCTTCTGAATCAAATAGCTCAAATGAACGAATTACTGCTTACTCGCCACAAAGTTAAGGCTTCAAAATTGGCTGATTAATGGAGGTTGGCTCGCTGGCAATTCTCTTAGCAGCTGCTGATGGGGCAGCGGGCAGTCATGACTCACAACCATACTGCTATAGCATTTGAGATTTGATCATTAATAGCAATAGAGATGATCCTATTTTTGTGGGTAGCGTAGTTTAGTGGGTGAATCCCGTCCTGTGGTAAAAATAATTTGGTGCATAACCCTTTACCTGAATCGCAGATAAGCTTTTGTAGTTGAATGTCTCACGGGGCATATTATGATAGAAGGGATTGTCTTGAAATGATTCTATGATGTTAACTTTTCAGGACAAGACACTGCCCGAAGTAGATGTATCTCGAGTTTTACAATGTAACCTGCAATTGAACTATTTCTATCAAAAAAGAGCGGAAAACAAATATATATATCCAAACATAGTAATATTGTCAAAGTGCCTACCATCAAACTCTCCTTTCCCCCTCCCTTTTTCCTCGGCAACCCCTTTTTAGTCCAGATATAGGGCTGTCACTGGTTTTATTTGAGGCTCAACAGCCTTCACAAATCTTTTCCCTGGTTTTTATTATGTTTTCTTCTCCAAATGACTTATGGTCTTATCTACCAGTTCTAGGATACAGAATAAAGGCCTAAATTGGCCAAAATATCTGTTCTACAATAAAATATTCTTCAAAATATGACAAAATGAACTTCATAAATAATTACACTCTCATCAAAGGCAAAAATTTGAATGATAAATTGAAGAACTTCAAAAATTCTCCAGCAGCAATTTCTTATGAATTATGTAACAGTCTCGTCATTTACTTTCCAGAATAATGAGAGCAAAAGAAAATAAACAGATCATTTACCTATACAAGAGAAGAAATGGAAAAGGACAACCATACTGTGGCGTCGATTATAATTTTCCTTCATTGATTACTCAAACACAAGAAAAAGACAAAGTTTGTGTTAATAAAAGAATTTTACCCCTTAATCCTTTTGTTCTCAGAAGCAAAAACAAGACAACATAGCATGGTAAACTTATATAATTCTGAACTGTTATCAAATTTAAATCTGCCTTTGACTGAGGAATTACATAACCTACAAATTATGACACAATGAACATATTTCACTCACTAGCACTCCAACCCACTAACTCCCTGATCCGCTGTTTTGATGCACTGGACGGCGAACATCAAACTGATCTACATACTCCAGTGGAGTCGCTGTCTCATTCCTGATCCTCTTGATCTTGGGGCTCAATAGTCCCCTATGGCCAAAACCATACAATTTAAGCACCTGGTTGTCGGCAAAATTGAAAGCCCTTTCCATACTTCTCAAGCATTGTTCGACAGGATAATCCCCATAGCTCCCACAAGGCTTGCAACCGACGAAATGTGTCACAAAAGGCCACCTCTCATCACCCAATCCTGGATGGTACTTCTCAATCATTTCCTCATACCGATCCACCAAACCTGCCCAATAACCATGCAAATAATACTGATTCTCAATATACACCTTATCCATCCACTGATCTTTCTGCGAAAGCAGCAAGTAAATCAAAGCTGACTGATCATCAGCCTCAAATGCTGGTCTCCCCTTTAAATTAGCAGTCAAAATTCTGCCAGCCTCCTCCCTAATTGGCCCCTTAGGACCCATAGGAGCCCAGGCATCAAGCAAATCCAAGCTCCATTGACAATTCCTAAACAAGAAACTCCCGGTATTCAAAGCAATCCATGATTTTTGCTCAAACAATAAATCAGGATACCCATGAATCACCAAATTATGCTTATTATACTTGGATAAAGGGATCTCAAAAACCATATCAGTAAACATTGCATCACTGTCCATCCACCAAATCCACTCCACTTCAGGATGTGAAAGCATCAATCTCCTAATCATAGGCAATTTCGCCCAATAGCCAGCTAGTTCCTTATCCAAATGAGCCATATTATAAACAATCTCAATCCCATGAATCCTACAATAATCGATCTTATTCTTTATCGCCTTCAACAGATAATGATCCCCAATCGGGTTATCACATGGTTTCGGAGGCGAACCGGTCAACAACAAAATCCGAGCTTTTCCATTAACAAAATTAGGGAACTCAGCATTTTGAGTAAGCCATACCTTACGTTCCTGGTCCCAATTAGCAATTTTGGGGCCTAACGTGTAAGTGACGTTGGGGTTGATCTCAGGCTCAGGCAGCTCATTCGGGTCGGTAGGGTCGTCATCGGAGCGGATCTCAGCTAAAATCCTATTAGTCTCTTCAATTAGATTCTGATTGATGGCTTCAGCATCCGAGCTAGTAAGATTGCCAATGCCTATAGTACCGCGAAGGACAAGAATCGTAACGAAGCCACAAAGGATAGTGATCTTGATGTTATTGAAAGTCTTGTGTATCTGCCTACCGCGTGGCATCGTTGCACGGCCAACTCTGCCGTTGGCAGTGGCGGTAGTGGTGGGTAATCCTCCACCTCCACCGCCGCTAGCTCTTTTTTGGGGAGTGAAGCTCTCTTGCCCCATATTAATTTTAACTCTGAAATTATAGACTCAGATGCGACACTTAGAGAGAGATCCAATTTCTCTCTCTTCTGTGTGTAGGATTTTTTAGTATGTGGATCTGGAAAGCATTTAATATAATACTAACAATAATAATTTAATCTCTTACCTCTGAAATCTTTTTGCAGGGAGGAGGAATAATTTAAAAGCCCTGGACGCGGTGGAGGTGGAGTTGGAGATTGAGACGGCGGTGCAGTTTTGGTGATATGTTTATGGTGTGATAGTGGTGGCGATTAGAGAGTTGAAAGGCGGAGTTGGTCACGACATATGTCCAACTGCAAGTTGTCAGAGAGGGTTTTTATATATTATGTTTATGGTGTGATAGTGGTGGCGATAGAGAGTTGAAAGGCTCGGAGTTGTCAGAACATACTGTCCCAACCTGCAAGTTGATATATAAAATATTCTTTAGATTATTATATGATGAAATAAATAATTTCATGTTAGATAATTATGCACATGTCGGATCTGATACGAGGGATCTTATAGTAAAAATAAAATAAGATATGTGGATTTTATATAAAAAAGATTTTACAACTGTAATTATTATTAATAAATGTAATTTTAAATTTAAGAATTGATAAAATCATAATTTATATAAGATCTGAGTTTATATAAACCAACCCAATAATTTAGGTTTTTTTTTTAATTATTTTTTAACTTGAATAAATTATTTTCAATTTCTTTTTATGCAATTGAAAGCGATTTGTAAATTAATGAGATAAATTAAATACGATATGAGATCGAAACATAATTTTTTTTTCTCTCTTAAGTGGGTGAAAGTTGAGTGAAATTTTTAAAAAAAAAAAATTATTTTTGCTTTTTTTTTTTTTGAAATGGCAATTGAAATGAAATTTGAAAAAAAAAAACAAATGAGAGTTACAACCTCTCTATTATATCCATTCAAAAAAAAAAAAAAAAAACCTCACTATTTACTATTATATGATTATATTATCAATAGAACCAACTTGGAATCTTTCATACTGTCAATGAACCTTCCGGTGTTTGCGGGCCTGTCTTAGTGCCGCACAGCTAACTTTTACGCGTTGATTTCGAGTCTCTAACTAAGCAAATACATAATAAGGATCTCTCCTTTTACTTGACTTGCACAACAGAGTTTAGATCTTCAATCTCGTTTTTTCTACGCTCGTTTCTATTCGCGTGAATACCACTCTCCAAAGTTATGCTAAAGCTACAATGAATGTATCCAGTTATAGTATGGGTCGCTTGTCTGGGCCCATGGGATCACCATCCCATCTTCAATTGTCCATTTCATGTGCCATGTGCCCTGGTTTCCAAATCCAATCTCTCTCACACTGCCTACTACCACTATGCTATTCTTTCGGCTTAGTGAAATTGAACTTGTTTGGGGCTGGAATTTGTTATTGGAAAAATTATTTTCACAAATTGATTTTTATTGGGATTTGTAAAAAAAAAATTAATTTGAATCGAACCAACTTGAACCATTGGTTAAATTGGTAGCTCCAAACCAATTCTGGTTAAATTTTTAAGAGAGGAGAAACTGGGACTAACCTATCCCTACCAAATATGTGTTGGTCTTGGAATAAGTTCCAAGCTGGATCATACAATTCAAGTCCGTTCCAATCCAATGTAGATTCAAATCACAACCATTTAGGAAATAGTAATAAACCAAACCGTGTCGGTTAGTCAATGATCATGCCAATAAAGAAAGAGCAATGAGCATTACGAATGATACCATAATAAGACGTGGCCTCAACTTGCAAGAAAAAACTATGCTTAGGATGATATTATTTAATCACTTATTAGACCCAAAAGAACTAATAAAATGATATAATAGTCTGATGATGAAGAATGAGACAAATATAATGTATTCTAAGTTATAACCATGATATGATTATTTCACATGATTGTACAGGTTTAAAAGTGAAGCAAGAAAGGAAGGGAGCCACCAACTTAATTGGTCTACCTAATAAAAGTTTATCTGAGGTCGCGAGTTCAACATAAGAGGCAGCTTTAGGTCTGATAATCCCTTTGAATATTACTAGCAAATATCCTGAATGGGTAATCATTCCAAACAAAATGTGATTGCCAGTCAAATATTAGGGCATGGAATTATTATCATTATATCCAAACAGATAACTAAAAGAGCTGCAGACTGCAGTAGACATATCCAAATAGACAAGCAGACAAAACAACATCAAGGGTAGTTGAAAACAGTGGAAAGGGAGAAGTATCTAGCTATATGAAAGATTTCTTGACCACTATTACATCCAATATTATCATTTCCTAAATTGGTTTCTACCTTGATATCCCAATGGCAATGGTGCTGTTTCAGGATGTTAAAATTTCTAGGGTCATTTTTGTTAGTTTCTGAACCAAGGGTTTCTTTGGTGAACTGCAATAGAACCTAATGTGATGTAATCAAAGGTATTTCACTGATGCCTTTGATTACATTGCATTAGGTTTCATTAGAGCTCACCAAAAATAACCTAAATGTCTCTGTATTCTCTCTTTTTTATCTGTCAGACAAAAGTTGTAGCATTCATAATTCATTGTTGGCCGTATTTGTGCATTCCCATCTTGTTTCAACAAGTACAGTTAAAAAAACAAAAGAATTTTAGCTTAAAAGTGCAGAAGATTCAACTTTTTGAAGTATGAAACAAATATAAAATAATATAAAGAAAATAAAGGGAGGCAAAAGGGAAAGCACAAAACTTAATTCTGAACTTGGGAAAGAACAGTGTGATGACGTGTATCAGCGCTACATATTCCATTAATATGCTTTTCCTTATTCATGTAAGTACGAGCCTTTGAACCTTAAGTTAATACCTATTCAGGCTGCCAACCAATGGATGAGGATTTTCATTGCCATATTGTAGTTAATGCACTCGCATGCATATGTGCATGACCATTTAATCATCACCATAAGATATTCTCCGCAACTCTAAGGAAAACAGCGACTAGTGCGACAGTAACTATCAAATGATTCTGAATGCTAAATGTCAAAGAGCAAAATGGACCCCTCTAAAGATGCCCCCAGAAAAATCACATAATCATCAGTCTGAGATTTAGCATTAAGCAATTACCCTTTGGTCCTGATTAACATATGAAATAATGTTGTCAGTATTAAACGTGTTAACTTTTGCAATGGCAAGGCACATTATTAGCATTCCCAACTTGACATATCAAGACACCAGTTAAGTGAAATGGTTAAGGCAATTGAGGCAGGGAAGGAATTTAACAGACTGCTCAAACTTACGGGTGTGTATTTAAGAAGTTACTTAACCAAACCAGTGCAAGAAAGATAATAATATGTATGCTGAAACTAATGCAACAAGGAAGCTGGAATAAAAGGTTACAAATTACCAGTTATCTTGAAGCAGATTTCTTCTTTGTCTTCTTACTTTCCATTTTCTTTTTAGTCATTTTCTTAGACTTTCCCTTTATGTTCTTAACTCGTGCTCGTGTCTTAGGAATATTGATTGTGATGCAATCGTTAAGCCTGACCTCTTCCTCCACCTTTCTTGTTGGCTTGAAAACCTTGGTGATTGAGGGATCCAGTATATCATTTGAGCAGCTAAGAGTGACACCCATGGCCATGGCCTCATCCCATAGCTCTTTACCCTTCTCAAAGTTCCCACCTATACAAAGCTTAGGTATCAGCACATCATACACACGCTCATAACCGCTCATTGAGCTTCTCTTCATTCGCTCAAACAATTCCAGAGCAAAATTCACCCTCCCAACTCCGCAGAGAACACCAATCAAGTCATAGTAAAATTTACGATCTGGCACCAGCCCGTTTTCAATCATCTCATCCACTACTTTATTCCCTTTACCAAATCTCCCAGTCAAATACAGTACTTTTGCAACAAGATAATAACTGACCCAATCAGAAGCACAACGCGACCTTTTCATTTGCTCAAGTATCCTACAAGATTCTTGGACTCTTCTTGCCTTCCCAAGGCAAGAGAGCAAAATATTATAACTAACTGAGTTCGGCTCTATCATATAAGATCTCATTTCCATCATAACATTCAATGCTTCAGGAACTAGTCCTGAAGGATTAGATTTGAGATTTCTGTCGCAAAGGCACTTGAGAAATGTATTATAAATAAACAAATCTGGCATTATCCCATCCCCTCTCATCTCTTTGATAACCTTTCGCGCTTCCTTGACATTCTGCTGCATTGACCACCCATATAAAAGACTCCTGTAAATGCAAGGCTTTACCTCTGATATCAAATCCTTATGGTGCCAAAACACCCCATATGCTTTCTTAGCATGTCCTTTGGTGCAAAGAGCAGCAATGATAGCAGCAAGAGTTTCACTGCTTTGAGGGCACTTGAACTTATCCAAATTCTTGAATATACCCAATGCCTCATCTTCTCTCCCTAGTTTAACCAATGTCTCAACCACAATACCAAAAGTTTGTGGCTCCATTACACGACCGTCCTTCCTCAAATCCGAAATCAAAATCTGCATTGCTGTATGGTCTTTCTTCTCTGCCAAGACTCGAATTGCATAATTAAAGTCCTTATCTTTCATATCAGAATTCAATCTTTTATGTGACCACAAAAAAAATCTCAACAGTCTTCTAGTGGGTGCCTCATGTTTGCAAGAAACCATGATTTGAGTTACAAAACGTGATGTTAAATTGACTTTAAATCCATTGAGACTACATTCCAGATCGTCTAAACTACCAATTGACCCGGAAACAACTTTGCACATCTCTTGCAGCTCCGCAGGCAATTGATTATACGATCCACTGGAGTACATAGAACACAAAAAATGCGTAGATTTTTTTGGATGCATAATTTTCAACAAAAATCCCACGTATCTTGGTGTGGACGAGGACCACATCTTTCTTTGAGGAATTTCATCAAACAATTGGTGTGTGATTCGAATAGCTATCAAAAAATGTTCACATACCCAAATTTTCCTTCTTTATATTAAACAGTTACTATTTTTCCATAACCTAAAAAAAGACTTAATTTCATGTAAAACCAAAAAAAAAAAAATAATGATTTTAAAAAATAATAAATAAATAAATAAATTTTTAAAAAAAAAAACAAGAAAAAGATTATGGACCAAAAAGCGAATGTGAGAATGAGCGAAGCGCGGGAGAATTAGAAAGAAAACGAGAGCGCATAAGAGTAACGTGCCATAAATGAGCACATAGATAATATAAAACAAGGGCATAAAGGGAAATTCGGAATGTTCGTGACCGTTTCGCGTAAAAATATGCCGAGGCCAAATACGCGAATCCAAAACAAACTTCTAATTGCCCAATCCAGTTATTGGATTCTTCTCCTTTTCCATTTTCTCATTTATCAGAGCATCTTCTCCGATCATTCTCCGGCGAATTTCCTTAGCTTGAAGAGGAATATACTCATTCATCGGATCGGTTTCCGGTAGGGTAGGCATTACGCAATTCATTTCCTGAATATGACGTAAAACTTAACAATGTCTCTGCATTTGTATGCAGAACTTTTCCTTCAGAAACTGATATTTACCTGCATTATAGTCGATTTTTAATAATTCAATCTAATTTCGATACTTGTTAATGGAATTATTATTTCTGTGAATGATTTATTAGGCTGAGAAACAGAGGGAGAGATGAGTCCGGTGTTCGAGGGATATGAGCGCCAATACTGCGAGCTTTCTGCTAATTTGTCGCGGAAATGCACATCAACAAGTGTCCTCGATGGAGGTAATAGATCAAAAAAACAGGAACTTTTAATTTCTGAATAAATGTTCTTTTTAAATCTGTTTTATTTTCATTTTGGAAAACTATATATAAGCTAATAGCTTAGGGACTTTGATGTTTATCTGCTGTCATTCATGAGATTGTGAAATTATTGCTTCATTCATTCGTCAGTATGGGGGTCTGGAGTGGTGTGCATTTGAACATTCATAAATCTAGCCTACCAGAAAAAGTATCAAGATAAACCCTCTCATTTCATATCCCAACATATCCAAACACAACCAAAAGTTATTTGTCTTGCTAGCGTATTTGAATTTACTTGTGTAAAATTGATTTACTCTCAAATGTGATATCTCTGAATGTCTTCTACTGTGCAGATAGAAATCTTTGTAAGTATATATTTGCCTTTTATATGATATTGAAGCTGAAGCGCTATCTTCCAAATGCTGAATGAGAGATTGGCAGTAGGAGGTGCGACGGAACCGGAAATTAAATTTAGGGAGTTAAAAAAATTTTCAAGAGTTAAAGGGGCGAAATTTAAAAAATTTATTATTTTAGAGGGCAAAATAAAAAAAATTAATATTTTATGGATGATTTTTTTTAAAAGTTTTTTTGTTAGGGGGCGGGGCCACCCCTAGACCCCCTAGCTCCGTCACTTGCACTTACTGGGAAATTTTACTTCAGCTAATATTTTCATCCTAGGAAGCGTTGCAAATAGAATATTCTAGCAGCCGATTTGATCTTGGTTTACCATTGTGGTTATATGGATGATAAACAAGAACTGGTCAGCAAGAAGGTGTGAGAGCATTGCTGAGCGTCCATATATATGTGTGTATACATCTATGCTAAAATCTATGCCACGTCTGTTATATTTCTCAAAATCTTATATTCTCTAGAGCTAAGATTGCAGATCTGAATTTCTTGTAATGGATAGTATATCTAGTCATGATATTAGTCGTTGCAGAACTCATCAAAGGAAAGTTATAAAGGGTTTTCAAATCTTCTATTTATGTACAACGCAAATGATAATCTGTTGGACTCTTATTCTAATTTGTAGACTCTAGTTTTTGAACCAGTGATCTCATGCATTCCTTATTGGCAGAGCTGAAGAAGCAGAAGCTCTCTGAAATAAAGGAGGGGCTAGATGAAGCTGACACTCTGGTAATATGGAAGATGTATTCTTTGCCTTAAAACTTCCATTTTTGTTTTCATTCTTCCATTTATCATGAGACATTTATCCGAATCTCTCCAGATTCGAAAGATGGATCTTGAGGCAAGGAGTTTTCAACCTAACATAAAGGCAGCGCTTCTTGCTAAGTTACGAGAGTATAAGACTGATCTGAACAATTTGAAGAATGAAGTTAAAAGAATCACATCTGTGAATGCCAATCAGGCTGCTCGGGATGATTTGCTGGAGTCAGGAATGGCAGATGCTATGACGGTATGCCCCCTCGATTGATGTGATTCTTGCTTCGCAATTATAGCATTGAAGTTTAGAACTTTTAAGTTACTAGCAGGTAGCTAACATATACCATCTGCATGAAGTTTGACGCGCAACTTTAAATACTTCCTACGTTGACGGGGAACTTGTTGCTTCCGGTATTGAATGTTTTCTCTTCATTGACAACAAACTGTTTTCCAAATTTCTCTGACTATTACTAATTTTTTTTAAGGTTTAAATTAACCTTTTGTTGCATTTGAAAGAAATGAAGGTATAGACAGGCTAGAGCTTACGCCTAGGAATATGCCGTTTTAACCAATGCACTTCTATTCACATGGTTGTTCCAAGAATCAAACTAAGTTAGAATGTCTTATTAATCTAAAACTTGTCACTCTCTTGCTGTTGTCATTTAAGCGGCCAGAAACTCTGCAATGTGATATTTCAAATTATATAGATCAGCTGCAGAGGTCTTGCACAGATGTTGGAAATATGTTACCGCTGTGGCCAGTGTCAAAGCAATAGATAAGTGGTTGTACACTATCATGTAATCAAAATAAGGCCATAAAATAATATTACGTGCATGTTACAGAACCTACCAAGTTTTATGGTAGAAATATAATTGACAAAAACGGTTAATTGACTATATTTGAGCGGTCTTGACAAATGCAAGAAGTCTCAGAAAAAATATTGCTGGACATGAGATTCTTCTGAAACAAGCTAATGAGAGGAAGGCTAAAGTGAGTATGTGGCTAGATAGATCAAATCTCTAACTCATGGATGCAAGTTATTCTTCAAGTCTTTCTTGCTTTAACCTGAAGTACACATTGATCACAGTTTATTGAATTTCTTTTTTTAAATTTTATTCTTCTTTTTTCCAAGTTGCAATTTTAGAAGACTATCTCCGATTGTTAACCTAAAGCTATGAAGCATGACAATTGATCTTATTTGATTATTCCTGTGTCTATGCTTTTGGATTCCCTTTTTGTTCCTAACACATTCATGTATTAAACAAGATGCATTTATGTTTTAGACTTTCTAGTAAATGGTACATACTTTTGTATTTTCTCTTTTCATGAAGAATTCAATATTATTTAAGCGTTTATATGTTAGGAAATATCCCCTAGATTATTGAATCTCACAGATCAAAAAACTCTGGTAGTATGAATAATCAATGTCTTCTTTCTATCTGTGGTGCTATTTCTCTGCATGTTTGTCAATGATGGAAAGGTCTCTGCTAATCAAAGAGGCAGACTATTGATATCAACAGAGAGGTTGACTCAGTCCACTGAAAGAATTAAGGAGAGTAGAAGAACAATGTTGGAAACAGAAGAGCTTGGTGTTTCAATCCTTCAAGATTTGAATCAACAACGCCAAGCTCTCCTACACGCTCACAGCACGGTATAGTTTGCTCTTTCTTCTGGTTCAGTTATTGACACAAATAATATCACATTTAATGCGGTTTCAATACAATATTAATCTTATCTTTTTTGATGAATGTTTCCTTAAATTTTCAGCTTAATAGTGTGGATGATAATATTGACAGAAGCAAGAAGATCTTGACGTCCATTTCAAGGAGGATGAACAGGAACAAATGGATAATTGGCTCCATAATCGCAGCACTTGTCCTCGCCATCTTAGTGATCCTTTATTTCAAGCTAACTCGTTAACTATTCTGTGCTTCTATGCTATCAATTCATTGAGCATCCTTTGGACTAGAGCAGATTCCTTTTGTTTGACGCAATGTCTAGTTGGCGGTCTTTCTTTTATTTTAAGACTCAAAATTTAAAAAAAAAAAATTGCAAAATCAAATTTCTAGAAATTGCAAAATCAGTATTTTCAGTTTTCAACAGTTCTATTGTTTCCTTTCTGATTTTAGTTGAGGGGATGGGACACACTACAGTATTTCTTTATTTCTTTCCCTCATTGAAACATAAATTTGGATGTATATATATTATTCTACAAGTGAAAAATAAGCCCGTGGATTTTTTCTTGATAGACTTGGCATTTTGCCTTTTCGATCTTGCAAGGGACAAGTGTACAGATCACACTTGAAGGACCTTGACCACATGATATATCTCACTTGGATTATAATCGCAGCGGTTGTTAGTTTCCTTTTTGTGGTGGGTGATATGGTTAGCTATTATTGACGCAAATTATGCCAATTTTTTTTATTTTAAGTACGCAAATTATAACAATTTGTTCCCTGGTTCTTTATATTAAACACAATGTACTCAATGCTAACTTTCGTATTTATAAAATTAATAATTTTAGTAGCTGTTAAGTGAATTAAAATGATTAATATTTTATAATCTTATGCTATCAAACACTGTAAATGATAAATATGAAGAACAATAATAACCGAATAAGTCAAACTGTTGAATGGTTTTATGTATATGTGATATAAATGGTAATAAAAGTGAGAGGTTGCCTCTAGTGAGGAAGACGAACTTTTTAACATTATAGGTGATTGTTTTTTTTCCCAATTATCTGTGTTTTGCTAAGTAGGCGATGTTGTTAAACTAATGTCTTTTATTTATTTTTTTATTTTTTATTTTTTGAAAATAAAACCATATGATTAAGAATAGAAGTGAGCAAATGCTCGATTTCGTTTAATGGAATCAAGGTTTAAAATATAAATTAAAGTTTCAAGACGATAGATTGAATCGATTTGAAATCGGTATTTTAACTGAATCGACTTAAATCAAATCAGTCAATTGACTGATTTTAATCAATTTTTGTCATGTTAATTCAATTTTAACCCAACTGATGAATAGTTTTTATAAAATCCACTCGAACCAAATAATAAATTCATTTCAAATCTAATAAACTGATTAACCAAATATTTCTTGAATACCTGATCAAACCGAAATGGATTGGTTCGGTTTTAGATTTCGTTTTGTGGGTGGTTTTGCAAACCCCTAATTCAGAAAGCTCAAATTATTGTGTTCCACTACCTACTAGTACTAGCACTCCAATGCCCAAACTAAATCACGTAACGTTACAATCTCCACTTAACATCTAACAAGAATTTGAAATTAAAAAAAAAATTATATAAACATTATAAGTTTTTTATATTGAAAGAAAAGTATTAAATTTAATTTTATCTCCAAATCAAGTTTAATGAAAAATCTTGTGGTATTTTTTATTTTCATTTATATATTGAATACTTTAACTTATAAAATTATACTTATTAAAAATTTCAGCTTGATAATTAAAAAAAATATAAAAATTAATGTTTTAAAAGTTATATTAATCATATATGAAATCAATTTTTTATATTTAAAAATAAAAAACACTAAAAAATTGATGTTATTAATTTAAAGAAGTGTGTAATGTATCACGATCATTAATTTTAGAAATATAATTAAGTCTTTTGTAAAATTTAGAAGCCATAAAATTTTATACATAGCACATAAATTAATTAGTTTATACATTTAGTGACAAATCAAGTGTCAACAAGAAACAAGTGGTAGTAGTTTTAATTTTCTTTTTTAATATGAAATGCCGTTTATAGGTATATCAATACATCAAATTAATAAAAATAAAAATTTTTTAAATATTATTTTTTTTAAAATGTGGTAAAAAATATGTTTATTTTTTATTAGTTTAATTTATCCATAGCAAAATCCTAATATAACGTAAAAATGGAAAAATTATCTTTACCAATTTCAGCATAATCCAATGTCGTTTCATTTCCAATCACAATCAAATTCTGTCACAAGAGGAAGGAAGTATCAAAATTATAATGCATACCCTTGATTGGTTTTGGATTGATTATACTATTTGGAATTGAACATATGTGCGATGATGGTTGGCTCTTCCTTCTTTTCCTTTTTGCTTTTGCCTAACACTTGGTAGATATTGCCTCTCACAGTTCACCAATTGGCAATTGGCATGGCCACGCTTTAATGTTCTCCGAGTACGTACGAGATTTTTATGAACCCACTTGATGACCTTTTTGAAATAAAATTAAATAAAAAAACCGTAAAAATAAATAATTTTAATAATAAAAATGTTATTTTTTTGAATAGAATGATTAAATAATTTAAAGAAGCTAAATTTTATAGATGAATTAATGATTTTATTAAATAACAGTCTGAGCAAGATCTCATTTCTCAAAGGATTGAATAGTAATTCTCTCTTTTTAATTTTTAATAATAAAAAAAAGCTTTTGCCAGCCATATTAAAAGAGAGATCTTTGTGGGTGACGTGGCCTTCTCTCTATCTCTACCAAACTATCCAAAAAAAACACTCCGCCCTATTTCCTTTTCCTTGCACTTTTCTCTTTCCCCTGTCCCCCCAACTTGCCACGTCGTCAGTTTTACTAACATGCACCTCTATGCGCTCAGAACCCCGTTCCGACCTCAACCCTCCGCTTCCCTAACATCCCCAGAATAGACTTCCCTCTTCCAGCTGGCGCACTTTAGCCTGGGCCGTATTCGATAAAATTAATATTTTCTTAATAGCAAAATTACTTATTAAAAATGGTGGAAAAGCTGAGAGAGATGACTTAACAGAGTAAAAACACTTTACTTTTCTTTGGTCTGGCACTGGCATAGCAAATTAGGGAGGGGGAGAGAGAGATCGCTTTGGCGTTAAGCTAACGTGCGCCGACTCTCCGGTGATCTAAATCTATCCGTAGATTTCTCTCATGGTCCCACTGACAGCTTCGATGCAGACCGTCGGATATTCTGACAACACGTCTCCGTAGTTTGCTTGCCGTTTATGGTAGAGCTAACATGCGCATATAAAAATAAAAACTATTTTTAGCAGCTTTTTTTTTTTTTTTTATTATTATTTTTTCAATATCCGTTTCTTCCTCTTCTGCCTTCTTCTTCGCTTTGTCTTGAAGTTAGGTTGGTGTATAAGAGTGTGTAAATATGAATTATTTGTACGGTCATCCACTAGTCCGAGCCCTAGCCCTAATATCTCTTCCAACAAAGGAGGAGAGGCGGTCAATGGAAGTTCTTTAGTATTTGCTTTTACTTTGGGCTCTTTTTGATTTTTTTTCGTGTGAGAGAGAAGTAATTTTGGTTGGGTTCGAGTTATTATTATTTTTTTAGGAAATTTATTTATTGAAATTTGATATTTTGATGAGATATGGAGGGAAAGGAGCAAAATATGAACAAGGAGAGTGGCTGTAGTAAGAGCGGAGATGGGCTCATTGATAGAAGTAAAGTGAGGATTCTGCTATGCGATAATGATTCCAAGAGCTGTGAGGAAGTTTTTACACTGCTTTTGAAGTGCTCTTATCAGGGTATATACTAATTTACATAATTTTGGCTGAATTATTATGTTTAGTTATTTTGTTTGTCTCGCCTTAACTGCTATGACTTTGTTTTGATTGTATCCTGATTAGCTCATATATGTTTCATGAAGTTGAATTTTTAAATTACTTGGTGAAAATATTAATAATTTTTGTGTTTTAGTGCTGATTGAAATTTATAAATTGGATATTGTGAGTTTTGGGAAGGTGAAGTTATAAAATTGAAATTGAAATTGAATGACTTTGTTGTAGACTGGGAACATTTAAGGTTTCCTACGAACCTGTGGGTGTCATAAAGGACATAAAAGTATGTTTCTTCAATTAGTTTTGATAATGAAAATGATAAAATTATTCAATTGGGAAGTTGCTAGAATTTGGCACCATGCACGCAATAGGCTGTTGTCCGTTTTGATGCAAAGTAAGTGATGAGAAAAATATATATATGTACACTTGGATGAATAATTTTTTCCATTTTAGCGCCTATCAAATTGAAACTGAAATTTCAACTGTCTGAATAGAGTTTTAACAGTAAAAAGTTCTTTTCTTTTTGCTATTTGGATGAACCATGTGGAAATCACTATAAGCTAAAGGCTGCTAAGGCAAATTTGCTTGGAGACTGAAAGAACATTCAATTTAAAGGAAAAGACTGACTGCTGCTGTGAGACAGACTTAAATTCAGCTTATTCTCTTGAAACATCAATGAGAACTTTGTACAGCGATGTTTGTGCAAGATTCCTTTTTGATTCGTTTTTTCCTTTTGCCTGTTCAACTCCAGTTAAGTGTCTTCTCATTCTTTGATGGTACTTTTCAAATGGCATAGCTTATTCTACCTCCATTTTGAAACTTGGTTTTTGTGGCATATACCATTTAACTACGACTTGGTTGTGTGAAGGAAACCTCCATACAGTCTACTGTCTGTTACACATTGTGGTTATAGTTGCTTCTTTTGTCTGAATGTTTCCTTTTCCATTTCATTCAATTGTGTGAATATTTGATTTCCAAGGTAGTTTTCAGTTTCCAAAATGACACAGCATTGCCTCTGAATCACAGTTACATCAGTGAGATCAGCTAGGCAGGTGATTGATGCGCTGAATGCCGAGGGACCTGCTATTGATATCATACTTGCTGAAGTTGACCTTCCAATGAACAAAGGCATGAAGTTGCTGAAGTACATCACACGGGATAAAGAGTTGCGTCGCATTCCTGTGATCAGTAAGCTTTTCTTTTGATATTCACCTCTGTTTTCTTTTGCACTAAAATCCTCTTTTGGACATAGGTCCCAATTATTGAAATTCTTTCCTTTGATAAGTGATGTCGGCACAGGACGAGGTCTCAATTGTCGTTAAGTGCTTGAGGTTAGGAGCAGCAGACTATCTTGTAAAGCCTTTACGCACTAATGAGCTATTGAACCTGTGGACACACATGTGGAGAAGGAGGCGCATGGTTGGTTTTGCTCAGCTGTTATTGTTTTTTGTAGCTCTCTTACAGCCCAACCGTAAAGAAAAAAAATTGTGGATGGATTTTTTTTTGGGGGGTATATTCTTGGTGATTTGAACAAACAATAATATGCTTTTTCATTTTTCAACTTTTTATACATGTAGTTCTTGCACCAAGTGAAATATAAGTGTACCTACATAGACGACAACACATTATGTTGATTATAGATTCATGTGAACTGAATGTGGCAGGCAATCGCCTACTAAATCTTTTTCTAATGCATATCAATGGCACTTTATTGTTCTGTCTCATACTCTCATTGTACATTTGTGCACTTTATGGTTTACTGATAGCAGGTGCATTATATTCACCCAAAGCATTTTTGAGGTGCTCATTTAATGTTTGTTATTAACAGCTTGGATTGGTGGAGAAGAACATCTTGAGTTATGACTTTGATCTGGTGGCATCAGATCCTAGTGATGCCAATACAAATAGCACTACTCTGTTCTCAGATGACACAGATGACAGGTCTAGGAAGTGCACAAACCCAGAAATAGGCATATCAATTCATCAGGAAGATGAGGTGAGTGTGATATATACTTTTGAGCTCTAGTAACTTTGTAAAATAGTGAACGATGATTTACTGTGGAAACTCTTCAGTCAAATGATAGTGATCACTCTATATATAGTTGACATGTGGTTTTGAATTTTTTGGGAGTTGGTATTGACATTTTGAATGCGGTGAATTTATGAGCTATGAAGTTTCAAAGAAAACTTATTGCCATTAAAAAGAAGGGAGAAGAAAAAAAGTTGACATGATAAGATTGAACATGAATAAATTTGTGGACATATGGAAAATCCCAAAAGAAAATCCCCAAAAATACGAGTGAAGGAAGTCTGTTTTATGGTGGATTTGTAATATGAAGCCTGAAATATGCTGGACTTCTGCCTTATCATACCTATGGATCATAAATTTTATGATGTTAATCCTCATTTTTCCTAATGTATATGCCTTCACCAAAACTATGCTTCTTTGAGTGTTGCTCTTTCGTTTTTATAAAGCTTGAAATTAACAATTGTCAATTAGTGGTTTTATTACTGCAGTACTTCCTAGTTTTAAGATATTTTGTTTGATTGTTTCTCCCCAAGTATTTCATATTCCTGCCATTATGAATACATTACTATATTAATATGGAGTTTTGTGCTGATGATATTGTATAGGTACAATACAAATCTAAATCCTAATACATAATCTGGTTGGTTTTTTTTTTATGAATTTCTTTCTGCCTCAAAAAGGCCAAACACTGATCTGGTCTCCAGCATGCATCTACCCATGTCCAAAATACCGTGGGCCAAATTCCTGCTCAACAGATGTTCATTTAATCTAAAGTCCACTAGTTCGTAATTGTGATTGAAACTTGAAAAAAACAAATAATAATGCTAAAGTTGGCCTTTTTCTGCCTTCAGTCTGCTTCTGCTGCTGCTGCTGCTGCTGCTGTTGAGTCTTTGCCTAGCAATCCACTAGAGTATCGGCCTGATGTGCCTAAAATAAGTGACCGTAGAACAGGTGAGCTACTTTGTATGGTACAGCTGCTGCTTATACAATATCAGTTTTGGCATTTGGTTAATCCAGTTAAGGTTCATTATTGTTTAGGTGTTAATACAAAAGATGCAAATCATTAACTAGCTATCAGATTGGCCATACTGCGCAAACGATGGGTCAATGAAGCTATTTGTTTGAATGCTTGGCAATTGTCAATCTAGATTTTGGAAATTACACTCAAACAACTTATTTTGTAAAGCGATAAGTTTACATAAACGAGAATAATAAATGACAATTTAATTTATGTTGTAGTCGTCATTTTCACTGATGGCTTCAGGTACTGCTCTCAAGCATATCTGTTCTTTTAGCATGCTTTCTCCAATTTGACATCTACTGTGTCTTGCTTTTGCTATTTTTATCTGTTGGAGTTAGTTAGGCCAGTTATTTATTTTCTCTTGAGAAAATTTGAAACTGGCCAGTTCAAAACAATTCTAATTTGGGATGGAATATTCAGGGCAATTATCATCTGGTCCAAAGAAGAGTGAATTGAAGATTGGCGAGTCCTCTGCCTTCTTTACTTATGTCAAATCTAGCACTGTCAGAAACAATTCTCAAGGGTTTGCCACCCTTGAGGACAGTGCTCCTCAAAATTCGAGAACTGAAGAGAAACTTCAAGCACGTGGTCAGCAACCTGTTAATGGTACTCAATTACATGAAAATGGGGAGACACGAGAGAGCTATTCACAAGATGAATTTTGTCGCAGTTCTAGTGTCCCTGATTCTATATCAATGGAGAGATCTTGCACCCCACCCATGTCAAGGGAATTTCCTCAAAAGAATTCCAAGGATGAAAGTCTCTCTCTGGTGCTTATGCATTCAAGAAATGACCTACAACTTGATGCATCTGGTTTATCCACACAAAATGTCTATCCATATTATATGTCAGGAGTTGTGAACCAAGTTTTAATGCCTTCATCAGCACAACTGTATCAAAAGAATCTTCATGAGCTGCAAACTAATGTGCCTTCAGCTATAATGCCTCAATACAATCATCTGCAACAATGTTCCCCTCATGTGACTGGAATGGCATCATTCCCCTATTACCCTGTTAACATATGTTTACAACCTGGTCAAATGCCTACTGCTCATTCATGGCCATCATTTGGAAATTCATCTTCTGCTGATGTGAAAATCAATAAAGTAGATAGAAGGGAAGCAGCATTGATGAAGTTTAGACAGAAAAGGAAAGAACGTTGCTTTGATAAGAAGATTAGGTATGTTAATCGGAAAAAACTTGCTGAAAGGAGGCCACGGGTCCGGGGCCAGTTTGTCAGAAAGGTAAATGGTGTAAATGTGGATCTTAATGGGCAACCTTCTACTGATTATGATGAAGATGAAGACGACGATGAGGATGAACATGCATCGAGGGATTCTTCTCCGGAAGATGATGCTTCAGGATCTTGATGCCCGAGGTGCTGGTTAATGAGGTTCCTTATATTTCTTTGATGCACCTTGCGGAATTGCAGTTATGAAGCTTTTGTTTCAAGTTCCTAGCACTGATGATGTCTTGTTCCATGGAAGATGTAAGTGCATCATATCAAGGGATCAAACATATCGAGTTGCAGATGCCTGAACGAAGCAGCATTGCTTTGGATGAGAAAAATACTACTGGTTCACCTTATTCGAGTTAAGCAGTGGATTTAAGGATGCATTATACGAAATTATCTTGGTGAAGGATCTCCCGCCACGATTGTACAAGCTGAAGGATAGAGCTCAAGCTCACTGCTTTTATTTATTTATTTATCTTTTTTTATTGTTCAGACCTCAAAATGCGGAAAGATTGTTGAGATATTGGAATTCTTCGTTGACAAAGACAATCATGTAAGAATTTTTCGTTTTTTTTTTTTTTACAATCCAATGAAAACTATTGAAGCAACTGCATAATTTTCTGTTCTAGAAAACTTTACTTAGCAATTGTTGTCCAGGCCCAATTAACCCATTATTTGAATTCTCCAGAAAGAAGTATATTGTCACATTGATTCAAATCATACAGGTCGACGACTTAATAAGATAGAGATTAACAATCTAATTTTCTGTAATCTTTCAAATTGAACTTGAGATTTCCATATGTGAAAGCAAATTGGAATGTCAATGAAGATGGTGACTGAAAATGCACGTCCAAATGCATTTTAATAAGCTTAAATTAGCAGATAGCCTTAACAATTGTTATTTGTGCTGCTCTTATTTTGAATAGCCTCGCATGCACATTATATTTCATCAAATGAGTGTTGTAGGTATAATATTAATTTGAAGTAGAACAATATTAAAATGTAGAGTGGTGGAAGATCTAAAAATGATTAATGCTACTATAAAACTACAAATTAATTATGTATATAAATTACGCTAACATATAATGAATAAGAACAGAAAAACTGATACGGCCATTTTCAGTCTAGAATGAGAGAGCTGCTTTACATCAGTGATCTAAGATATTTTATGCAAATTAAAATTATGAATTATTAAATCTTTAAATACTACTACTATTTAAAGAGAAAAAAAAATGGTTTGCACCTTACCTGGAGATGTTCAAATGACTAACAACTTGAGGACATGCCTTAAAGCTGGAAATATTCGAAGAGAAATTAATTAAAGAATAGGGTTTTACATGTCAGCTCAAAGCCCCTGCAATAGACATTACAATTTGACAAATTTTCAAGCTACAAGTAAACAATGTCAAATATAGCTTTCACATCTATCCCAATTCTACACTAAAAAAACAATATAAATTTAAATTGTTTTAACTTGGATGCTAACCTAAATTGTCACTGTTATATATTTCAAGCAACTGTCAAGAATGGATTAGTCACTAGAGAACCTTCTCATTCACTCTTTGCAGATGAATAATTTCTTTGCCACTAATCGGATGCCAGCACTCTGCTGATAGTCATATGTATCCAAGGAGAAGTATGCATCGATATGGGTCCCTGGACTGAACCAGGTATCAAGTTCTGCAGCATCAAACCTACTGAACACGAGTTTTTGTGTGGTTCCAGAGGGATCTTTCTGATATATCTCTGTTGCATATTGAGCAACCTCTCCATTCACTATAGTGGGTATGCTGTGAAAAGAGAGAAAACAAAAACATTTAAGTGATTTTAAGTGAATTCAATACTGATTCATTATGTTTGCCGCATTGTAAATATAAATTAGAGCATTGCAACAATCTTCTTCCAAACAAGAAGGTTCAATGTGCAATATTCAAGCATTTGCAGGAAGACTTAGAACATGAATAATCTAAACGCAATAGTGCTCATAACTCAAAAATTCTAAAAAAAATTAGTATTGACAATGAATCAAAGAGGATATAAACAAAAGTAACATAAAAAGTTCTTCAACCAACTGTTCTATTCTACATTTAATCTTGTAGATCTTCAATAATCATCCAATAATACTTTTATCAAAAAGGATAAAAGGATATCAAAGCATCCCAAATTCTGACAGTGAAACACAATTAATTCCCCCAGTCAATTTCTTTTTTTTTTTTTTTTTTATCTTCAATAATCATCCAATATACTTTTAAGGGGATATCAAGCATTATCCTGCAGGACACAAATTAAATTCCCAGTTCAATATTTTTTTTTTTTTTTGGGATCGCATCATGTAATGCATTTTGGTGAATGATATGAGCGAAGGAGATATGGAAAGAGGATTTGGAAAAACTTACTGCATTCCTTGGCGTAGATAATTCAAATAGCCAGGTTTTTCTGTCACAACAGGCCTCCAATCAGAGCTGCTACCGATTCCCCATAGATGTTGTGCAATGTTATCACATGCATCAAGAACCCAAAACTTGAGATCGTCAAAACAAAATCAACCGTGGTCCGTCCCGCATGGGTCAGAAGAACTTTGTAACTCAAACCAAACCGTACCTCAAATGGGACAATTAAGCTGCAAATGAATTCTTAATGCAATAATAAACATTTTGGCTCCCACGAAAGAATGGACAAACTTCGCTCTAATAGAAGAGATAGATACATCTCATCAGGTTTAAAAATTCCACATAACCACTTGAACCTTCAGGTTCAATTAGTCACCGTGGTATCCTCAGAAGTCTCATTCAGAGGTATCTCAGAAGAAACTCTGTCAGAGGAAATTTTCTTCCATGCAAACATCTTGTTGAAAGGGAGTTAATATCCCATTTCTAACTGCTAAGAAGTGCCGGCATGTTCAAACGGATCCCATTTGAGCCTGTATCAGATGCAAAACTGTATCATAAGCAATTATATATGTGTATTTGAATTTTCCCAGTTTCCCGTTATCTGCAGGAGAAATGGTCTCCCAAGCTTGGAACATTTTTGATGAGGACATTTGTATTATGCCAGGCCCCTCAGAAGGTGATTTACCAGTTTTTTCGACTTTGTAGTAGCATTAGGGAACCCAACTTTTTCTGAAATACATCTGGAGCTCGACCCCTATAAGGCATGCAAACTTTAGTCAACTTGTTACCAAAGAAAATCATACAGACAACAGATTCAATGGTCAAACCAGGGTCAACTGGCACGCAAAAATGATCAACGGGATAAAATAGAAATTACTCATAGCTCAACAAATATGAAGGAAATTGAAATAAAAACCAAATTAACTCATGTGTCCCAAACAAGAACTGCAAACATCTGGCGCCAGAAAATAGCTTCAATCACAAACAAAAACAAACACAATGAACTGTTTTTTCATAATAAAAGAACTTCGCTTTTCAAATGCTCTAGTGGTAATATTTGCCTCTCCTCAAAAAATAATGAAGTAATTTAATATCAATATCTTACAGAGTTAAATAAATATAATTATAAATCTCTATATCTTTAATTCTAAGGGGCCATGATAAAAAGAATTAAAGAATACAAACCAAGGAAATCATAAGCAAAGTTTTCCCATAAGAATTAAGCAATAAGCAATACAAAGACACCACATCACAATAATGCAATACATTATGGCTTTTTCTTTGCAATTAATTTCAATAAGAAGGCATAAAAATTAAAATTAAACACAGGGATTGAACAAATATACTCACGCAGCAACAAAACCGTTGGCACAAATACTTAATCACTATCAAGGTTCATCCTGACATCATGCTAAGCTCCTAAGCTCCTGAAACCATTAATAAAACTAAAATGTAGCTTTTATATAAACAAAGGTAGGGTACTAGACAATTTGGCAATAACTCCTAAAACAAATTTTAACCTATGCTTCTGCTTTCCCAAAGCCAAAATATTTGCAAGACTAGCCCATCGCACCAAAGAACGTATAAACAACAAAAATTATTAAATTTTCAAACAGAAAGAAAAAGTGAAACAATGAGAGTACCTTCATGTCGCCAAGCTTCTCCTTCCAAATTTCCTGGGTCAGCAAAGCTAAAGAATCGATAATGCCCTTAGGCTTCATCCGGCGAGGGCCTTTCCGAAATCTCAAGCAAAAGCCTCTCTTATTCGAGGGACAATCAAACCTCTGGATATTATGTTGTCCCAAGCCAAAATCCTCCCTTAAATAATAATAACAAAAATGAGAAATTTGAATAATTGAAATAACTTGTTAGAATAAATTGAGAATTAACTAACCATGGAGGATATCGTAAAGACGGAACAGCAATTTCAGCGAAAGAAGGGCAGAAATGAACAGCGTCAGTGGTGATGCCAATTTACAGCGAACGGACTTAAAGGAAGAATTAAAGAAAGATTGGGAGGTCGACCAAGGTGGAGTTAGCTTCTAAGAGCTCCTCCAAGCTTCCTTGGGCAAACAAGAATGCTCCCGAATTCCCAGTTATCGAATAGCCTGACCAGTTCGGCAGGACAGTAGTTTCCAGGTCGAAGAAGGAGGCAATTTTCGGAACCTATCGTCCGCTTGGAATAGAACCCATCGTCCCTTTTTGCTGTCAGAACTTTCTGAGAGTCGAAACTGCCTTGACAAAAAGTTGGAGTTTTAGTAGTTATGGACGGCGCCAATTGAACTGAGCGAGTTGGAAGGAAAGGAAAGGAAAGAAGAGAAATGGGCCAAAGGGTTAATATATAGAGATTAGAGAGAAGAGAGAGAGAGAGAGAGGAGAGAAGGGAGGAATTAGAAAATTTCTTGGAATTACTTGTGTGGGTGGATTGTAAACATTTGCAAGCCCAAAATACAATACAATTGAGCTAAACCGGTTGGCAGGACCAAGGGACGACAGAAAAACGTAAACGCAAAACGGCAGGACTTTTACATATTCCGGTTTATAACGCTAGAATGAAACTTAATCAATTTTGTAACTTGTGAGAGGAATTCTTTTCTTTTTGAAAGTAGAACTTGTAATGCAAATTTCTTTTCTTTGTTGTTTGGTGTTAACTTTTGTATAATCCAATTCAAAGCCTTAGATAGTACCAAAATGGGTTTGTTGTTGTGCTTTGAGGTTTCCAGAAATTCAGCATAGGATTTTCTTGTAAAAAGCAACTTGAAAGCGGGAAACGTTGGTACATAATATAAGTATATTATGTAAATGGTCGCAGGGGGGGCGTGAACCAACAAATGTTGTTCTTAAGCTTGTAGTAAAAAGCAAAGAAACACAAATTATCTATGTTCTATAATCTAAAACATATATCAACGGTGCAAATAAACCAGAAAATAAATGAGATTTTTTAAAAAATATCTTTAGTGAAATTTTTATATATTCTATAATATCCGTCAATTAAATATATTTAAAAATATAGGTAATATTGATATAATTAATATATAAAAGTGTCCAGTTAAATTTTGATGATATCTAAATAGTTATTTCTAATATATATTAATAGTATTTCTTAAAAAATAAAGCAATTTAAATTAAATTGATATATATGCTTTAACGATTAATAAGAATAACTATATATAATTTAGTAATGTATATTTAAATATGAACAAAGAATATAAGAATCAATTAATAAATAATATATTAATAAGATATTAAAATATAGTAAGAAAATACAAGGCTTAATCTTGAGCAAATAAAAAAATTATTGTAATAAGGTAGCAATAAGTATTTAATTTGGGGATTCTTGTAAAATTTAAATTGAATAAACTCCCCCCGGCCAACCTTTTGGCCTCCGAAAGGTGAGAGGGGATTAGTCCAAGTTTGTGAACCGTTAACAACGGACACGAGTCTGGTAATCTCGTGTGAAGTATAAAAAAATAATTTGAACAATATTAAATAATGAGCTAATAAATATTAACGTTTAAATAATAAAAGTTCACTAAAATCATATTCTGTTATTTTCAAAAAAAAAAAAATCAATATTCTGTTATTTTAAACATTCTCCTACAATATGCATGTTTCAAACAAAAAAAAAAAAAAAAAAAAAAAAAAACCAGTAACTAACCTAACTATAACGAGTAACTAACATGAATACACATTATTAATATACGAGTTTAAAAGATAAATAGTAGGATCAAGTCTAAGGTAAAAAATCAGCAAAAACATTTCTTTGGCAGATTACAGAGAAACTGCTGAAAATTGGTTAGCATAAAGGCTAACTCCAACAACAGCTTAAACATCACAAACAGAGAAACAGATTCTGTAAAATGAACCATCAGATAGGTGTATATTTTCATTTTCAACTTTTATAGTGCTAAATCCATACTCCCCTAACCTTCTACTAACAGAGATGGGCTGTAATAGCAAAGCCTTAAAACAGACACAATATACAATTTTCCTTCCTCCAAAAACCCAAAGATCTAAAAAGAATCGAGCAAATCTTTAATAGAAATAAAATCTCCCAAGGAAAAATACATGGTAAACAAACGAAAAAGGAAAAATAATAAAATCCGTACCGAATTGTCCCTACTCATCATCAACAATTGAAAAACGCTTGGCCATTTCCTGGCCTTGTAAACTGTCTGTTAATCATAGCAAAAGCAATGTTTATAATATTGGAGATAGCATGTCTTATGAATTCCTATCACCTGCCACAAAATCATCAAAACTAACTTCTCCATTTATTTGATACCCTGCTTCCGGACCGGAAGGTTTTTTCACAACCCAATCTCAATCAATCTTTGTTTCCACAGTGAAAAGCAACACTGCCACATTTTGGCAGTAGCGTGTACATCTGCCAAGAGCATAAGATAGCGCAGCTTGGTCAGGACAAAAGCTCAGCCACCAATTTTGAGCCATCATAAACAAGCAAGCGTAATTTGTGAATTCTACAACCACCAAGTTTAAAGCAACCCCATATAGCCTCATTTGGCCTTCAGGGCATGGTCCTTAAATCATGCTTCGTCTACAAAACCACACGACTCAACAAATCAACCATGCAGCCATAGTGCTCAATCCCAGGGTTTGGAAATAACACCAACTCGAATCAGAAATAATGCTCATGAACAATTGGGCAAAACCCTTTGTTGACAAGTCCAGCAGGCTGCAAGCTGACAGGAACTCCAATGAAGGTTTATCTCATCAGGTTTGCTTCGTTGGCTCCCAAGCTTTGGCTTAACTTCAAATATGGCAAGAAGCCTCAATTTGCAATATCCCTGTTTGCCAAATGCACAGAATCATGGTTGTCCAAGAAAGTTGCTTCTCTTTGCATCCATCTAAAATACTCATAGGCTTCCTTTCAAATCACACCACAGCTAGCATACATGTGTATATAAAAGAGCAAAATTGTTCAAAGAAATCAACAATGACTGGCCTTTTGCCAACTCAATTTCTCTCCTTCAATATATGTGTTGATCACTTCCCAATCTCAAATCCGTAGTGCACCACACCTGATAGAGCTGCGTACATGGACAACCTGTCAAATCCACGTGGCTCTCCTCATTTTTAATTGAAACAAAAATCAAATGCAGCTACAACTTCCCTTTCGAGCCGTACCCGCAATCTAGTCGTCATGTTACAACATTCCTTCTCCATCAATCTTAATCGAAAACCTCCTTGCTCTTCAACATTTTCCACATTCAAAATATAACACTGGCAAGCATTGAATTCCAGCACACGATATTCTCCTCACCCATTCATCAAACACGCGGTTGTGCATACTCGAACACCAAAATCGCACCAGCCATCCCATATAAATAATCAAATTCTCTTCATAAAATAATTTGGATTAATATCCATTCGACCAAACTCTAACCAATGCAACCTGTTGCCCCTCTCTCAACAAAACCTGTCTCGCACAAACCACTCAAAAGGAACGAGTAAGTTAACAAATTTAGGCCCGGCCCTGCGGCTCCATTTGATGAACAAAATAACAACTTTCGAGGCGATTCGCTTCGAGCATGCCTCTGAAATCATCTGGTTCCATAGGTAACAACTGGGGTTTTTAAACTTCTTTTGAATACCTTATGTGCAGAGAGGGGTTGACCAGAAATATGTAGAAAGAAAGTAGCTTGGCAAAAAGAATATAACTTTCTGGGAAAAAACCGTGAATGAACTATCTGGGGTGGATTTGAGAGAGAATAATTCAAGGGTTTTGCAGCTTTGTAATAAATGGGAATAGGGTGTTGTTTGAAGAATTCCCCCTGAGGTTCCGTTTTGTTATTGGCGGGAATCAAATTCTTCCAAGTAGCATTGATAACTAGGAACTGGAAGTGGACGGTAAAACCAACAAAAATTAAGCATATTAAACCGTAATGTTCCATATTTTTTATATATCAGATGGAGGGACTATGGCCCAATTAAACACAGCAAGCTTCTCTGCCACGCCACACCGGTTCTATCAGCATGGAAGCAACTCTACTAATACTGAAGAGAGGAGAAAGAGGAAAAAGCAATAAGCTCACCTCGGCATTTATTCATTCTTCCAACATATCGAGGGGAACTGAGTTGCCTCACTAATATTTTCAAAACAATCTGAACATCCCATGCACGCAGAAGGAGATCAAAACAAAGCTCCGATAAATAATTATTTCCTAAAGTCACCCTTCCCTGTCGAGGAATTTAACATATCCGACTATCACTTGAGAGTCACATTGCAAAAACTGAATTGCCTCATCCCCTTACCCCAAGCAAACAGTAAAAGCATGGTAGACACCCCATAATTCAAGCATCAACAGCAAAGCACACTCCAAGTGCCCCGATGAAAAAATTCCCACTGCCACAACCCATTCTATGACCGAAAAAGTCCTGCACAAGCAGCTGGCCCGTTGCCACAAACACTTACTCTTGTGTTTAATATAATCCAATCAACAGAAGCTGGTACTCAAGAATGATGACGAGTTGGAAACAAGCTTCGTACCAAGAGAACTCTGGGTTTACAATTCTCCCAAGCACTCTGCACCTCCGGCACTTAGGAACCGTATACAACAAAATCAAATATTTTTATCATCTATAGCGCGTTACCGTGGTGGTCCAACAAATAGAGAGTCCCTCTTATCTCATCCTCGCTTAAGAAATGTCAAGCTATTCGCCAGACCATCCAAAAACACTCTCTCAAACCCATTACAACCGTTATACATACCACGTCTTTTTTACAAATCACACGTTTCTTCAGATCTCACTAACTGCCATTCTCGATCCGAAAACCCCTGGAACAAGCCCTCCAATTTTTTCAGCTAAACGTAAACCAAAACCCATTATAAATCCAACCAAGATCTAACACTTATATTCTGGTAATCCAATGTGTTAACAAGTGGGCGAGATATAACACGACCTGCCAGGTAGCTTGACAAAGACATCCAGACCCTCCTCCAATCCCCGCAAACCTTTACCGGATTAGTTTCTTTGTTTTCAAATGCCCTTAACAGCTAACAGGGGCCAAATTTTAGCCCCAATGTTGTTTTGGAGTGTTGAATCAATGCATTTTTCTTGATTGGGTCCTTCTCTTGATGAAGCCTTTCCGGTTGTATCGCAAAGAAACCGGAATTTTTCCCTGCAGTGCAAGCCTTGTAATG